AAGCGAAAATGAGAAGCTGCGCATAGAGAATCAGCGCCAGAAACAAAAGAAGGCAAGGAAGCGCACGTATATAGCTAGAAAGGGTATTCTATCAGGTGAAGAAGCAGCCGATCGTGCACAACCTGTACAGGAAGGGGCAGCAGAGGAGGCAGCAGAGCCACCGGCCGAGCGGCCACAGCGAGCAAAACCTAGGTGCAGCATGTGCGAATCAACAGAACACAATGCACGTACGTGCCCTAGGCGGCAGGCAGCTAGCTAGTATGTAGCTGCATCAAATATATTTGTTCGTGGTGGAGTAATTCGGAATATTTGGCCTCGGTAGCGTGGTTGGGTGGGCCACTAGCTTGTGCGGGCCACTAACTTGTGGATTACGTTACGCCTTGCTATTTGCTTTGTAAGCGAAACATGAACAATGACAGTGATTGAATTAGTATACTCACCCCATTAGAACATCGATATAGTGTATGAGCCGTTATGTGTGAAGCTTGATTGTGAATTTAAGTGTTTTGCAGCGATGCCAGCAGTCTAGCGTGGACGCCGTCTTCATCCTTTCCCCGCAAAGCCCCGCCTGGCGCCAACATTTCACGTCTATCCAATGATGAGTCATTTCAAGATCACGTGTAATTTGAAATTTTGGAAGCTAACGTTACATAATTAGTTTTTGATCGTTGAATGAAACTTAAATTTCGAGTCTTTACCTCTCGCTATGCAAATTGAAACTACTACAGTTGTTCTGAAGGTTGTCCTCGAATGCCGCTCAAGAATCGCGCGCGGCTGAAAATAGACAGGCCCAAAAAGAGGCCCATCTTGCAGGGTCAGGCTCGGTCCCACCCTTCGCGCTCGCTTCATGCTTCACTCGTTCCCTTCCTATTACTATTACCACAGTAAGCTAACATGGACAAAGTCAGTCTGGTACTAGCATAAAGCGTTCCTCCTGGCGTGCCTAAATCATTCCGTGCCCCAGCAGATCATGGCGGGGTCCCTCACACTACCCTCCATCACCGTGAACGCGGACGACGGTCGATCGAAGAGAAGGCCCAAAGCCAACAATATCTCACCCCATCCGAAGATAAAGCCGTCGTTGAATTTTTGTTACAAATGTCTAATCTTGGACAACCCGTGCGAGTAAAAATATACCTTCAATAGCCTTCAGTGCCACCCGCCAGCGGCCTACGCCGGACAGGCCACCTAAGCCTCCAGGTAAGAACTGGGCCAAGGCCCTGGAGAATCGCCATCCAGAACTCAAAGCAAGAAAATTTAGGGCGCTGGATTGGAACCGTCACGAGAAAAATACCTATAAGAAGATCACGGATTGGTTTGAGGTCATTAGAAAGGTGTTACAAGATCCAGCCATTCTGGTAGAGAATGTCTACAACATGGACGAGACAGGAGTTATGCTTTCCATGCCCGGTTCCGTCAAAGTCCTTGTAGGTAAGGATGATACGCGAGACTACAGAGGCGCGCGTGTCAAGCGAACGACGGTGACTGCGATCGAGTGCATCAGTGCTGACGGTAGGTACTTGAAACCCATGATTATTTGGCCAGCCACCACCCATCGAAGCAACTGGACTATGTTTCCCACACCCGGATGGCAGTATGCTTGCAACGAATCTGGATATACTGACTCCAAGATCAGCTTGGAGTGGCTCAAGCGTATATTTGATCCCCAAACCAAGGAACGAGCTAACAAGAAACCACGGGTGCTGATTTGCGACGGCTTCGGGACGCACGAGACCCTCGAAATCTTAGAGTATTGTTTTGAAAACAACATTATTCTGTGTCGGCTCCCCTCTCACACCTCCCACAAGCTCCAGCCATGTGACGTCGCAGTGTTTGCCCCATTAAAGGCAGCTTATCGCGAACAGGTTGATCGACTAGAGCGAGGAGGTGTGAATACAATCGGCAAGGAGCATTTCACCACTCTATACAGCCCCGCAAGGGAAAAGGCTTTCACGTCTAAGAACATTAGGCTGGTTTTGCTGCAAGTGGTTTGGTGCCATTCAACCCAGAGAGAGTGATCAGAGATATGCCAAAGCCTCCACCTACAATAAACATTTCGAAAGCCGATGCGGCGAAGGTGGGGCCTTGTCCACAAGACCAAGTGCTACAAACACCTATAACGCCCGCGACTCTAGTGTCAGCAGAGGCTTTTATGTCGCTGCAGAATCTGATTATGAAACAGGATGCTTATGTGCTTGATGAGACGAGCAAACAGAGCCTACAGAGGCACTTACACAAGTTCGTTAAAGCCGCGCAAACATCCTTTGCCAAGGGTGTCCTCCAGCAGGACCACATTCGATTCTTAAGCAGAATTAACGACGAAGCCAAAGTTCGACGATCGACCAAGTCAGAAATATTGGCAAAGGGGGTGGGGAAGGTGATGAGCTACGAGGACCTCGAGGCAGCACGAGCGGCGCGTGCTGCGAAAGAACAAGCCAAAGCGGAGGGAAAAGGAAAACGTGGTCGGAAGCGCAAGAGTCCTGTAGAGGCAGACGCACCAGAGACACGCAAGGGAAAACGTGATCGGAAGCGCAGGAGTCCGGAAGAAGCTGGTGCGGCAGAGCCAAAGGCCAAAGTTGCGCAGATGAGCGAAGTGTCAGAGCCAGCGAGGGCCCCAATGGCGCGGATGAGCGAAGCTCAGGTTGAGGAGGATGAGACTGCGCCAAAGCCATGGAGAGCCCCAGTGGCGCGGATGTGGTAGCGGAGGATGCGGAATGTAACTAGCTGTTGCTGTATAGTAATTATTAGAGAGTGATCTTCGTCGCATTTCCAGCGCAGTGGTCGTACAGACAGGCAAATGGAGACAGATACCAGCCTTTGGTGTCTCTCTGCTGTGCTTGTCATGCCTTGCGGTGACCGTTCTCGCAGTCGTTGTGCCCGTTATCGTTACCTTCCTTCTCCTCCGCTTCCTGGCGTAGTGCAGCCTTGTGTATTTCCATTTCCTTCAGTGTGCCCGTGTCAGTTATGACCTTGCCAGTATCATCTTTAAACCCGTAATCCCAGACTTGCTCGTCTGGATCTTCTCGGGAAAGAAAACATGGGGCCGCTCGAGGCGGTAGATAGGGATCGGTGGCATACCGCCACGCTAACTCGATCGAACGGCGTGCGGCAGGTGTCGTTGCTGTGGATATATGTGCCTCTCGATCCTGCAAATGGGCGAGAAAGCTGCTTCGCAGCTGCCAGGACTTGCCATAGTCGGGACATGAGAGAAGCTTGCATGGGTAGGCCCATATGTGTCCGGAGGGGAGGTCAGAATCGTCAACCTCGTCATCGAACTCTGAGTGAGAGAGCTTGGGTTCGAGGTGGTCATAGTGTGTCTGCTTTGCGGTTCGGTACTCGGTATAGATCTTCTCGTATCTGTAGTTATAGGTCGCCGGCGAAAGGGAAATATTCGTTCTTTGCATCAAGCGCTGTTCTTAGACCGAGCTTATGGCTTTGAGGTGTGACTAACAGCCGCGTGTGATAAGCCACAGGCTCAACAGCCACAGGTGCAACAGCTACAGGTGCAACAGCCACAGGCTTGACTTGCTGGTATCATGTAAGATACGATACACCGTAATTATTACACGGGATGTGCCGAGCCGTCTTTACCTTGACCAGGGATCCTTGATCGCTTAATATGAGGTACCAACCGATGTGGCGACGCCGTACGACACAGAGCGCCACGCCCGCCACAAGGCTGACAATAACTTCTCAGCATTGTAGTGAGACTGGGAAACCCAGATCAACCGTTCTATGAGTTTAAAAGGCGAAAAGAGCTTGATGGTGGTGCTGTGGGTCGAGAGGTCTTGATACACTTTGAAAGGATGCTCTCCGCTACCGGGCGCGAAGGCGACGACGCGATCGTAATTCTCGGAGTAGCCGGGTAAGGAGTGCTCGGGAGTGGCCGCACAACATGACTGATGCGAAATTATGGGAAATCTCGATGCGTTCACAGAGTTAGAGTCGCTTGAGTTCAAAGTACCTATGATTCGTCTCCCGATGGGGTGCGTCTCTCGACCCAGGGACGGACGTTAGCCGCTCAGAATTCGGCTAGCCAAGTTCTAGCCTCAAAATAGGCCATACAGTCGACCTAACTTCTAATCCCGTATCATTAGTTACATGTGGAAGTAATTGATATATTTGGAACCTACGCTAACTAAATATAGGTTGATTTCCCAGACCTTAAGTCCAGCAAGATACGCGGGAGTTCGCCGTCAGGAAAATATTTGTCGTGACATATGGGATTGGTGTCATCTTGCCAAAGGTCTAGAGAATACGCCTATTCCATGTTGCTTGAATTGCCTGGGCTGTATCCGCCTTGAATTGATTGAGGTTAGCTTCTGGCACGAATGACTCCAATCCGACATTCTCGTGCGCTGCTAGTTTCTGCAAGAGTAACCTTTGTACTTCAGGCACCCCTTAACCTCATACATAATGCGCTTTGGGTGGGCTGTAGATCTTGGTCCTCGGGTATGGACGACCTTGCATTTATGCTTCTCCGCTCGACTAATATTAGGAACATAATGTTGGGCCTGACGGCTTCTAATGTATGTACTTAGGGGTATGTCTGGTCTCCAATCTGCGGGCATAGTGATGCAAGTCTACTAGGAAATTCGATGGCAGGTCAGCTACTTAAATGGGAGAGTCTGGTGTAGCGTTAAATCGGCTTAATTTTATTAGAGCACTCATCCTGTTCAGCGGCTAGTGTTACAACCATTTGCGCTTTATTCAAGAGGGGAGTGCGGTCCCGTACGGGAGTATCGAGTGTGCGGTGAGGTGAATACAGGAAATGGGAGGGGGGTGCGGGCCCGTACGGCCGTACGGAATCATGGAGTGTGCAGTGAGGAGAATGCAGAAAACGCGAGGGGAGTGCGGTATTGCGTCCCGTACGGGATCATGGAGTGTGCGGTGAGGGGATTTGTTGAGATAGATGATGTTCTTCTTATTGTTATTGCTATGGACAGGGCAGAGTGGGCTGTATGTACGTAGTCTCAGCCACCATAATATTCGCTGCCAGCCACCGTAATATTCAACAAACCGGACCCCGCATCTCGACAAGACCCACACGTCTAATAATCCCGTGCGGGGCTGGCCAGCGTAAGAACTTGGAAGGCGTGCGGGGGTGCAAGGCGTGCGGGAGTGGAAGGCGTGCGGGAGGGAAAGGCGTGCGGGAGTAGAAGGCGTATGGTTTGAAGAATCGCAGGGGATTTTGAGCCGCAGGGGATTGGGTTCCGCAGGGGATTGGCTCCCGCACGGACTGGATTCGCGTTTCTATTTCTGGATATCCGCACACTTGACAATCCACTCTCCTCCCCGTTTTATATTTTCTCATCTATAACGGCCGTACACTATACCGCACACCCCAAGTTTTTTCTAGACATCGTTCTGCTCCCGCTTTCTGTTCTCTAATCATGCAGGAACAGGATCCCGCTACCTGGTACTAATCCCTTGTGACGACCGATTGGCTGTTACTGTTGAGCTAGTCCAATATGAGATTAGTGGGGGCATCCCAACATAAAGTCTCTCTGCGGATGCCCCTCAATAGGATTTATGATGATGATAGTGGTGACCAAAAGGCGCCAAGTGTGCAAGAAGCGTGCGAGCTGGGGAATCGTGCAAGCAGGTGGATCATACGAACTAATAGATCGTGCGAGCTAATGGATCGTGCGAGCTAATGGATCGTGCGAGCAGGCGGATCGTGCGATCGTTCTGCTCGTGCGATCGTTTTGGACGTGCGACCGTTTTGGTCGTGCGATCGTTTTGGTCGCGCGATCGTTCTGCTCGTGGGTCCTGCAAGCAAGTAGTAGTGCAATCGCAAATGGCGCTGACTCATGCTGCACGTGACTCTGCCATTTGCAAACTCCTGGAGTTCGCAAACGACACTGCTGACTCGTGTCGCACGTGATCCTGTTCGTCCTGGGACACATTTCGTCCTAGCCCATTTATCCTATCCTCCACAGCGCACACAGGACTCCAAGGCCCAATCCACAGTCACAGCATACAAGGACCGAGCAGTAACAGTCAAAATCAAGGACCCCGCAGTGGCCCAGAGGTTTCGGACGCTCCCTGCCGTCAAGATAAAGAATCAAATAGAGACGTCCATTCACGACAACGCCGCCACCAAATCGGTCAAAGTAGTCGCTGCCCATCAGCTCAAGAGCGGCGATTTACAGGTCTTTACCTCGTCGACAGCAGAAGCCACGAAACTCAAAGAGAGCCAAGGATGGATCAGCGGTCTTGGAGAGCACGCAGAACTCATTGTACCAACCTACGGCGTCATCGTTCACGGTATCTCTACAAACTCCATCAACATCAAGGACCAAAAAGCAACTATCGAACAGATACTTGCAGACAACTATACAGTTATCCCTAATGCAGAGATCTCGTTCATAGGATGGCTGACTTAAGAATTCCCCCTCAAACGCGCATCCTCACTTATGGTAGAATTCAAAGACCCCGAAATGGCCAACGCCATCATCTACGCTGGGATGGTCTGGGACGGACAAATCCACGTCTGCCAACTCTACAACCGTGCCTGTAGAATAAAGCAATGCTTCCGGTGCTACAAATACGGCCACATCGGCGCCCAATGCAATGCAGCGCAAAAATGCGGCTATTGCGCTGAACTACACGAAACTAAGAACTGTAAGCAGAAGGGAGTAGAAAGCTTTACCCCAACATGCGCAGTTTGCAAAGGTGTTCACACAGCCTGGAGCAACGCCTGCCCAGCAAGGAAGAAAGAGATGGGCAGAGTTGAGCAAGCCAAACAGGTCCGGAACACCTACTAGCCCGTCCTTGTAAAGGACGACCCCCCTAAGAAGAGCAGCGCACGGCGAACGCACCGCTATACTCGAAACCCTGCCGCTAACCAGATTACTATAATACTAGACACCCCTATTATAGAACCCCCGGCCTAAGTACCTACTAGGTTTAAGGCCCCGATACCATAGGCGAGAAAGACTACCCTAGAGCCTCCGACACCCCAGGAGATATTAGATATATAAGCGCCTGGCAACCTGTTAGCTATAGAAGAATAGATAATACTAGTAATATAATAAAAAACATTACTATAGGAACCAGCTATTAACCTAAGGATATTAGCAGCCGAATAAGTAGACGCCTGTTACAACCCGTAATACGAACCACCCGAGCGCAGAGGCACTCGCGGAGACAAGCAAGCAGATAAGACTGATTACACAGAACCAGGTCACGGGACCAAGGGGGTCACGTGTGGGACGCATAGGGATCCTGGATTCCCCCACGGACTGCTGGATGGGAACGATCTAAGAATAGGACATCACGAGGACAGGGTCACGTGATGGCTCGTCAAGCTCACAGCGAGCAGGAACGAGCTGGCTCGATGAACTCGTGGAATAGCAGGTGAAGGACGGACTCGCCCGGCTCGTGAACGAGCACAACGAGCACGTAGGTTTCTTAGAACGGACTTTTGGTATATAAGGACGCTCCTTTGCATAGATAGGAACCTCGTGTTCAACTCAAGACTCCAATACTACTTATCGGAAGTAACAACCCCGTCTTGTATCCTGTTTGATTATTGCCTCACCTTTTGAAGACTATTGCACCCCGACGACAACTTGACCTATACCCTGCCTTAGTGTGTGACACTTGGAAGGTATAGCAGAGACGACCCGTTACAACGCCACCCTTAACCCGGAAGCTAATAGAGTAACGCCTATAGTTGCCCTATTACCCCAGCTATTCCTATATTCTATTAATAACACGCAGAAGGAATTTAATCTAAACAACGCCAACGCGTAACTAGCCGACTTAGTAAGCAACTTTAATAATAGCTAGCTGTATAATATAGTAGAAAATACTAAGTTCCTACTAATATTATTATTATTATTATTAAATTCTATTACGCTGGTGTAGCTCCCGTTAGGGTCCATGCAGCTGTTCTATCTAGGCTAGTTTACAAGGAGAAACCGTTTGCTGCCATGCAGCGTTCGGATGAAAACCCCGTCCTCTGCGGTGTATAGCGCTGAGCGCTCTTCTCGTTGTTGTATAGCTATTGGGGACACGTGGTAGATCTATCAAGTCCACCACGGAATAAGCCATCGTGATGCGTCTTCCTAACCAGGAATAGATATAACTAGCTAGCTAGATATACAGCAAGTGGACGCGAAGCTACCTGCCTAGCTTCCTTGCCACAGTTTTCCACGCAGAGCGCTTCTACGGTGTCCAGCTCACGATAAACCTTCTCCCGCCTGCCTACCCCTGATTTGCTCCATAAGCCTATCTCGCAGCTTGCCTCTGCCTCTTAATAGACCGACACGCGCATCCGTCCTTTCGGGCTATACAGACAGTGTCACCAGCGAGGTGTTGATCCTCCTCCCTATGTAATAGCCGGCCAAAATGGGAAGGCTACAGAGTATGCGCGTACACTCCTATCGTCCTCAGCGTGTAGAGGCCCTGTACAAGCCGGAGCTGTACAGCCGTGCACGAGAGGAGCAGAACGGGAAGGCCGCAAGCATACTCTGCACACTCCCCATAGACCGCCGTCTATCACGAGTCCACCAGGCGTCCAAAATAAAGGCCTGGAGCTGACTGTCGCTGCCATTGTATACCACGCCTCACGGCTGCTAATAGACCGGACCCATCAGCAGCCCCTTCGCGTTACCTGTGACGTTCTCACGACGACAGGCCGACCGTGTCTTGCAGATGGAGGTCGTTGTAGCAACTCAACGCCGTGCAGCTACTACCCCTCGCTATCCACTAACCAAACCGCCACTGTCCTTGCTCTTACTCCCCTGGTCCTCCTGGTTCCGGTTCCGGTTGTCGGTTTGCAGAAACAAGGGCTTCCATCGTGGCCGGTACAGAGGTGTCCTATCATCCTATTAGAACAATCGCTTCGCCAGCAAGACAGCGGGTACAGATTGTATTGCATGCTGTCTACACTACAACAAGAGGGCGCGACCCCTCTCACACGCTTTCCAGCCTAGCTGGAGGACTCTTGCCTAAGCTCACCTCCTAACCCGGCCTCGAGGACTCAGGTGGACAAAGCCCTCCTCCTACGCCCCTGCACCAGTTTGCTCCTTAAGCCCATGTCATCCTCCTCTCCTTGCCTGTTCATGGACCGACACGCGCATCCGTCCTCTCGGGCTGTACAGACAGTGTCTGCTGTCGCTGCCATTGCACACCTCGCCTCACAGCTGACGCTGCTTCGCGATACCTTGTAGAGTCTCCCCTTCACAAGGCCGACCGTGTCTTGCAGGAGTTGTCATCCATATACCCCTAGCCAGGCAGCATACTTCGACGTTTCCCTCCCACTAACCAAGATGGAGCATCCATCTTCCTCCTCCCATCTGCCTGCTATGCCCGTCCTCAAGTATATCCAGCTGCTGCCCCAGCACTCGTGTCCACCCTGCGTGTCGTGTTGTAGCCGGGTCGGTCAGGCGTCGTCGCCTCGCAGCGCGTCATCGGGATTGCATCTGCTTGGAAATCATCCGGTCTGTCGTCCTTCCTCCCTCTACCTGTCCGGCGGACGGCTCCATTACCCCCACCATGCTGGCTGTAACCATCTCCCTTCAGGAGCTTCGGGCTTCCTCGTGTGCTGATGGGCGCCTACAGGCATTGTCGATGGCTGCGAGCACCACGCTGTTTGAGGTCCTCCACTTGACCGCCATAAGAATGCTATCCCCTAGGCAAAGGCTGCAAGCACCACGCTGTTTAAGGTCCTCCAATTAACCGCCAATAACTCTGATAACGCTGTAGGCACTGTAGACACCATCAGTTAACGAGAGCTTCGATAAAGGGGAGGGTGAAAACTCTGCATCGCCACCCCAGAGGTGTCCTGTCGTACGCCTAGGCATCGGCTCCACGTTCGGCTTGCTTCCTACACAAGTAGACATACGTCGGATGGTTTTCATACCCATTTTGATGATTGTTCCTCTGTTCTGGTGATGCGGTTCGTTGTTGTCGTCGTCCGGTTGGAGGCCTTCGAACGGCCACAACGCCATCACCAGCTCCATCGTGCCTCAAGCATCTGCTCTGCTCACTACAATGTAGGAGCAGGTTCGTAGCACCGCCTCGTACAGGCTGCTTGTCGGGCTTGCGGTGCCAATATATACTACTATATACTTTATATTTATTATAGCTGCTTAATATAGGCTGTTTTACGCTATTAAAAAAAAGCGTACGGTTGCTAAATTAAGGATCTAGTGCGTAACTATATTAACTATATTATAAAGCTTAAGTTCTTACTAGCTTTTAAAATAGTATTTAACAACTTATTTATAAAAAGTAATATCTGCGTAAGCTTTTAAGGCGCTAGCCTTATACCGCTTAATCTAAAGGCAGTACTTTTAAAGCTTAATAGGAATTAAAAATACTAAGTAATACTTTTAAGCTAGGCTCTTAATTAGTATTAATTTATAATTATATTTAAATATATTAAAATAGCTTTCCTACTATAATTTTTAAGTTGCTTAATTTACTTATTAGAGGCGCTAAAGTATAGATATATAGGGCTATATTATTATATAATTAGGTTATAAGCCTTTAAAAGGTAAATAAGGCCGCTAGAAAGTGTAAAAAGTGTAAAAAAAAGCGAATTTAAAGGTAAGAAGTTCTAATAAAGGTATAGGGCTCTAAAATAATTGCTTAAAAGGAAGCTAATAAATAAATTAAGGGCGAAATGCGTTAAAATAGAAGGCGCCTGGGTGGAAGTACACGGCAGCAAGCGCGCTGTAGGCGCTGCGGCAAGACAGGATATAACGCTCGAACCTTCGTAAAACACACCGAAGCACAGAAACCGGTAGTCTGGATTCCCACGCAAGCGTGGGGGCAGAGTACGCAGGTGGTCGAGTCGCAGGAACACGCCACTTTCGGCGGCGTCCGCGCATCTAGACGCGACCCCACGAGCGACTTAAAGAATGAGCTCGAACAATCTTATGATGCGTCTAAGTAAAATCTACGTAGTCTGCAGAACAACATTTTAGCGCTCGTTTCAAATGATACAGCTCTTTCTGACGGGAGCGCCAAATCATCAGATCGTCACCTGCCAAGCTACAAAGGTACCATCTCGACTTCCAAGGTTGTGCATTGAAGCTTGGAAAGAGTCTAACCTCGAAACTTACCGCCAGACCTCAGAGAGAGACACACACCGTATCTCACAACTCATGGAAACTGCTGTCACGTTGATGGGGTTGCTCGTTGAAAATCTTCGCTCGAGGTGTTATCAAGGTAGGGCTGAAAAGGTGGCGTGAGGTGAGCGACACACCGCGCCACTAGCTGCGCCCCTGGCACTCCGACGAATGGGCTTCATTCCCGGCTATTTTGTTGCGTGATCGCAAGGATGACAGGACGTATGATAATCGAATTCGAGTTAATGCGACGAGCACTTTCCACGGTGGACAGATCGCGGCTGAGTGTACACCACGACCGCGCGGTGCTATAAAGGCTGTCTCGCAGTCGTCCTGAAGGGAGTCCATAACCATCAAGCATCAATTCGAATCAACAATCAGACCTCAGACGAGATCAACACAACCTGCTATCATCGACATCATCTATTGGTCGTCGATTCAATCAACCAAAAACTTTCCGACACCAACATCAGAAATGACCAACGAACCAAATGTGCGCAGCCACGCCGGCTGCTGCATGGGTCACTGTCGTGCCCAGCGCTTTGCAATGGACTCCCATTGCGCCGCCGCCTTCGAGAAGGAGAAGGCTACCATCAAGGCGTACGAAGATGGCTGGGACAATTGGGACGGCCCAATTTGGCCATGGCGGGAGACAAACAAGCCGCAAGCACAGCAGAAGCTGGAGGACGAGTATCAGGGATGCTGCAGCACACCAGAACAAACTACCATCAATACCTGTGAGTCTAACATAAGTACCCAACCTAGTACAATGACTGATTTGTCAATAGCGCTTGCAAACGTACATCAACTAAAGCCTAGTGCCGACTCCTCAAGACCATCGAGGCCTGCGAGTTTGGGTGGCTCGGTATCGTCGTCTTCGTCGTTATGGAGCTCCAGGACTACGTCTCCATGTCCTACCTGCGGAAGGGGTGCTACGTCGCATCTTTAATCGCATTGTTGAGCGGATGATCATGGACCTGAAATGTAACGCATTTGTTTAGTACAGGAGCGCGGTGGATTTACGGCGTTCAGGCGTTTGAAGGAGTTTAAAGCAAGAAGCCATTGCTTGAATGCGGATTGTGATCTCGAGTCAGACTCGATGGGCTGTGGTATGAAAAGGAAATCTAGACGAAGGCTATACGTCGACTACGCTGGTTACTGGGTCATCAGGGAACTAGACATAAGAGAGTAGAAGGAGATGGAATACCGAGCTCATACAAAGTATACTCATGATGCTGCCTCGTAGTCAATTCTTGATAATGTTCAGCTCCTTAGCCCCAGCCATCGAAGCACAGGAAATCATATCAAAGGCTTCAATTGCGGTGGCCTTTGGGTGGACGTAAGTCTTGTAGACGGAAGCGTGGTGAGTGGTGTCATGATTTTGAGATCTTCTGGTACCGAAGCTTGGGCGTTTGACCAGGCAAACACGGTTAGCCAGCACGGGCTGAAACAAAAAGCTTGTTCCCACAACACCTCTACGTTGTCTTACGACCATCACCAAAGGGCTCTTAGAATAGAGTAGAACGGCTCATGGCACTGCATAGCGAGCTTCTGTTTTGGCCGATCGAACCTTTTATTGGTAATTTGCTATTGCGGCCTTCTATCTGAATCATGTGTTGGGAAAGAAGTCCAGTTACATGATGAGACCGTCCACCACAAGATCATACATCGATGATGTAAGTATGCGATAGCCTTAAGCTGAAGCAGCCATGTCGACAGGTCATGTAATCTGCAAGAGTAAACAGTAACCTCCTTCTTGAATCCCCATCACTCAGCCGGCATACCAGCCTCAGGCAGTGTCTCCATCATAAGCGACAAGACGTTGCACCCTAGTACAGGACGATGGCTGCTGCGAAGAGCACAGCCAACACCATCCCGTCGATTGCACCGATCGCCTTGCCACTGTTCTGATAGTATGGAGTCTGAGTAGGAACCTGGGTAGGATGGAATGTTGTTCCATTGGAGGTGGAGGCAGTGGGCAACCTAAAGCGCAAAATATCAGTACGCGGTGGAATCGGGCTTCCACGAAGATGAACGCAGGAAAAGAGAAAATGAGGAGACAACTTACCCAGAAGGCGCCGTGACGATATTGGTCCCCAGAATTGAGCTCGCAGTCGTCTGAATCGGGTGATGAGTTGTGCCAGAACTAGTGGCAATGCTTGTGTTAGCCCAGAATGGTAACGAGGATGTGATCGATTTTGATGATTGGACTGGTCCGGTAGCTATGCTAGAGCGAGTGCTGGGGGAGAGCGTCTGCGTCTGCGTCTGCGTCTGCGTAATCACATGGGTGAGAGTAGACGTAATTTTCGTGGTGCTGTAGCTGATTGTCTGGGTTGGAGCAACTGTGCTGAAAGAGCTTGGAATATGCCCCGAGTTGATTGGATAAGTCGTGCTGGCGACGGAAGAGCTAGTAGAGGATGCCGGCGGGGTTTGGGTCACCACGCTGCTTGAAGAAGCCACGCTGCTAGGGAAAGATGGGACAAGCGGCGAGTTGATGGGGAACGTCGTGCTCGCGATGGAGGAGCTAGATGGGGAAGCCGGGGTAGATGGTGTTGCCAGACTGCTGGAGGAGGAGGATGACGGAGTCGAGATGATCTGGCTGCTTGAGGAGGAGGATGACGGAGTCGGGATGACCAGGCTGCTTGATGAAGACAGGACGATCTCGCTGGTGGACGACGGAGTCGGGATAACCACGCTGCTGGACGGAGACGAGACGACCTCGCTACTGGACGACAAGGTGGAAGTTACGATGCTGGATGGAGTCGAGACGACAGCGCTGCTGGATGGGGTTGAAATCAAGACGCTGCTAGAGGAAGGCGTGTTGACGGAGCTGCTGGAAACAAGCAGTGAACTTGAAGGGCTGGCGCTCGGCGACCGAGTGATGGTGATTGACGACGTAACCTTGACCGGGCACACGGTAGTGGTGACCGCGATCGTGGAGGTCACGACGGCGGTCGAGTGAGCAGGGCACTGGGAGACTTGGGGCGCGCAGTTCGTAACTGTGAAGGTGTGGGTCGCATAGACGGTGCTGGTCGACATCACCTCGAAGACCTGGACAAGGACGTCGACATCGCTGCCACGGGCGGACACATCTGGAGCACAAGACGGATTAGCTGAGGGCTTTCGAGAGCAAGATGGGACAATCTCTAGCGTGAGTCGAGTTGTTCTCGTGCTGGTAGGGCTCCCATCCCGTCCACACGACCAAGGCAATTCAAGCGCCAGCTGAGCATGCAGCAGCGTCCTAGCAGGCTCCGGTGGTGTCGGTTCGGACGGCAGAGCAGGAATGGACGGAGCCTTACCATCGGGGACTGCAAGAGCCACGGCCATAGCGGCGACGCTGCCGACGACGGCAACGATCTTGGACAGCTGCATCTTGCTGATTGGTGGCGGTCGGGTGTAGCTGGGAGGAGCACGCGAGCTGTTGGCCGAGCACAGTCAACCAGAGAAAGCACCGAGCGAGAATTGAAGCAGCTGAAGCGAGTGTACAAAGTTGGGTGAGGCAGAGGAAGAGGTGGCGGGCGAGGAAGAGGCCCTGATAAACAGACGCCGTTAGGCGCTAACCCGATTCGGACGACGAGCCCACGAACGGCAGCCACCCTCGTGCCCAGCTTGGACGGCGGCAGGCAAGTGTCTTCGCAGCGCAGGAGTAGCCTCCACGGGGGTAAGAGCATGGCATAGTGCTACGAAAAAGGCTCACTCAGGCTTGGAAGGGGTGCGTTGCTCGGAAAGACATCGGTATGCTCCCAAGTTTGGCCAGCGTCTGCTCTGCTCCACGCACTTCAATCTGTATCAGGATATGGAGATGTAGCAAGAGCTTGCTCCTCAAAGGCCTGCAGCTTCCCCTCCCGGGTGAAGAGCCCCCCGACCCCCTCACAGCGGCAGAAGCAGCACTGATGCTGGGCCAGGAGCCAGCCCACCAGCTGCAAGCTCGAGCCTTTGCGAGCGAGTGAGGAGCTCGTCGCCGCTGCTGCTGCCTTTGTCACCGGCTGCCGGGCCGGCTTGCTGCGTTTGCACTTTGGCTTGGCAGCCGGCTATAAAGGCCTTCCTCCGCTGCCGCACTCTTCTTCCTCTCACCATCCGCTACACCCGCCTTACCTCGTGCATCGTCTACGGCATACCTTCAGCAGCGTCAGCTAACATCTTCTTGCTTGCAACAGTTTCTCATACATTCACAGCAAGTACATCCTACTTCACTGCCAACATCACGGCCAACATGCACGCTATCAAGATCGCCGCCATTCTGGCCGCTGGCCTCGCTGGCCTCGTCGCTGCAGGTATGTGCAACGCCCCACTATCCTTCCGGAGCGTGGCACCACTGCCTGAGGCCCAGGAAGCATTCATTGAACCATTTCTGACTTGTCCCTCACAGGTGTCAAGAACGAACCCCGCTGGGCTTCCGGTTTGTTGTCCTTGACCCCCTCGTCAAATCCACAGCTAACAAGCTCACAGAGTGCGCAACATCGACTGTCACGGTCACGGTCACTGTCGCTCCCACCTGGTGCTCTGCCGCCAGCATTCCGATTCCAGTTCTCCCCTCAGTCGTCGTTCCACCGGTCGGAGTCCCCTCGAGCAGCTCTCCCCCGCCGTCGGCCTCAGTCGTCGTTCCACCGGTCGTTCCGATTACCGTTTCAGGCTCTGCCAGCATTCCTGCCGGCGAGACTCCGCAATCCTCGGTCACGGTCTCTGAACCAGCTCCTACTCCGCCAGCTCCGGCTATATCGACATCGGTCGCTTCTGGCACCACTCCATTGTCGATCTCGGCCACTACCCCATCGCACACTACCGCAACCCACAGCACAACTTCGACAGCGAGCGTTCAAGTGCCCGGCACTTCAACCCAGCCTGACGTGCCGACCGTGTCCTCAAGTGGCGCTGCCGTCCCGACAATGACGTCCGACTCTCTTATGGCCCGGCTCATCCTCGCCGGTGTCGTCATCAACGGTGCATTTGCTGCCCTGGCTTGAGCTAGTGGATAGTAGGACGATAGCTTTGGGACATCAGTGCATCATCCAAGGGTTATAATGGGGCAAGGTCTACGATACGACTCTTGGGTGTTTCATGATTGATGGTTTTGCACTATCAGGCTCTTACTTTTGAGAATTTTCCGACTCTATGTGTTTGGGTTGGAAGTCATTGGAGGTCACATTACATTGTCTTGCTAAATAGCTAAGTCAATTGAACTCCTTACTGGTAAACTCAGTTCTGTGAATCCTAGTGATGTTGTTAGTCTCTTAAAATACTTCCCATTTACGCGTACAGTAGTAGTTCATGAGTCTAAGTACACCTGGATATCACTTTTGAGGTCCTGAGACTGTCTCGGAATCCAAACGATATATAATTGGTTCATTCTGAACGATCTGTAAACTCGCCAGGTCATCGTATATAACCTCTTCTATCAGTATACAGAAGGACAATTACCGTACTTGCTCCCAATGCCTTTTGGTGTGGCATCGCAGCAGTAGCAGACTGTGCGCGTACTTTTGTCTGAGTACGATGTCTATCACGTGGTCTACCGAGCCCGACACTGGCGAGTAATAGTAGTCATCTGGAACTGAGTAAGAGGTGTGCCTGCATTGACGTGAGGAGAAAAGCCTCCTCTCTATATATCTGACATGCATTGGCTGTTCCACCTTCTAATTTTGAACACATTCCTCCCATGTAATAGTATCTATACAACCACCGGTACCTCTCGATGCTATCTAGAATGTTGATCAAACACACATACCCAACAAATGCATAACAAAGATCACGGACATACACCGTATATACAGTTGCCCCTCCCTATTTAGGTGACGACCAGCACTCAGTGTCCTTGATCTCAAGTATTGCTCTCTTCTTCCTCCGTCGCAAAGCACACCACGCACCCCCTCCCAATAGCCCCTTTGATGACATGCGCATGGGAAACCTTTGCCCCTACACTCCGCCCCCACCCACCGTCTTCGTCGGCATCTCTCGCTAGGCGCGCCTGCAGCGTTGCAGCTACTGAAGCTGACGCAGAGGTCTTGGGCAGGAGACACGACAGGTGATAAACATGGCCACAAGCAAAGCCAACAAGAGTGTCTCGCGAGGGAGGGATAGGACTTGGTTCCAGATCATCGTCGGCATTGATAGTTGATGGAAGGGACCCGGGGAGAGAAAAGGGGCGATGGCAAGCAGTGCAGTGACCAGGTCCAGCCTGCCCTTCCAATTGCGGTTGCGTTGGCTCAGAGGGCGCCGATGGATTGAAGGACTTCGAGGCATCGTCTTTAGCGCTTGTGTCTGATTTGACTAGATGTAGCTGCTCAACGTTGGATGTCTTCTCTTCAGGCTCGTCAGCCGCAGGAATGACGTCGAATTTTACCGCCCTCTTCTGCCCAGACCGCAATATGTCCATGCCTTGTGCCACTTCTCCCCTTAGTACTCGTGCTACTCCCTCTGATATGCTGAATTGGATCTCGTATTCCCTAACCATTCTTCCTATGCCCTCTCGCAAGCCCTCAATCTCGAGGCCTTCAGGAATGCGGCGCACGAGAGTGATAGGGTTAATGGACGTACCGACTTCTTCTAGCAAACCCCGTATAAATCGCGGTTTATCCATACTGTAGTCCAGTAGGTCATCCCAAAGGTCAGGGTCGTTCTGCTCCTTGGCAAAGGAAATCGCACGAGACACATCTGCGAGGGTGTTGATGATGAGGAAAAGTGCACGTTTCGTTTGACCTGTTTTAGAGAGGATGTACCTATTAAATTGGTGGTTAGTTTGATTGAAGTATGTGCCATCAAGATATACTTACACCAGCTCGGGTATATAATCACGGCCCTCGCAAACGGCGGAGGCTTTGTCGAGGTTGTAGCTTTGGGATGAACGTAGGAACTCCATGAGGTTCGATCGGTCATATTCCGCAAATAGTGAAACAATAAGATCGCCGAAATCTTCAGCCATCATCTTGAGGCCATCGGCAGCAACGCGATCAGCAGTGGTGCTCCCTTTGTTTTCGCTGCCTTCGCCCTTCCAAAGCGACTTAAGATAGAGGAAGAGGAACGGCTGAAATGACAGACCCTTGCTCTCTAGCTGAGAAACAACCTCCTGCGCGGGCACAACTCCACGATTAGCCTCCGTCACTAAGAGGTGAATTGCCTCTATCGACGCTTCTTGTAAGTCGTGCATTGGGGCCGATTCCATTTGTTCCCTAGACACTCGAAGCAGGATGAATCCAGGAATGTCGTCTCTGATTGCCTCCAAAAGATGATGGTCTCGAATGAGACTCATAGCAGCGTCGGCATCTTGAAGGCGGAAGTAGCATTTTAACGCTTCCCTTGGGCGGCCACCAGACAAATACATTTTGGCGAGCACGTCTTGTAGGATGCGCCAGTCTCTCGCTTGTTCGCCGCCTTCCACAGAGTCCTCCGTAATCTCGCCTTCGGACAGCTTCTTCTTGATTGCCTCAGCTACGCTGTTGATGTCAAACAGAGACGAGTCCCAAGTATCGGCAAAGTCTTTGAGTTTTAGCCTATCGCGGTTCACGAAGTGACCTAGCACGACCTCATATACCAAGGACGGAATTGGTGGATGCATCTGTTTCGTGGGCAAGTATGGTGCAATCTCGTCGATCCGATTTGCTTGAGCAAACTTCCAGAACCAGTGGTCCCACCTCTCAGATGTTCCAAGCACACGGCCGGCGACTTTTCCTGCTGTCTTCCAGTCTTTAGCAGACACAAGCTGCTTGACCCAGAGGTCACCGATACGCCGCTTCTCTTTTTCGACCGCCGAGTTATGACTTCGAACTGCTGACACTGTCGTTTGGGAAGCTGTGTCATCGGCAAAGAAGTCAACAAGGCTTCCCTGAGTTTTCACTGGCGTGCCGCTAGGAGACGCATCTGCAGGTCTACTGAACGATGCCGTGATAATTTCGGGGTGATCATCAACGAGCTCCCACGCCTCCTGGTATCTTTCATGCTCTAGTTCCCAGTTGAAATGGTCCGCGAGGTCACGTTTGACAGCAAGGACACAGTCGAAAGGGCTTTGGATGAAGATTTTCAATCCAGCGGAGGCTGCAGCCGGATGAACGTCCTGTAGTCGCTTCCCCATGAAAGGAGAAGAAGAATTCACACCGCTGCTAGACTCCAAGGACTGTGTTGCTTTACCGTTGTCGCCACTGCTAGGAAGGCTGATGACGCTCGCACCCGAACTAAATATACGAGCCGCACTAACGCCAGCATCCCACAAGCCTCCGCCAAGAGCTTCCAACGCACCTCGTTGAGCAGGCGTCATGGCCTTTGGATGGGGAACATAAAGAGTGCTCAAATGGTAATCGGCCGAGGAAAGAGTTTCGAACCGACTCACGTTGAGCATATCCACCTCAACTTCATCGGAGGTGGCCGCATCGATTAATTTCAGCTCAGGAGACAGTCCATTGTGGCGGCGGTGCATTCCTCTGCGTGGGGTCGTTTCGGCAGTTGGTGTAATGGGGTTGTCGTCGTCATCGCGGGTCCGGTAAGCAAGTACAAGAAGCAAGGAAGGGGTATAAAGCGAAATCCCAGAAACAATACAGTCCTCAAATCGTAAGCTGGCCACAGAATCAGTATGGTCCACGTTGAATATCAGAAATCCTTACAAATGTACTATGTCGGCGCTGCCAACAGATCTTTCTCCAATATCCTTACCCACCCCGGCGCCTCCTGGGTTAACGTGGATCACCCAAGCGGCATCACCCCACCCAACCACCAGCTTCTCGACTCTCTTTTTCTTGGTCCCATTCTGCTGCTTGTCAGGGCGCCTGTGAGGCAGCGAGGATTCGGCCTTTGTCGCGCTCCCAATTCCACTCGGTCCATTTAAGTCATCGTCAACCTCAAGGGCTTGGTCGTCTACCCAGTCCGCTCGAGCTTTCCAGACACCAGCCATCTCTTCCCAGGCTCGGCGGTTTGGCTTATCAACGAATCCTATACGCTTCCATGCAAAGTCTGAATCGGCGCTTTCCAGCTGTAGATTCGTCCGCATGATCCGAATGCCTTGCTCGTTGACCCAGACCACGTACTTTCCAGAGAGCGACCATTTGATCGTGCTGATGCCGCCCTCCCCGGAATGCAAAATCGTGTCTCGTCCAGAATTGCCACCGAACCCGATCGCCCCTAGCCATCCCTGAGCTGCAGCCGCAGCATTGTTCGTGTTCGCATTAGCCTTCACGCCCGGTTGACCACCAGAAGTGAGAATCAGATTGCCAGCCAAGCCTCCCGATAGATACGTTCTGTCGGATTTGTACTCCGGTGATAGCGCTACCGCTTGTACGGGACGCGCAAAGTTCCGTAACGTAACATCCCTGGGATCTACGAGCGACGACACGCAAACGTGGCCATCTATGGATGAGGTGGCTATGAATATTGAATTTGATGGGGTAGAGGGAACAGGTGGCTGTCGTGGGGTTCGCGGCGACGCCGTCTGGCCGGCTGATACTGAGGGTGCCTTCTGTGGAGTACCCGGTGCTTCGACTGGCCGGCTGGGGGGGACATCGGGCCTTACAGACGGAAGAGGCGGCGGGAACGGAGACACGGAGACGGCGGTGACAGACGCGGTATGGGCGCTGTATAGGCGCAAGGGCTGGAAGGACGGGATAGTGAGGACATGCTGCATCTAATCAGCGAATTTGTTTTTAGGCTGCGCGAAGCTAGACACATCACTCACGATATTGCCATTGTGTGTTCCCATGATCTATTTAGCACTTAGTATTCACGGTATATCAATCAAGCACCATCCAAGCAGCGCGCCATACCATTTTGTCCCCCGCAACCATGAAGGAGCTCGTCGCATCGCCATTCCGGTAGACAGAGCCCAAGTTAGACGTCAGCCGGGTGTACTTCAGCTTGGGCTCCTCGTCTGCGTCCTCTTCCTCTTCCTCGTCGTCCTCGTCGTCATCGTCAGTGGCCTGCGCGGTGCTGGCAGTGGAGTCTCGACCGTGGCTGGAAGCGCGGGGGGGAAGCATGTCGTCGGGGGGCGCGCTGGCGGCCTCAGTCTCTTGCGGATCGGCTGGCATGCTGGATGCATGGATCGCGGCGACGGAGAGAAGCTCAGCCAACGCGTGCGCGGGAGCGGTGATGCGGAGGCCATGTTGGCGGTGATGTCGACGCTGAGACCCCTGCACGCCTCGGCCAGGGATGATCCATTAATTTATTGTGCAGCACAAGCAGAAGCTTCATCCACCGCATCCAACCCCATTGACGTGTCTCCCGGAGCCAGATGCGCACTCGATACAGCACCTCCTCTGTCCGGCAATGCTCTTCTTCCGCAGAAATGCCGTGAATTGCTTGACCCGGAGCTGTGTCTCCACCGTCGCCCACAACTCCCCCAGGCTTCAGCCAGCCTACACACTCCGCCAATGCCGCGAGCCGGATATATCAGGCGCCTCTTCTCGGCGAGCCTTTTCGCACTCAGGCAGTGTGTGCAGAAAACAGGAGCAACTGCAGAAGGAGGAGACGCCACTGCCTTCTCCTTCCTCCGACCAAGACGCTCGCGACTCGGCTGGGAAGCAGGACCACCGGAAGCCGAGGAAGAGCGTGGCCAAGACCTCATCCCTCCGGCGAGTGGCGGTAGAGGCCCAGAGATCGAGGGGCGGGCTTGTGAAAGGCAAGGGCAACAAGCGCTTCGTTGACCCAGATGTCGCGACCAAGGTACGGACCTAGGCCAGCTGTAAGGAACTAGCTAATACATGCAATTGAGTAGACAGTCACGGCATACTGCGCAGCGGAGCAGTACGATATCACTTCTGCTGCCAAACTCGTTCAGGACCAAGGGTACCAACTCGACCCGTACCAAACCGGCTTGTTCCCGCAAGTCATACACGTGCAGACTGCGGAACGAGCGTATAACGTAGCCTTTCCGGGGCCGGGAGATATCTTCATATTCCCCTCTGGCACAGTTGTTAGTTGGAATGTCCCTGAAGCCGAAGCTGTTGGGTTTGTCCGTAACATCTTGCCCGCGGCAGCGGAGGGGTCACACTTGAATCTAGTAGAGACCGAAGATCTGGAATACCTGGAGGACCCCTCCAAAGAGACCAGTGATATCGTCGGTGATACGATCATCTTGGGCACTAAGGCAGAAACCCAGGATTCCGAGGCTCGTGAAGAATCGACCGTCCGCCAACACAGCCGCACGTTGACTGCAACAAATGAGACATCGTCTCTTAGTGATGGCGGCACAGACCAACGGCATGAAGTCGATACCATCCTAGCCAAGATAGCCTTTTCTTCTGGTTTGGCCCGATCTACGAAGCTCGCCGTGTTGGAGAGCCTCCTCAGTACCTATCAACAATCGACACGCTCCATACCAGCAATGCTATCTGGGGACTCACAGACCCTCTTGCGAAGATCGAAACTGCCCTTCACACGATCCTTCATCCTCCGCAAAACTGGTGAATTGCTGAGCATAAGAGCTCAATTGAACCTCTATTCGGAACTCACTGACTCCCTCCCCGATATCTTTTGGGATAGTAGACACGAACTCGGGCTTGGAGAGTATTACGACCAGGTTGGTCGTGCTCTAGATGTGGGAGTTCGTATCAAGGTCCTGAACGAGAAGATTGGGTTTGCTCAAGAGATTGCGAGTGTGTTGAGGGAGTCGCTCAGCGAGAAACACGGGCTTCGATTGGAGTGGGCCATCATAGCTCTCATCGCTGTAGAGGTAGTTCTAGAGTTCTACCGTCACTGGAAGGACGTGCAAGAGAGAGATGATCCGGATAGCACGGAAACATTGCTACGAGACTTTTTGAAAGAAAAAGGAGATAGAGTAGCGTGTTGAAAACCTAAAAGATAGATAGAAGCGAAGATACCCCACTCTGATTGCAAAAGACTACTATTCCCGCTGTACGTGAAAAAAGTGGCAGACTCATCAAGCATTCTGTCTCCTGCGGCCATGTGTACTTCTGTCTGCCACTGCTTGAAGTGCTTCAACAAGTTTCCACATAGCCCAAAGTCAAGAGCTTCTATCTCGTTCGTATCTTTGAAAGTGGATTGAAGCACCCCAAGCAATGGCATACGCTCAAGGCGGCTTGTTCTAGGAATTAGAGCGCCAACTTTTTCTTGCCCCGCGTACTACAGTTTCCCATACTTGATCATTTTCACCTTTCTAACTTTGTGATCGAAGCATAGACCGTGCATAACATTCACAGGCAGTGCGCTGATGTCATGTGCTTCCCCGAATGCTGATCGATTGACATGGATGAATGCCTCTGACCTCACGCGTCAAGAAGCGCGTTGTTTGTGTATTTGAGCATACGTCACTGATGAAGACCGAAGCGTGGAAGGAATATTAAGCCGCGTGTCCCATGCTCGCGCCACAGCGCGAGTAGGATACCTTTGATACCATCGCCAGTCACTCATACTCCTTCCGCAGCACCAATCGAACACAGCTTACATGGCGCCCACTTTACGAAATCGCGAGGCTCTCGCCGACAAGTCTCTAAGTGCTCAGAACTCAGTTGACCTGGACATCTCTCATAAAAACAAAACGAAGGCGGCCAATGCTGAGGTATCGCACATTCCAATAGACTATCAAGTATTTACTGACACTGCTATAGAAAAAGAGCAAGAGGAAGAGTGATGCAATTTCATATGGCGGGAAGCGGACGAGCGAACCCGACCAAAACAACGCCAACCCACAGGCCGGCTCAGACAAGTCCAAAACAGACACCAACACTGCCAAAAAACGAAAGACATCGAGTCCCTCTAGCAAATCTGCTGGCGCCGCTACTGCCAAAAACAAATCGCAGGAGTCCGATGTCAATCTCTCATCCATCCACCTAGAAGGTGAAGATGATGATTCTGTTCCGGTTTATGAGACCTGCGACATGGTTCGACGGAAGATCGAAGCTCATCTGATGAAGAAGCCCGGTGCTACGCAAGCAGCCTTCTGCCGCGAACTGTCGAATCAGTACCACGCCTCTTCTACGTCTGTTTCCAGTAAAAGTCTCTCCAACTTTCGTGGCCAGAAAGGGTACGACAAAGGCAACACATCGTCCGCGTTTTATGCTGCTTATTGTTATTTCGAGAAGTTGAGGATCAAAGAGGGCAAGCCGAAGAGCAAGGATCGAGTGAAAATGGAGGAACTTTGGGGCGAGAAAGGGGGCTTCAACATCTCTCAAGCCAGCAACCAAAAACGCCTCTGGATTGGGCCAGGCACCAGGATGAAGAAGAACAAGTATGGTGAGGTAACTCTTCATTTTGCTAATATGGGAGAGCAAACGGGCGTCCTGTGATAAATTAAGGTGAAGCGTGTCAATGTATGAAAAGTTTCGTATTGCAGTTTAATCGTACAAGTACATTACATGTGCGGTTCTAAACGCGAACGCGCTGGTATCGAATCGCTTTTGTACGTCAAAACAACGCCATGCCAACGCTAAAAGAGTACGAGTGCATCCAAACTCCATAGGCCCAAAAAAGTATCTTACATGGGTCAACCTTGGCGTAAAGGATGTCCTAGCCTATATATACACCCAACGAACGGGTAGAGAGCAGGGGCAGATCTTGACCTTGAGGTGTCAGAATCAGCATCGCCGAAAGGATTATACCGTGAGATGCCTCGCCTAACCTCCCAATCGTTTCTGGCTTCTTACGTCGTTTATGTCGTTAGCCATCTTTTTGCCGACCTCGTAGCTGCTTATCATAATGGCACATGCCGGTGCAACTTTTAAGCATCGAGCCGCCCATCCTCTGAATAGACCAGGAATTCCTTGCTCTTTGAATATGTGCAATAAGAAGCGTGGCATCGATCTATCCTCGGGACGGACAATGCCACCAACAGCTTGGCCTGTTGTATCTCCCGCGCGCCGCATTACTTGCTGCCTAGTCTTTCCAACGTCGAACGGAGTGGTAACCAAGGCGGCTACGGCACCTGAAGTGGCGCCAGCGACGAAGCTATCCACTAAAGTTGCGGTGTGGTTCTCGTGGTTCCTCGAACGGCTCCTCCGTCTGACCTTCTCTGCGCCAGCTCCTTTCGCGAACTCGACACCGTCCTTTCTGGCCTCTGCTCTCCCACGAACATCCGTCAACGTATTTCGCCCAGTCTCATAGCCCCACCAGTAGATTGCCGAGAATGGGACGTCTCTCCACAGCGTCAGGGTCAATCCTCGCCACAAGCTGCGAATTCCCTGAGCCGCAACCATTTCCCGTAGTCCATCCAGTGTCTCTCGGAAATGGCCGGCAGGGGTGGTTGTATGGTGGGCCGCTTGCATTCTCGTCTTGAAGATTTCAATCGGACCAACCACTACTGCTGCCATTATACGAGCACTCCCGCCAGCAGCGAGAGGTACATATGCATCTGGCACGGTATTCTTGAAAGGCGATTTAGGTGCAGTGCGTAGCCAGTCGTACCCGGCGAAGTAGATGACATTAGCCGGCACTGCCATGGCTAGAGTGGGCGAAAGCCCTCGCCACAGTGTCCTAGGTCCCTCGTTACGTGCAATTTTACGGAGGCCATCCAATGTGCTGTTGATGGTTGTGCGTTCCGTCTCCTCCACGGCACAGGCGACACTCGCTGGGTTTATAGGCGCGACGGTAGGTCCGGCCACACAGTACTGTGCGTTATTGTTTATCCAGAAAACCTCCCGACAGCATTGTGATATTCCGAGGTTGGGTGGCATGTCGCGAAATTGGGTTAGGGGGAGTGTGGAGGTCAAAGGCCGCAATTGAGTCGATGGTGTGTGGTGTTGAGACTGTAGGCGGACGCGGACGACATCGAGAGGCGTCACTGAGAATCCAGTCAGTCTGAAGTTTGCATATTTTGGTATGGGCCTCGAAGCCCTTCCGCCTCCTCAGAATGGATTCTCGTGAAATGGCCTTTGAGGAGAGCGGGACGGGCGAATGTAGACACAGCCAAGGAGAGAAAAGAGCAGAAACGCACCTAGGAGCGAAGTCAAGACGCTGCCCGTGACGGCAGACAGCATCTTCTGGGCCAGGGAGATGCCCAGATCGCCAGCATCGTCGGCAGCGGCGGCGGTGGACATGGCAGGCGGCGGGTCGATTGCGCGCAGAGTATTACCTCGTGTAGATGCTCAGCCGGGCGGAGTCACTGGCAGGATGGCAGTGCGCCGGCAGCATGGTGGTGCTCGTGATGGGTGACGGTGACTGTCTATGGTTTGAATTTCGATGTATGACGGACTCCCGAGGTTGGCGTAATTTTTTAGTGGACCTGGGAGCTCGATGCGGGCGGCGCTGACTCCAACGTGCATCTACCTGCAGTATGTATCCCTCCTGCACCCGCCTGCCTGCAGGAAGCGTCTGTGTGAGTAATACCCCAGCAGCTGTCCGCCCTAGAACGTCTTGTAAATAGCTCCAACGTTTCTGCGGTACTTGGTGTTTGCTCTTATCCCTCCAGCCCTTCGTCCGTTCCTAGTTCTACGTGTTTTACATATATCCCTCCCTCCTCATGAGCCAAACCGAGGCCGAGCTCGAGAGCTTCCGCCGCCAATGGCGCGAAGAGGTCTCGGCGCGGGCTCAGGCGGCGAATGCAGCTTCAGGGCCAGTTCTTGACTCCACACAGCCATCTGGTAGCCGTCCCACGGCCCGGAACCCCAGCGCGACGGAACCCCAAAGCACCAAGTCCCACGATGTATCAGGAGCACTGGACGACGAGTGGGAGCCCCGGACGTACCACGATCTTGGGGACAGGGATTCAGGGAAACGACTGACAGACTCTCCATCGTCATCCACGGCAACTCCGGCCACCAGCGCACCGCGGTCGGCACTGGAGCACTATGAGCAGGCTGTCGAGAAAGAGAGCCAGGGGAGTCTGGGAGACAGCGTAGACTTGTACCGCAAAGCCTTTCGGGTAATTACTGGACCTCCTTGAGAGTGTAACCCATGCTGAGAAATACATGCAGCTTGACTCTCGCGTCCACGAGGCATACAAGAACAAGCACTTCCCGCCCTCCTTCTTCCAAGCCTCCAAGACTAAGCCGCAGGACCCCAAGCCTTCAAATGTACCGGCGACTGTGCCAAACACCGCCCATCACTCATTAGATGGCCTTTCCGCCTCTCTGTCCAGCCTCATCCAAGACTTCTCTTCCCTCTCTATCCCGAGCGAAGAACCCCCTACTGATCTTTCTCCCGCGCCACCCTGCCCTATCTCCACCCTACCTGAGGAAATCCTCGTAGAGATTCTTCTCGAGCTTGCCATTCAGGATGTAGCCTCCTTTGTCCGTCTAGCTCAGACATGCAAGCGGCTAGCATACCTCGTCCTCACTGAGGAGCGTGTCTGGAGACGTGTGTCCATAGGTTCCGAAGTCGGCTTTGGAGCCATGCACTATGACTGGAATTGTAAGGTCAATGGACAGCCACTTGGCGACGACGACGAGGGCGGTCAGATCCTGTCTTCCCCTGAAATCGATACCCCTCATCCAGTAACATCTCTTACCACCACTCTTCTCGTCCCCCAGGTCTACCCCAACTATCGCGCACTTTTCCGTTCGCGCCCTCGCATACGCTTCAACGGCTGCTATATCTCCACGGTAAACTACACTAGACCTGGTGCCTCTTCGCCAAGCAGCATATCATGGCACTCGCCAATCCACATTGTGACGTACTACCGTTACCTCCGCTTCTTCCGCGACGGAACTTGTGTTTCGCTTCTCACAGTTGCTGAGCCGGCCGATGTCATACCGTACCTGCTGCAAGAGCATATGCACACTCACCACTCTGGAAACCTCCCCAGTGCCGTCATGAAGGATGCTCTTGCGGGCCGCTGGCGGCTTTCAGGTCCAGCGGTGCCATCGAACCCAAGTTCGCGTGCGAGTGGAATGGGGGCTGTCGAGAAAGCAGTCGACTCCGAGGCCGAGGGCACTCTACATATAGAGACGGCTGGCGTGACTCCAAAATACACTTACAAGATGGCGTTCTTGCTTGGAAGCGCTGGGCGGGCGGCGCGGAATAATAAACTGGCATGGAAAGGATACTGGAGCTACAATAGATTGACGGACGATTGGGCGGAGTTTGGACTGAAGAACGACCGGCCCTTCCATTTCAGTCGAGTGAAGAGCTACGGTATGGGCATGTGAAATAGACGAGTGTTCTCTCTGGGTAGAAGTGGCGGCATCAGGTGCCAATCGTCATGTGCTAGAGTCACATGATCTCGCTTAGGGCCAACCGCCCGCCAAAGTGTCACAGCCGGCCCTCCGCACCTCTTGATGATCTTGCACTGTAGCTACCTCGTCTACACCAATATACAAGGTCTCCATACAATCCTCTATTGCACCGTGACACATATCGATGAGGAATATAGCGCAGTGCACGAGTGGCTTGAATAGCAGACTTCAGTGAATGCCGTCTCATCACTTCGCGAGAATCGACTGCGAGAATCGACAGCTGGAGGAACGCGGTGGAACACCGTCTCAAAAATAGAAATAGGAGCCGCGAATCAATAAGCCGGCATCTCAACGAGACAAATCTGATATGTACCTGGCGCTGTCGTCAGGCAGAACCTTGCACACATCGCAGGCCTCGCATGCAGGCTCGCAAGCCATTTCCCACCGCAGACAGCCAACACGTGAGAGTGTTTTTGCTCGACCTCTCGAGGACCTGCGTCAGCCCCGGCACAGGGCGGCAGCAGAGGTGAAACATGCCGGCAATGGGCCAATGGGGCGGGCGACGCGGCCAGGCACCGTGAATCCGTGGCCCAAAAGGGCGCCGTCAGGACCGTCGCAGCCAGGATCAGCGGGGCCCGAAAGCAAATCGAGGGCGCCCGCCGGTCCCTTTTGCTCGTCGTGCGAGCGCTGAGCAGGCGAGGGCTGTCGGGAGCCGTTCAGCAGCTTCACGCAGAGCCCTCGATCGCAACGGCAGCGCGAGGGCGGTGCGAGGCCAATCTGGTGCGTACGAGCAGGATCAGGGCCGTAATGTAGCGCGCGCAGGCCCTGGTGCCAATATCGGGCGGGTCGCTGGTGGCCGGCGTTGTGGCTGCGGGTGGAGAGGGTTGCAGCGTCCACGACGCTGACGGGCTGCCAAGTTGAGCACAGGCGCGGTTCATTTCCTCTGCTCGCTCCTCTCTCCTGCCATTCTCCTCGTCTCCTCACCAAGCCCAGATCCCACTAACTGCTCGCCTTCATCGCCGCCGTTCGAATCTCGTCGGCCTCCACGCTCGTTGCACTGTTCTGCTGACACTCTACACTCGTTGCTCTCCGACGTGGCCTGGAATAAGGGGCTGCTCACGCGAAACGCGGCATTCCAGGGTCGGCCGCTGGCCACCAACGCAATCCAACGCTTCGTGTTTCGAAGACTGCCATCACGGACTCGTTGAGCGAGTGCCTCAGCTGGACGCAGCCTTCTCCCCGGCCTCAAAGTGCTGCTCGACTGCATTCACCACCGCCGTCGTCATAGCCTACCGATACGTTCTTTCCACGCCGACCGACCCACAGCCGACCGTGGTACTGACACCACGACAATCGAGATCCACCACCGTCAGTATCCCAAACTTGACACCCGACGCCATTTCATGCGTACGCATTGGTTTGGTTAGGCCTCGAGTATCTGGCGTCACGACTCAGCACAGCACGAAGCACCTCGGCGGACGACACGTCTGACGACGACGACACCATCCCTTACTTCACCTCTCCCCGAGCCCAACACCGTTGGCACTTTCCACAACCCACTCCATCATGGTCTCATCAATATTGACAGCCACGGCCGTCGCGGCTTCATTATGGTCGCTGGCGTCCGCCGGCTCGGCGGCCTCGGCCTCGTCCACCATCGTGGCCATCGCAACACCAACCTACACCGGAGTCCGCAACGCAATGACATACGAGGGGTGCTTCAGCACAGGAGATCCTCTAGAAGACCATGGCCCAGCGACTTTCCAGACGGCAGGCAACTGTCAACCCATCTGTCTGGGTCTCGGCAAGGCGGTTATGGGTCTGGTTGATGGCAGCAACTGCTTCTGCGGTGACCTCCTCCCTCCTGCCGATACAAAAGTGGACAACGACCTTTGCAACACGCCTTGCAACGGCTATGACAAGGACAACTGTATGTTGATAATCTAAGTTGAGTTCACATTGAATACTAATCTTGCGTGACAGGCGGCGGAAACGGTTATTGGATGGTTTCGCTCACAGGTATCAACCACAACAAAATTGCAAACTTCGATCCATCTTCATCGTCATCGTCATCATCGAGCACGGCTGCACCAGCAAGCAAGACCTCACCACCAGCACAATCCGTAACACTCGGCGCGTCGACCGTGGTCATCACAGCGTCTGACGCAGCCGCAACTACCCCAGTGACGAAAAAGAGCTCAAGTGGACCCAACAAAGCCGCCATCGCCGCAGGCGTCGTTGTCGGTGTTGTAGCCCTAGCAGCCATCATTGCTGGTATCGTGCTCGGCCTCAAATTCAAGCGTCGTCGCGAAGTCGAAGAGGAATACAGACGCCAAGCAGCGGTCAACAACTTCGTCGGATCTAGCAAACTTCATACTAGCAACTCATCAATGAACGACTCAAGACTCGACCCCGAGGTCATGATGAGGAGGCAGAGCGATGGTAGTATCGCTGACAACCAAGACTATTCGCGGCGGATATTGAAAGTATGTTTACACCCTCAACCTTGGTTACCTGGACCCTGTCTAACAGACTTCTAGGTCACAAATCCAGATGGACACTAGCGCGGCAACTTGACGATAACGATTTTCTCCTGTCCTGCCATTATCAATTGCTCAAGCGCCTTTGTTCCTCCGGATTCTAGCGACGATTCCAACTCATCCCCGCGAACGATCGATGACACTATCCTCGTGTCCCTCTCCTCCACCTCCCTTGTATTATGTCCTGGCATTGGGTCTTTTCCTTGAGTCGTCTTGGGTGCAGTCATGTTTGACGAGAGTTACGGAACGCTTCTAGCTGTTCGCCAAATCTCCCCATACTCTTCTGCTCTCATTGTGGAGCTCTATTTCGTGGATAGATTTGGAGACTTCTAGCTGTCTGTTTTAGTGATACTTTCTCCTTCATGATTGATCTGGTTTGTATAGTCTATCGGCGAATGGGGTTTATCGGGCTAAAGAGGATCCTTCATGTGGGCGCGGGATTACACGGAGCTGTCTTTGTCACTCATTTTCTTCTGTCTTTATCTCTCTTGTCGGACTATAACCTGTCTGTAGTAGACTGCTACGTCCTGTCCGTCCTCTCTCTCTCCGGCTCTCTGTGTCATCACTACCCCACAGCATCACTCTCGTCGCATCACTGTAGTTAGATGTCCTTATTAGGGCACTCGACTCAAGCAGTGTCAGCAAAAGCGGGCATACCTTTCTGTCTACATAGGTTTATAGTCGCTCGTAATTGACGACAAATTTCAAATTAGAAGCCTACCTCAATATCGTGACAGTGGCGCTGCCCTCGCGAATGTTTATCGAGAATTTCTACGTCACTCAATCCTCCAGCGCAACTGACCGTTTTGAGTACTCCAGTCTTAGTAAGGACAAACACTACCGTCGCTTCTCAGACGCCCAGCTCATCTGGGGTACATAATATCTCTGATAAGCTGGTCTTCTCTTCTGAGCGACCTGGGCTATTGCTAACCATCTATTCTGCCATGCTTGCTTCTTTGTCATCCCCATCGCGCTGCCAACAAGGTTGATACTCAAGACGACTTGTCAAACACTCCGCCGCGTCTCGATTTCCCTTGGCACGCAAGTACAAAATTTTCTCTTTCAAAGTTCGGTAGACTAGCGATGTATGCAGCCCACACAGTCTAGATGCCCAAAACTGCACTCGTCAAACCCCGAGTCCACTTCTGTGGCTTCTAGAAACCTACCTAAGACGGCACAAGCGAAAACTCGTGTCCTAACACTACCGACGGCTCCGCCGGGTGTCCAACCTGCATCTCGAAAATCTGTTTCTAAATACTCCTAAGTGTTTGGAAAGTTTTGCAATCACCTTAATCCTCCTCAGCAACCTGGCCAGCTCAGCTGAGAACTATACGGGGCCATGTTCCACGAAACCCTTGGTCCCTCTTGGCTTGTCAGAAATGAAGGCTGCTGATGTGCTCCGTGTGTTTGGGGAGATTAGCAGCCCGGGGGCGCTGGGTGCGGCGTGTTTCATGTTTCGGCTCCCGTACCGATCGGCGGGACCCGGTGGTTTTGGGAACTTTTTGAGGAAATTTGGGGATTGGCTGGGTTGCAGTGGTAGGCTACACTTGTAGAGGATTTTGCAGGATGTCTAGAGGAGAGGGAAAGTGGCATTGGGTGGTGGTGGTTGGTTGGGGTGAAATGAAGGGCACGTGATTAGGTTGGATTTGGGGTTTGTGGAATCGTGAGGGGCTAACGCGCTTTTTCTCGACCTGGGGAGGTGATTTCTACCTCTTGTTATGCAGCAATCCGAGAATTTTGTTCAGATGTTCGATGACTATGTAGAGTAAGACTTCGCAACGAACGGTAACTCTTGCTCTTTGTATGTACATGCGCGCGCTTGATGCTTCATTCATGTCTTTGCGATGCACAAGCTCCCATCCTTCCGCGCGTCAGCATGCCACGTCCACGAGAACCTAAACATCATGCCCTGGCTTTGAAGAGTGTTCTCAATCACTTTAGAGCTGTTTTCCTCCCGTCAAGGCCTTTGTGGTTGAGCTATCGCTATACGTCTCTCGACATCTCTGCACCTTAAGAGATGATGGTACACAAATGTAGAGAGTAACTTATTGCATGCTTACTCTTCAAGTACGAACCCCTTTCATTCAACAATGCACGTAAAAATTTCCATATAGAAGGCTGCTTTGCTGCGGAAGAAAAGAAAGGGAAGCCAACGCTCGTAATCATGACAATGCTGGTGGATTGAACTATCTGACAGCATATCTAAGACCAAGTCAGAGGGTAACTTTTCTTCACGTGTTTTTGGATCTTCTTCTTCTATCCTAATCTACCTCCCTCTGTGGCATTTTCCGTCTCATTAGGCCGTCAAAATCCTTCCAGTCGAGGGGCTAGAGCCATTACAAGAGATAAACATCATCGTTATTGAACATGGTGCTCAGTATCTGCGCCAGCTCTTTCTGTTATCAACATTGTTCATGGGGATGCTCTCCACTCCCAAATAAGCTTGTTAGTCGCTGGATTTGGGGGTTATCTCGAACGATCGAGGCTCCCGACGGCTTTAGCTGAGATGAACACATCTCTTAATACGTGGACGAAGTAATCTTGAAACAACACTGTGGGTACTGCACACTCCGAATCAATCTCGTCGACCTCTGTCTTTCGGCGGTCTCTTCACAATTCGAAGCTCTCCCGAAGGCTTCAGAGTCAACACACTCGGCGCACTGCCATCACTGTCTACCTCTACTCACTCCCAATCATTCTGTATCATTTAGGGACGTTCTCTATAAGTCGAGGCTCCCTCGGAGACTCGAGACACCTTCCACTTCAGTCCACTACATCAACGTATATCTTTGGGGGCTATCTTGTCCATTCGGAGCTCTCCATCATCAACCTCTATCTTTTTGAGAACACCTTTGACCTATTAAAGGTCCTTCGACAGATTGTCTACTCCAATTCACCTCCCAACTTCGATCTTTGGAGGGCTTTGATATATTGAAGCATCCCCGAGCTTCCCCAAGAGTGAGTCAAGTCCGTCTCCGACCCCCCAGCCAGCACATGCAAGTGAGGTGATTTGCGCCGTTCCCCGTCTCCGCGTCCGACGCCTGCCTGATTCTCGGTGAGGTCATCTGCCGGAGACGTGCCGGGCCTCATTTGAAACGCCCTTCTTCTTCCCCCGTCAACCTCGCCACCGGCACCATAGGCACGCTCGTTGGTTGCGCTTGTGCGCGTATTTAGAGCTCACTCTAACTATTCTTTAGACACCTTTCAGACTCCGTGGACTAGACTCAGCACCGCCAGACATTCGCAAACATGTCTGACCACAACATCAATCACCTTGGCAACGGCGCTCCCCACGAACCCACCACTTCCAAATGGACTAGTGTCAACACCCCAGGTGGAGAACATGAAGCTCTAAGCTCCAGTGATGCTAACATGCCATCCTCAGATCTGATGGGTCAAGATCAACCCTCTCCTCAGTCTACCAGCTATTTGCTAACATTGAATATAGATCCCGATCAGCTGAGTGACATTGACATTGGGGGTTACGAGACAGACAGCAGCGATATAGGCTTCAACCTCTCCAAGTTGGAGGACTTCACGGCTATCGAGGAGGATGACTTCGATCTGTCCAAGCTCGAAGACTTCAATGCCATGGACGAAGACGGCGAGCTAGACCAGGAGGACCTGGCAGCCGGCCTCATCGTGGACCCCAACGAATCCGAAGAGTCCAGCAGTGATGATGATCTTCCAGAGCAGGATGATAACTTCGATATGGCCGTCGCGCAGCACCATCGGACCAGCAAGATCGCTCGCAAAGGCGCAGTCAACCAGAGTGTCGATAGTTCATCCTGGTTCCTGTTGGAGGACCCAACCGGACCAGAGATTCCGTCTGCTATGGGTCTGCGTCCTACCATCGTGAACAATCCCAACGTGCGCAAGATCAAGGTATCCGGCGGCATGATGTCTTATGCTAAGAAGGTTACGGCAGAGCTCGACTCAGATGATGAACTCATCGTCTCCATGAAAGAGAATGGCTATAACGACGGTCAGGTTTCGGAGCGTCTGCGTGCGGAGGGTCGCATCCAGTACAGCAGGAAGACGATCAATACTCGCTTTCAGCGTATTCGGTTCGCTCAAGCTAAGCGCGTGGATGAGATGCTGTTGGAGGGCTACAAGGAGTGGCAATATGAAGACGTGAATAGTCTCTCCGCTATACCTCATAGTACTCAGAAACTAACTTGAGAACAGGACGTTCTTCTGATGAAGGCCAAAGACCTCGCAGATGCCGAAATCGAGGATACCATCAAGCGACTTCGTTCCAAGCGCTTCGACAAGGTCTCAGATTACATGCACAAGCTGAACCCCGAAGCTATCTTCTCCAAGAAGGCTTGTAAGGAACGTTACATTGGTCTCGTGAACGGCACTGCTTCCATCCCCATTGACTTGGACGACAATCCGCAGAAGCGTCGTGAAGAGCTGCAGGCCTACCAGGAATCCCGCGAGAAAGCCCGCGAGATCGCTAAGAAAGAGAAGGTAGCAAAAGACGAGGCAGAGCGCCAAGCTGTGGAAGCAGCCAAGCTCGTTCACGCAGAGAAGGCTGCAGAGGCTGCTCGCAAGCGCCAACTAAACGCGGAGTACAAGGCTCGTAGGGAACAAGAGAAGGCCGAGAAGAAGCTGTATGGATTCAAGAAAGCAGATGAGGTTAGGAAGAAGCGAGATGAGAAGGCTGAGCACAAGAAGCTGGCGGAGGCGGCTCCCAAGAGTCGGTCAAGCGCCACTCTCCTCTCTATCAAGACCTTGGACACCATCACTCCTGCGACTCCTGACCCCCGCGCAGCGCTGTCTCTCCAACAGCTCAAGGCTCTGTGTGGTTCCAAGTCGTTGTCCAAGGAAGGCAGATCGAAGGCTGAGTTCGTGGAGCGCCTCAAGGCTATGGATCAGAAGCTCACTCTTGCGGAGCTGAAGCGCATGAGCGGCCTCAAGGGCCTGAACACTTCTGCCAACAAGACGAACCTGATCCACCAGCTCGCCCTTCGTGAGGTCGATAACATCAAGAAGGATGCCACGTCCTAGGACAAGGCTGGACCAAGCACCTGGAATGCCTAAGCTCCCATGTCTCTGCTGTTGTAGGAGCGAAAAGGTGAATGTACCACACCTACTCACCTGGCAAGGTTCTCCCACACAGTGTTTGCTTGTTCGAAAGTGCCCTTGCTTCCTTCACATGACACGATACTTGGTATGCTTGTTGCTTCGATTGGTTCATGATTGTGGCATTGGAGTTTAGTTACTTACCCTACTTCTTTGTCTCACTTCTCTTTTACTTTACGTGGTGGACTGAGGGATGTCTTCGGGACGTCCACCTCTTTGGGACAGCTGTTCAACACCCTTGCGGTAATCGGGATGATCAATGGAGACCCATTGGAACGGTCCATTCACAAAGCTCACAAAGGTACTAAAAAATTCAATGGACCATTCTTCAGATAAACTTTGCTCCCTGAATCATGCATGAGACGATCGTGACCAACTTCCCTCCCCTCTCTCGGAGAACTCGAACGGTTCGAAGCATACGCGGCAGTAAATCCGCAATCCCTTCCGCACATCATCATTACTCTAATAGACCGCTCCACACCCTAGCGCAATCGGCAAACCTTCCCAAACCTACCCCTCATGCACAACACTTCCCCCATGACAGCCCTTCCCCGCAGACCACCCCACAACCAAACCCCGCACGCACCCATTCATCCATGACGTCTCTTCCACGCCTCTGCACCTCCTGACGCCAACCACCCCAAATGCAGTGCGGCGGAGGCGTTCAAGAAGTCTCACGGGTGGCTTAGTCTCCCTATTCCCGGCGCTAATCGCCCACTACCTCAGCAACTTTCGCCTTTTCCACGCATGATTGGGCCTAAATCCATATTCCCCGAGTAACTGAGCACCATGAATGGGAAATATGGGGGATGTGGGTTTGGGAGCATGGGCAGGAAGGCCGAATGCAGACTTGGGCGCTTGGGTGGCGGGGGATTGGTATATATAGTGAGGAGTCTGCGATGGAGAGGGGATGTTGTGTGAGTGTTCTGTTAGCCTAAAGACTGAGATATACCACACCGGGGATTGCATAGACTGTTTCTCCCTTCTTCTTTTTGAAACCTTGTCGGGATTGTTGAAGTATCGAGGTACCGAACCGTCGACATGGTCCATATGCGCACAGACATCGGTGTTACGAATGAGCATGCTCATTCCGACAATGACAGCTATGCGAAAGAGCTAGAGACTGAGGTATTGATTGTGGGTGCTGGGTTTGGAGGCATATATCTTATGCACAAGCTTCGGGAGTTGGGTTTCAAGTGTAAGATCTATGAAGCTGGCAAGGTTAGTTTGATTACTACGGCAGCTTAGTCGCGCTCGAGGAGTAGCTAATATCTCGAATAGGAACTCGGTGGAATCTGGCATTGGAACTGCTATCCAGGCGCTAGGGTTGATACCATGGTCCCGATCTATGAGTACTCGATCAAGAAAGTCTGGAAGGTAAGGAAGCACATCATCACCATAGATACTCATGTCACTAAACATCGTTTGGGATTGGAATTGGTCGGTTAAATACCCAGGATACGAAGAATTGAGGGAATACTTCGCCCATGTCGAGAAGGTGCTCGACATCAAAAAGGACACCGCGTTTGAGACAATGGTGATAGAGGCGAAGTTCGACAAGCCTTCCAGCAAGTGGATCGTGAGAACAGAAGATGGCCGTACCGCACGCTCGAAGTACCTTCTGTTGGCAACAGGCTTCGCCGCAAAGCGACATTTCCCGGACTGGAAAGGCCTCGCTTCCTTCAAGGGCGAAATGCATCATTCGTCATTCTGGCCGGAGCAAGGAGTTGATGTGAAGGGCAAACGTGTTGCTGTGATAGGCACTGGCTCAACCGGGGTGCAACTTGCACAGGATACATCAAAGACCGCTGGATCGGTAACAGTCTTCCAAAGAACACCAAATCTAGCGTTGCCGATGCGACAAGGCAGCTTGAACGCGGCAGAACAAGAAGCAAGGAGGAAGGACCCAAATTACCCCGAGGTCTACGCGAACCGCATGACGACTTTTGCAGGCTTCCAGTATGATTTCGTGGAGCGAAATACCTTCGACGACCCGCCTGAGGAGAGAGAGAGGTTCTACGAAAAGCTCTGGGAGGCCGGCGGATTCGAATTCTGGCTGGCAAACTACAAAGACCTGCTATTCGATAAGGAGGCGAATGACCAGGCGTACCAATTCTGGGTGAAGAAGACAAGAGCTCGGATTCAAGATCCACGCAAGCGCGATATCCTTGCTCCGTTGACAGCACCTCACGCCTGGGGCACAAAGAGACCGTCGTTGGAGCAGAACTACTACGAGCAGCTTGACAAGCCAGAGAACGAAGTGGTCGACGTCAACGCCACTCCTATCACGGAGATTACCGAAACAGGTATCAAGACAGCAGACGGCAAGCTTCGCGAGTTCGACGTGATCGCTCTGGCTACTGGGTTTGATAGCGTAACAGGAGGTATGAAGGGTATGGGCTTGAAGGATGTAGATGGAGTCAGCCTCAGCGAGAAATGGAAGAATGGAACTTGGTCCTACCTGGGTATGACTTGCAATGGCTTCCCGTAAGTTCTTCAGAGTAGGAACTTAATCTTGACTGCTAACAGTGATAGGAATATGTTCTTCCTATACGGCGCGCAGGGCCCGACCGCGTTCAGCAATGGGCCAAGCTGTGTCGAATGCCAGGGCGACTGGATCGTCGATGCTATGGCCAAGCTCCGAAAGGAGGGCATTACATACATTGATGCAACGAAAGAGGCGGAGGAGAGCTGGAGGAAGAACGTCACGGCGCTCTCCGACAAAACGCTCTTCCCCGGAACCTCATCGTGGTACATGGGAGCCAACATTCCTGGGAAGCCCCGAGAGCAGCTGAACTATCCGGGAGGTATTCCATTGTACAACAAAGAGTGTCGTGAGGCTTTAGACAACGGGTTCGCTGGCTTCATCACGGCGTAGGGCGGTCATTAGATAGAACATGGCCCATTGTTGTGCTGTAGACATTATTCTCTTGTCGTACTAGTTTGCATTTTAATATCTCGATGGCCTGAAATTGTCGTGATGCGTGCATGGTGGCGGGCGTGGAGTTGTTGTTAGAGCTTAGACGGAAGCAGTTGGCTTGTGATAGAGATGACGTTCGTGCCGAGCGGCCTTCCATCTGGTCCCGTCCATATCCAACTCGAGCATCTTGCCATTACTTTCTCCATGAACCCTAATGTACCTTTATACAAACCTCCACCGGTAGCATACTATGCGGACGGCCTTCCTCTTTGGCCGACAATGTCTTCGACAAGGCGTCCGCCAATCCGCCCAATTCGCCCCGCGTCACTCCCGTCCCTTCTCCTCGGCGCACAACTTTGGCCGCAAGTACTTCAGCGCTCCTCCTCGAATAACTGGGCGACCGATACACCTTGCTGCGCTCAGCCCCCTCGCCTTTGTCGCTATTAGTGAAGAGGATACCCAACATGGGGACAAAACTCATGAGGCGGCTATGTTGGAGGCGTCGCGAAAGGAATTGGCCGAACACGTCCCAAAAGCCTTGAAAGGCTCAAAGGTGCGGCGAGGGGTATATTTTTTCATAGATCTGTACATCATCGAGCCGATATGTACTGGCCTGAGGTTTCTTCATCTGGTCTTTATATTCGTGCCTGTGCTAGTCACAGTGCCAGCCATGTGGATTGGAGCGCGTCAACCCGGACGGGACAATGAGAGAAGCGGTACCCTTTGGTGGTACGGTTTCTTGACTAGATCAATGGAGCGAGCTGGTGCTGCTTTCATCAAGGTGATACTACATTGGCCCCTTGCAAATACGTACTGATAGATTCTGCAAAGCTTGGTCAATGGGCAGCCTCAAGATCCGACGTATTCCCTACGGAGATGTGTCGAATGATGTCATCTATGCATTCGAATGCGCCAGCACATGCCCTTTCTAAAACGAAAAAGATAGTGGAGAGGGCGTTCGATGGACGAGTATTTGAAGACATCTTCGACGAGTTTCAAGAGGAACCTCTTGGAGTCGGCGCAATTGCTCAAGTATACAAGGCGAAGCTAAAGACTGATCTTGCTGCACCGGGAGACACTGACCTCGAAGACGAGCCTCCGAATCTGCGTCAACGGTTCAGAAAAAATGTCGATGTGACGCTGAAAAGCATGCCGCAGCGAGTTCCCTCCACGTATGTTGCTGTCAAGGTTCTTCACCCCAAGGTGGACAGGATCGTCCAAAGAGATATACGAATCATGGCATTCTTTGCTGCATTGATCAACGCAATTCCGACTATGGAGTGGTTCTCATTCCCTGATGAAGTGGAGCAATTCGGAGAGATGATGAGGCTCCAATTGGATTTGCGAATTGAGTCTGCTAATTTGTCTATCTTCCGGAAGCACTTCAAGAACCGCGGTACCGCATGGTTTCCCTTTCCATATACCGATTACACCACGCGCGAGGTGCTAATTGAAGAGTTTGCCCAAGGCATTCCGCTTGAAGATTTCCTCCAGAATGGAGGTGGTGTTTTCCAGAAAGATCTTGCCGACGAGGGCCTCGACGCGTTCCTGCACATGCTGCTGATTGACAACTTCATTCACGCCGACCTGCACCCTGGTAACATCATGGTAAGATTCTACAAGCCAGAAAAGCTCGACGTGCCAACATTCAGTCGAAAACAAAAAACCCTTCCACAAGAGTCGCCGGATGTCACGGAAGAAGTGTTAGAGAGGCTCCGACCGTATAGCAAAAAGCCCGAAGAGTGGACGGCCCAACTCCAACAAATTGATAGCGAAGGGTACAGACCTCAACTCATCTTTATTGATACTGGACTTGTTACAGAACTTAATGCCAAGAATCGCGCTAATTTCCTCGATCTCTTCAAATCAATTGCAGAATTCGATGGTTACAAAGCTGGTCATTTGATGGTGGAGCGTTGTAGGCAACCAGACGCTGTCATCGATGCAGAGGTCTTCGCACTACGGATGCAACATCTCGTGCTCGGCGTGAAGAGCCGAACTTTCGCTCTGGGTAATATCAAGATTGGTGATATATTGAACGAAGTGCTCTCTATGGTTAGGGCGCACCACGTCAGACTCGAGGGCGACTTTGTCAATGTGGTGTTGAGTATCTTGCTCTTGGAAGGCATCGGGAGGAGCCTCGAACCTGACCTGGACCTGTTCGCTGGGTAAGTCTCGCTGGATTCCTCGTTGGTAATCTTGGGTACTTTGATCTAATATCTTTTCGCAGCGCTCTACCCATACTTCGAAAACTCGGCGCCCAGAGTGGCTCTTCAATGATCCGTGGCGGAGATTTCTCTATGCTCAAGGTTTGGGCAGGCCTAGAAGCACGTAGTTTTCTCCAGGCTTCCATCGAAAGCGTAAGTCCTCGTGAGCGCTCAACATGCGTTACCTTTAACTGACGCGAGTTTTCAGGTCGAGAGATGTGTGAAATACGACTGGCTGTCGCCAAATTTCTAATGCGCCGCCGCTGATGATTAACGCGTTTCATTAACGTACGATGACCTTGTTTTGTAAAATATGTATTCCTCCTCTCAGCATTGCAGGCGCTTAAGGGCATGATGGGTGGATCACTGTATACATGAGTTGGGGTCCCTGGGCGTTGGATTGAACCCGTAATCTTGAAATGATAGACTGTTTGACTTGACCTGTGTACACCTATAAATCACTTTCTGAGGTGGTTTGAGGAATCCCCTGATTGTTCTAGACTGTAAATTTTAGAGCTCTAAAAAGGTATCAATGCACTTCAAGCAGTGGCAAACGAGTGTTAGACGCTACAATTGGATATCTCATTCGCCAAGCTGTTATGCAAAGGTCTTGCTTAGCCTGGGTTCTACACTCACTCCTTTCCTCCACCCACAAGAAGCTGCACCGCTAAGAAGAGTAGCAACGCCCACCAATACCTATTTTGACACACATTAGCAAGGTCTCGAATTTCCGAGGATGCAAAACTACTCACTTTTGCAAAAACGTCTTCTCTGGCTCCTTCCCTTCCAGCTTCCCCTCCGCATTCAATACAATCGGCTTATTCAGACTCGGCTGTGGCCCCTTTGCCCTCGTTGACACTTCAATCTCGACTTCATCGCTGCCTGCAATCTTCGCCGTCGTGCCGAATCCAACGTGGTACACCTCTCCCTGCTCATCGACGTGAAGGGTGAACCTCTTCAAGTACTCATCCGCAAAGCTAGCGGAAGAGGTCACGACGCCCTTCCATTCCTTGGTGGCTGGGTCGAAGAGCCCGATACGGAGAAGATGGGACGGCGTATATGCGCCTGTGGGAGGGTGATACGATGCTAGGGATGCTGAGGCTGTGGACGGATCGTAGGAGATTGTTGCCAGAGGTGTTGGCGATGGAATTGCAGAAGCGGAGTCTTGGTGGAGAGGATTGGTGTATATTGTTATTGTGGAAGCGAGAGCAGCCGGGAGGAGGAGGAGATTTAGTAGCCGCATCGTGAAGATAGTAACGGCTTGACAAGACGGTGACTTTCGTGGTGATAGGTGATGTCGATGAACGGCGGGACTTGCCGTTGGTCCAAGCGCCCGCGCGTTTGCGAGGCTAGGTATTGTGAACTCCACCTTGCTATTGTTCGCGCCCATCAATAGGAAGCCCCTCTATAATAGACGCTCCAGCGTCTTCTCACATTCCTTCATTCCTCAACAATCTCCCCTCTACTCATGTCCAAAAACCGACCACCGCCCCAGCCTCGACAGCCGTCGCCATTGCCGTAACCCTCCCTCCGCTCCTCGACACTTCATGTCCAATACCGCGATGCCTTCATCAGTACCTCACCCAAGCCGGCGCGCTGCGGTGCGAGAGCGACCGAAACCTCCCAATCCAGTCGTCGCCGAAGCCGAAAAGCAGTGGCTCTTCTCTGAAGATGAACTCCTCCGAACACCATCCATTATCGACGGCATGCCCCCCGAATTGGAGAGGGGAAACCGCAAGAAAGGAGCAAACTTCATTCTGCAGGTCGGCATACTGTTGAAGCTACCTCAGATGACCCTCTCAACCGCCTGCGTCTTCTTCAATCGATTTCTCATGCGCCAGACCCTCGTGGCCAAGCCGGCCGAAGGCTTGAAGCCGATGCATCATTATGTAAGGAGTGTCCTCCGTCTCTTAGGGGAGAACTAGGCTCACATCTACCAGCAAGTTGCCGCGACCTCCCTATTTCTCGCCACCAAAGTCGAGGAAAACGGCCGCAAGATGAAGGAGCTGATTGTCGCCTGCGTACGAGTCGCGACGAAGAACCCCAATGCCCTCGTCGATGAGCAGACCAAGGATTTCTGGAAGTGGCGCGACACCATTCTCTACAACGAAGACGTCCTTCTCGAGACCCTTTGCTTCGACCTGTCCCTCGAGCCAACACACAAGCTCATGTACGAGATGCTGGTGTACCTTGGTGTCGAGCACAACAAGAGACTGCGTGACGCCGCCTGGGCCTTCCTCAACGACAGCACTCTGACGCCACTTTGTCTACTTTTCAGTTCGCGAACCATTGCCGCCGCGGCACTTTTCGCAGGCGCAAAGATGTGCAATATCGCTTTCCCCGACGAGGATGGCAAGCCATGGTGGGAGATTCAGTATGTGAACTTGAAGGATATCCGGCGCGCATGCAACCACATGGCAGACAATTACGAGCATGTGCCAGACAAGGATGGCGGCCATAGTATCTACGTAGGCCTTCGTACCCCCGAGGACGAAGATCCTCTATACGCGATTACTAGGCTAAGGACCTCACAGACCCCAATCAGCCCCGCTGCCAGCTCTGTGGGCATGGAGAGGAGTGCTAGCGACCAGAGCCTCAAGCGGAAGCGTGATGACGGTGTTGTGATGGAGCGCAGCGCAAGCGACCAGAGTATGAAGAGGATGAGAGGAGATAGACCCGAAAACGGAGTCACCAATGGGATATCCTCGCGTAGGAACTCGAGGCCCGGAGATTCGAAGACCCAGAACGGAGATGTACCGAAGCCTGCACCAGCCCGGAATGGATCGACTTCGCGGACTGGACCACCTCAGAACGGCGAGGTCTCGAAGCCTGAAGCGAGCACGAATGGAGTCAAGCCGGAGGCAAATGGTGCTTCCAAGCACGAATTCAATGACTCGACTGCAGCGCCTGCCATCCCACGGAACGAAAACGACGACGTTAGTGAAGAAGGAGAAGTCGAGGAGTAGGATCGACCGGTGTCACATTTCTGCATTGCATGAGCATCTGGCGGTGTTGGGCGTGAACTGGACTTTCTCCGGCGTTACGTTTCATGAGATTTTTTTGGGTTTTTGCGGGAAGAACATGATACCAATGGAGGGGACCGGACTGGAGTCTGGATTGTATTGGTGACTTTGATATCCACACCAATCTGGATGGCGGACTTTCATTTTCTTTCGAGCTGAGCTCGTACATACATAGTATAAGATTCTACAAAATGCTGTAGAAGACCCAGCAGATGAATCGAAGTCTTGACTGTATAGTCTTTGCTCCGCTACTGCTGAGATATGAATGCTTGAAAGTGCCACTTCGAATAAGAGACATGTCTAAATATAGTGTCACAAATAGTAAGGCGTGAATCTACCTCTGGCGTGACTCTAGCAGGCGTCAGACGACAACCTCTTCAGCAGGCCAAGGCTCAGCTCCAACTTGTTAATTGTTACATCCTTCCCTCGAATAGGTCAACTCCGTACTGAGTCCGGATATCTTAATCCCCATTCCTATACAGTAACCCGTCTCTATCCGCATCATCCGCAACCCTCGTAGAAAGCACCTCACCCTACGACAACGCACGACCGACACTCTATCAACTTTGACTATCGGAGCTATTAATAAATGCCAAACCATGAGGATTCCCGGCGAGACCTCGCGCCTACGCGCCAACAGTCTCACGATACTGCCCTCGTAGGTGCCCAACGGGCCATGGCGCGGCAGACACCGTCTACATCAGATGCATCCATATCCTTTTCTCCAACCTCCAACGCTGCTTTCAAGGCACACGATACCATTAAGCCGAGAAACCGCTCCGCTTCAGCAGCTTCTCAGAAATCAGTCCGATTCGCGGCCCAAGTTGAGGGTCAAGATCGAGGTCAAAAGAAAGAGGAAGAACAGTCCACACTTTCTGCACTGCAGCAAACACTGTTCCTTGTCTTTATTCTTGCAGTTCTTTGGATTATTTATTCGCACCTCACTCTTTTGGTGTATGCATTCTTGGGTGTTGGGGTCATGTATACGGGATTGAGCTATTACTTGGTCAAGTCGCAGAAAGAGGTGACGCTAAAAGCGCTTGATACGCCTGCGAGGAAGGAGGTGGAAGGATGAACGGGGGACTTCCGAGGCTTTGGCATAGTTTCTTGTCACAAAGTTCCGTATACTGTTCTGTAATTACTCATGGGATTCTTTTTCAGGATTCTGAAGATGTTGTCCGATCACAACGCCGTCCGACACGGCTCAGCGATGAGCACTCGAAGTAATGCACTTCCAAAAAAGGCCTTGAAGCCTCACATGCAGCTACAAGAAGACAAACGCAGACCTACGACGATGTACGGTACGAGCAATTTGGAGCTGTGCAGTGGAGCGCGGCGGTCTAGGTGGTTCATCGCCCTTAATCAGGGAATGTTTCTTCCTACTTGTTGTGCCATGGTTCGCATTTGCACCTCTCTTCTTTTCTTCGAAAGTCTCGTACCTCCATATTTATGATCATCCCGACATCCACACACCATCAAATCCATCTCCACCTCATCAGCTTGACTCAAAACAAGGGGCACGATTCGAGTGAGAAAGCGCAAGACGTCAGCAACCCATCGACAACAGTATCAAGTGACCCAACCTTTCGGACTTTCCCAAATCAGAACACCCGAATCCCATTTCAGCCCTTTGCGAGACCGCCACAGCGATGCCCTCAAAGCGGAAGCCTACAGGGTTCCTCGATCTTCCAGTGGAACTACGTCACATGATCTATCGCCCCTGTCTCCTTCGGGGATATACTATCGACCTAATCCCCCGGCCGATTGACAATACCAGCCAGTCAAATACCAGGAATGATAGGAAGAAGAGTCTGCTACCAGTCTCGAAACAAATCAGCGAAGAGTCCATGGGCATTAAATACGGCGAGAATGTTTTTAGGCTTTTGTTGCCTGGCTGCGACAACTACTACTATTTACAGAATGGCCGTCAGGTCAGCTTCCACGACACAATCTCGCCAAACAACGTCGGCCACATCCGAAAGCTCAGTCTCATCCTCGACCCCTTCAACCTGGCGCATCTCACAGAGCGGGAAACTGGCTTCTGCACCCAAGTCTTTCCGCAGCTGAACAGACTCGTCGTCGTCACCTACCGCTCTCGCGAACGGAGCGAGCATCCCTGGCCAAAAGTAAACTCAAGGGAGAGCTATGTAGCAGCGTGGGAGGGCTGGTGCGGCCCCATCCTCGAGTTCGTCTCCCAACAGGTCCGAGACACGCTCGTGGTTGAGGTAGATACCGACAACCGGACAGAAACAATACGTTGATCAAACAACACTTTCGTCGGTATCTTACGGTGAGGACTGTCCCCGGTGACCACTTCTTCGGGGGAGCTGGGATGCACGGGCCCTGAATTCCGCCGCCAGCTCTTGGTTGCGGAGCATCTTTCGCGGCACGCGTTTGTTTTTGGAGGATGATTTTGACTGGAAGGTGTATTGGGAAGATTTTGCCGATGCTCTCGGCTTCGACAATGCGAAGAGGGCTATATTGCCGCGCGTTGGGATCTCCAGAAGCGTCAGTAGGATCGGATATTCCCACTTGCCATGATAAGATGTGGACTAGCCCGGGTGAAGACATATCTAAGCGTCAGTTTCTTTCTCATAAAGCCGGACTATGGGAACGAGGATACTGTATGACGTAAGATAAGAAAGCCAAAGAGGAGGGGAGAGGATCCTTGAGGACGAAGAAGGGGACATGGTTATTTTAGGAGGGGTACGGTGCGGCAATCTGATGCGTTCTTTGCTGGATGTGGTAGAGGGAGTGGGAATCGTTTAAATCTATTTGGTTGTTAGTTGTGTCAAGCAGACAATATATTGATAGGTTGTTCAAAAAGAGGATTCCCCTCTTACTCGGATTTCCGCAAACACCTTGAAGATCCCCATACAGCGCTAGAAAGATGTCCACAGACTTATAGTAAGGCATTGGACTCCAACAGACATGAACGGATACTCATGACAGAAGTGGTGATCACCCTCCCGTTCATTCAAGTATCTCATTCGTGTAAGAAAGTCACCTCAACTGCCCCTCTGCGCTAACGAAAATAGCTTGTCATTTTAACACCAACTTTCATTCTAGATTGAATACATTAAATATAATAAAACGCTACGCAGCGGCTTCGCTCTTAGGCACTGACCTTACCACCGTTGTCTCAACCTCACCAGCCAATTTTCAAGCCGGAACCGCTGCCACCGTCATAGTACTTCCCGCCTCCTCACCAAATCCAGCGCCTGGGAATTGTATCGCTCCAGCCCCAAACGGCTTCGATATCGAAAAAGACGTTCTCGACGACACAGCACCCGACGACGTCTCAGACGAAATCGCTGCCAACGGCCCAGTCGGTGCTGGCAAACCCACCTGCAGCGTCGGCTTCCCCTCCAAGACCGCAGACTTAGACGCCGTCTCCCTTGACCTCAAGGGGTCCACCAAGATGAAGGGCTTCGATGTTGGCACCTCCACCGTCAGTATCCTCAAACTCGCCGACAAAGTTTTTGACTTATTCCTCCCCCGATCCTCGCTGTCCAGATTAAGGTTGCTGCAGAACCCATAAAGGCTCTTACACCCCTCCCCACAGTGCTCAGCCGTGCTACCGCAGTAGCCGTACAAACTACAACAGTCCCCGTAGCCCGAGCCCGGACAGAACTTCGACAGCCCGCATGTGCCGTCGTCGGAGAGGATGGCGGGCGCGGGCGCGCAGAAGCCGGCGGTAGGTTGGCAGTTGTGGGTACAAGCGGCGGTGGCGTTGTGGCTTTTTGATACGCATCAGTTCAGAATGTCGAAGTCAGGAGTGGATAAAGGGGAAATGGGCGAAGGAAACGAACCATGACCCGTCGCCGCTGCAGCAGACCCCGAAGGCTGATCCGGCGCACGTGTACTCGGAGTCGAAGCCACACACGCCGTTTGGCGAGGGGGTGAGGTTCAGGGTCGTAGATGTAGACAGCGGTCGAGGAAGCCCAACCATTGAGGTACCCGCAACGACTTTCGTAACCAACGTCTCAGGGTGCGGTTTCGGCCATATCGGGATGGGGATATGCGGCCTACTTGTGATGCAGTGCCTTGCTGTACACCATCGTTAACAACCAACCCAACCCATCACCACCCTCCCACCGTGCACTCACCATCCCTCGCCCAAAGCTGCACAGGACTCCACCCCCTCCACCCCCTTCCATCCCCCCTCGCCTCTATCAACACCACCGCATTCTCGAGCAGATTCGCCCATAGCTTAAAGAACCTTGCCGTCTTATTCGAAAACCCTGCGTTCGTCCAGTTCAACTTGCCCCCCTCGGACGACACCCACCCAGTCCGGATCGCCTGCGTCGGGTGCGCGGGCGTGAAGGGGATGTTGGCGACACCCTGTGCTACAGAAAGTACCCCAGCGGAAGACTGCAATTCCCCTTTCTGGATAGTAAAAGTTTCTGCCTTCGCGCAGGAGGTGGTTGTGTTGCCGTTAGGGAGGATGTAGGCGCGCAGGAGGGAGAGGGCGGAGGTGGTTAGGTTGGGGCCGGTCTGGATGACTTCGAGGTGGAAGGGGGCGCCGGTGTTGATTTGTTGGTCGGTCCAGAGCCAGGGGCTGAGGGGGAAGGGGCGGGAGTTTAGGGGTGGAGAGTGGAGTGGGGGATGGATGGGACCGTGGATTGGGCCGTGGATAGGAGGATGGACTGGGGGACGAATGCGAGAGTTTGTGGGTTTTGGAGGATGGATTGAGGCACGAATGTGAGAGTTGGTGGGGATTGGAGAGATGGGCTTGATAGGCCTGCGGCTGGGAAAGGCAAGTTCGCCATGGTGGAAAGGTGGTGGGATGGCTTCTGTGCTAATGGAGGTCTGGAGTAGTAGTGATGCCGAAAGGGCACAGAGAAGCTTCGGCTTGAACTGCATCTTGAATACTGAAGATGCGTAGAGATACTCAATTTAATGGGTCGTTGGAGATGGAGATTACGAGAAGTAGGTAAAGTGAAGGTTGGGAGGGCTGCGTGATAGGTTAGTCCTCTTGGGAGGGAGGTTGCGATGGAGCAATTTCCGTTTACGCCATGGGTGTAACTTTCGGGGTAAGGAATGTGGATATCTAGAATGTGTGCTAGTCTAAGACGAGACATGTAGATCTTCGACCGAGAGGATCTCAAGTCCATTTTCGAAGGATCTGAGTGGGGTATAACGGGTTTGGCGATCAAACAACGTCTTGTCGAGGAAAGACAGCAGGTGAGCTTGGGAAGACCTTTCTAGCAATCTGGATCGTTCGACGACCTCTGTAATGGTTAACCAGGATCAAACTTTTAGAAGCAATCAAAGACAAATCTGCATATGAGAACTGAAAGATAGAAGCCTGTTAGCACGAAGCGAAGACTTTCATGATTACTGTTGAGGGCGAGTGACACGAGATGAAGAGCGAGATGTCATGATATAACAAAAGTCAAGGGCTGCCACAGTACAGTAGCAAGATCAAGTTTTACAGTGATAACAGATGTGATTGCAAGCCTAACCAAGGAGTTCATAATGCTATTTAGAGTAGCTGTGCCCAGGAGTGATGGGCCGTCGAGGGTCAAGATGTTTTAGAAGCAGGGCATAAAAAAGACTTTGTACAGGTCCCCGCAGACGAAAAACACCTCTACCCAGAGCAGTAGTCAGATTACAAGCAAGGAAATCGCCCGCCAAGTGTGCTATACCCCATGAAGAAGGCGTCTTGAGAGAACCACGTTACAACAGGATCATCGCCATACCAGAGAGAGCTGCGCCGAAGACGTAGATTCCGAGCTGCATGAGACCGACGTTGAAGCTGGGAACGGTGACAGCGCCGGCAGCACCGGTCTTGGTGGCGGAACCAGAGGCGCTACCTGCGGCAGCACCAGTGGGAGCGGAGGTGACAGTTCCAGTTCCAGCGGAACCAGCCTGGCTCATGAGGGCCTTGCAGTTGCCAGTAGCGGCCGCGGTTGCCTTGGTCGAAGCCGAGCCGCTGAAATCGCATCCACCGGTGGACTGGCTGTTGGCATACTGGTTGAGAGCAAAGTTGAGCTGCTCAGTGGCATTGCACATGCCGTACGCACCGTAGACACCAGTTGTGCCGTTGTGGGCGATGCCAGCGCATGGGGAGCCGTCGAGACCACAGACGACGCCGAAAAGGTCACCGTAATCGTCCTCGTTCACTGAACTGTCAACAACGCAGGTGAGTGAGTCCACCATGCAGCCGCACAGCGCTGGGTTGGCCGCAGGTGGGAGAGGGGTCGCCTTGGCTGCCCAGGTGGTTCCCTCGACAGAAGGGCAGTCACGGACTTTGGTGTTGGTCGGTGTGTAATCAGCCATCGTCACGCCGCTTGGGGTGACCTTGGCGATTTGGGAGGATAAGTTGTTGAAGTCGACGAGCGTCTTCGCTGTGTCTCCACTGACACTGACTAAGCCTGGGCGCATGTTAGCTTTTGAATACTGTATCTCCGTTTAAAACTTACCGAAGTTGTTGGCCTCCTGGAAGTACATGTAGACGATACCTCCAGACCAGACGCCGGTCATCTGGCTACCGTAAAGGGCTGCCACCTCGGTGAACTTGCGGGGTGAGGGGGTATTGCAGCCGTACTCGGCGAAGAAGACTGGGACTGTGTAGTTTTCGAACTCCTGGGTGCGCACATTATATCCAGATTCTTGAAAGCTGGAATCACCGCACCAGGAGTAGATGTTGTAGCCCCAGAAATCAATTGCATCTGCGACATCGTCCCCGCAGTTGAAGTAGTCGGCGAGAGGCCCACGGATGGAAGCATCGTCGTTGGTAGCATAGCCCACGCCAATTGTCCTGTAGCCCTTCTGCTTGATGTAGGCCTTTGTGTCACGCACAGCGGCCTTGACGAACGCGCTCGCGTCGGTGTTGTTGGGGGCGTTTGAGACTTCGTTACCGGCAAAGAAGCCGAGAACGTTGTCGTACTTCTGCATCACGTCGACAACGCTGGTGTAGCGGGTGTACAGATCGTCAGTCCATCCGGGGTCGTCACGGTTGATAGACTCGCCCGGCTGGGACAAGTCGGCAATCACGTAGATGCCAGCATCGGCCAACTTGCCCATGCAGTAGTCATGGCTGCCGGTGGGGTCGATGGCATAGACACGGACAGTGTTGGTATTGAGTTTGATGAGGTTAGGGATATCGCGGTCGCAGCCCGAGTTGTCTGTGAGCGGGTCGACGTATTTGACGGCGACGGTGGCAGAGCTGTTGGTGCTGACGTCCTGCTGGTACGCGACACCCTTCATGAAGAATTGGGTGCCATTAGTCTTGTAGAAGAACTTGGAGCCCTGGTTTGCCAAGATCAGTCGTCTGTGAGAGAGCAATCGGGGCCGGAGACGCTACCTTGATAACGATCGGGTCGATGGCGGCAGACGCGGACGACACGAAGAGGGCCGCAGCGGCGGCAGCAATTCCGAAGCCTTTCATTGTGATGTTGGCGAGGGTTTCTGACCAGAGAAACCGTCGAGAAGATGTTGTTGTGGAGCAGCGCTCTGGAGACCAGCGAAGGTGATACTCTGGGCCGCGCGTGCGTTGGTGGTTACTGTTGTTGGTGTACAGTGAAGTCGCGAGGCGACAGCAAACGAAAGTCGCGACTGGTCAATGAGTGTGTCGAAATGGCTTAAAGATTAACTATTGAGTATGGCAGCGAGAGAATAACAGACGGGCCACGACAGAAACACTCCAGCAACGGTGGAGTGGTGGGAGTGCGGCGGGCGACTTTGACACTGTTTCTCAGGGGACCGTCCTGCTGCGCCAGTGCCTTGTTTCGGCCTAGCTGCAGCATTTGACGCGCAATCCGCAACACCAGTGCTGGGCGGCGAGCAGATCTCCCCCGGCGCGATGGATTTGATTTCGATTTCTATTTCTGACCGGCCTCCAGCTTCTACGGCTCCATCCGCGGCAATCATGCTGAACATGATGTTGACGCGGTCAATTGCTGTCGGCCAGCGAAGCAGCTGTAGAATCGATGGATTGCTCGGCCTTGCAACGGCGCCTGCAATTCACCTCGCGCACACGAAACAGATGGTCTGACTGGAACGTGAAGACGAAAACCCCTCGGTTTGAAGAGGTGACGGATGACCAATCGCTGCATGCGTACCTCTGATCCCGCGAACCGACCTCAGGTGCGCGCAGCGGCGGAGTGTCAAGAGCCGCAGTCGTTTGAAGCTGCAGAGCATTGGTTCGTGTGGGCAGAGATATCTATGTAGGTTATGTACTTTTCTACTTACTTGGCATATAGCTCTTCAAAGGTTAGCCTCACGCCTCAAGACCGTCCACGTAGCCAAGACTGTCCCCTAACTTCTCGACGTTTCTCCCGTCGTCAAGGCCTCGCAGCTAGCGTGCCAGGAGCTATTCTTGATTTCATCTCGGACCAGGGCCCATGCTGGCTGGTGTTGCAGGCATGGGCCTCATGGGGAACGCCGTCATTAGGCTTGACGTGGCTTGGTAATGCAGGCACCGCAGGCAGACAGGGCTCGCGAAGGAGAAAGCAGCTCCACCGCGGCTCGGAATCGAAGGATGCAATCGAATTCTGCAGCAGAGACAAGGCCAAAGCAGCAGCGGCACTGTGATTGGCGAGCCTTTCGCATCCCGGCGCATCCGAAGCTGAGGCTCTACCGGGGGCTTGCACCGCCATCAAGCCCCTTTTCGTCGCTCCACCACAACCGGCCGGACGAACGTTTGGACAGGGATGCACGACAGCGGGCCGCCACCACATCATGCCTGGCCAGCGATAGTGGATCAGTGCCCTCTTATCAAAACGGGCCAAGCCTGATCCGAGGGGTGAGAGGCTGGCAGGCAATAGTGGCAGGTTAGGACAGGTCCGAACAGGCCAGCAGCAGAATCCTGCACACTTGATGCTGCAGACATGCAGCCGACACGGGTTCCGGGCGATTTGACAGGCGCGGAGGACGAGTTTGGGCGGGCAGACGGGCAAGTCGTGACGTCGACGGGCATGCATTATCGAGGGCTGGTCGAGGGCTGGTCGAGGGCTGGAGCACAGTGGGAGGGTCGCGAAAAAACCCACGGCGATGGCGGGGATAAGGCCTTTTCATCTTCCTAGCGATAGGCTGCTTCCCGGGCGGTTGACTTGATCGCCCTGGAGGGCCGCCGTAGGAGCCCTAGCATCCGCATTTAGAACGGCGCCTGGTCGCCACCCACGCGCTGGCACGCTGTGATGGATGCGGGGAGCCACTGCAGCGAGCAGCACATCCTCAGCAGCGCGAACTGCCGGTGGCGACGACGCCGCGGCGGCAGGCTGTCACGGCGAGCGGCGTGGGCATCAATTGACTGCTGTGGCGGCCGTTTCGCTGTCAAGCTTCGAGCCCGCACGCAAGCTCTCTGCCGGGAGGTTGAGAGGCGGCGCGGTTCTGGCGTCGCCGGCCTCTTCCAACCACGCTGCAGCCCCCTGAGTGGGGCGCCTAATCTGTGATAGCAAATCAGCGTGTTGGCCAAAGCAGCTTCTCCCTACTCCTGGCTGGCGTGAAGCGAATCCCCGAGCTCAAAACGAAATGCCATTCCTGTTCCCCTTTTTGCCCACACCTTCCACTCGTTCGCTCCCTCCCTCACCTGCACCCTCCCCTCTCCCACGCCCGTTGCTTGTCTGCCCGACTCTCGTGCGGTGCTGTCTGTCTTTCCTGCTGTGCTCCGGCCTGTCTGTCTACGCTGCGAATTGCTGCGTGCTATCCGTAGTGCATCGGTGAATCAGGAGAAGGTCCGCCAATCACGCCGTGCGAGGAAGCCGCAACTCACATTCCGCAGCCGCGCGTCGCTCCAGAGACCTGCACCAACACTCGACGCTTCTCTCGCTCACACCAACAGCTCTGCTTCGCGCAAGCACGAGAGACCCCGACGAGGCTGTGCAGACCCCGCCGCACAGCGACCGCTGACATCCAGGTTTTGGCCCTCTCGCCAAACCACAACACTCGCTCCAAAACCACAACAACACATCTGCCACTCGTTCGCACCTAACTCGCGCACCCTACGACCACCGTCCCGAAGACGCCGTTATCTGCAAATTGGCTGGTCCTGATGTTCACTGTTTGAGGTACGCCGCTCTCCGACCGCCCGTGTTTCAGGCTTGCTCCTGGCCTCCGCCTTGCATTCCTCGCCCAGTCCAGCCGGCTTCCAGCTCATTACTAACATTGCCGCCCGCAGACCCGTAATTCATACCTAATTCCTCCTCAAGATGTCCGGACATCCACCAGGAGGGCACTACGAAGAGGGCTATGGCCAGCCCGCGCAGCACGGCCAGGACTATTACCAAGATGACCAGTACGGCCATTACGATAATAACCAGGGCGCTGCACACGGCTACGCCGAAGGCCACCAAGGCGAGGCCTACTACGACGAAGCGTAGGTTCCAGTCGCTGAGCAGTGAATGTCCCGATCGCAGGCTTACCAAAACAGTGGCTATTACGATGGCCAGCAGCAAGGCCATGCCCAGGGCCATTACCCGCAAGAGGGCTACTACGAAAACGGCCAGCAGGGACAGTACCAGGACGAGTACTACAATGACCAGTACTACGACCAGGGCGGTGCCGCCGGCCAACAAGGGTATGAACAAGGTGGTTATGGGTCTGTCCCGCCATTGTCCTTTCCCACCACCTTCGATGCTAACTGTTCCACAGCGCTAAGCCCAAGCGTCGCGGCCACGACTCCGAGGAAGATTCAGAGACATTCAGCGACTTCACCATGAGGTCCGACATGGCTCGTGCCGCCGACATGGACTACTACGGTCGCGGAGACGAGCGCTACAACAGCTATAATGAGGGCGGCCGTGGCTACCGACCTGCTTCGTCTCAGGTGTCCTACGGTGGAAACCGATCATCGGGGGCGTCCACCCCCATCTACGGCATGGACTACACCAACGCTCTTCCTGCCGGCCAACGCTCTCGAGAGCCGTACCCAGCCTGGACCGCCGAAGCTCAAATCCCGCTTACCAAAGAAGAGATTGAGGACATTTTCTTGGACTTGACTGCCAAGTTCGGTTTCCAGCGCGATAGCATGAGGAACATGTACGATCACATCATGACGCTACTGGACTCGCGCGCGTCTCGGATGTCGCCCAACCAGGCTCTGTTGTCCCTGCATGCTGACTACATTGGCGGCGAGAACGCCAACTACCGCCGCTGGTACTTTGCTGCCCATCTTGATCTCGACGACGCCGTTGGCTTTGCCAACATGAAGCTTGGGAAAGCTAGCCGGAAAACTCGAAAAGCCAGGAAAGCCGCAAAGAAGGCCGCTGGTGATGCTACCAACGAGCAGGAAGCGCTGGAGGCCCTGGAGGGTGACAACAGCCTCGAGGCCGCAGAGTACAGGTGGAAGACTCGCATGAACCGCATGTCTCAGCACGACCGTATTAGACAAATCGCTCTTTACCTCCTCTGCTGGGGTGAGGCCAACCAAGTCAGGTTCATGCCTGAGTGTTTGTGCTTCATCTTCAAGTGCGCAGACGACTACCTCAACTCTCCTGCGTGCCAGGGCAGCACTGAACAAGTCGAGGAATTCACTTACCTGAACAACGTCATCACCCCTCTGTACCAGTACTGCAGAGACCAGGGCTACGAAATCCAGGACGGCAAGTACGTTCGTCGTGAGCGTGACCACGCTTCCATCATTGGCTACGACGACTGCAATCAGCTCTTCTGGTACCCCGAGGGTATTGAACGCATCGTTATGGAAGACAAGTCGCGTATTGTCGACGTGCCTCCTGCCGAACGCTACATGAAGTTGAAGGATGTGTTGTGGAAGAAGGTCTTCTTCAAGACCTACTACGAGCGACGCTCCTGGTTCCACATGTTGGTCAACTTCAACCGTATTTGGATCATTCACGTCACCATGTTCTGGTTCTACACTGTCTACAACTCGCCTACCATTTACACGAAGGGCTACCAACAACAAACCAACAACAAGCCCAACCGAGCTGCATGGTGGTCGGCCGTCGCTTTGGGCGGAACTCTTGCTTCTCTCATCATGATTTTCGCTACACTCGCCGAATGGTTCTACGTACCGCGGAAATGGGCAGGTGCTCAGCATTTGACCAAGCGTTTTCTGTTCCTTCTTGCTGTCTTCGCTGTCAACATTGCCCCTAGCGTCTACGTCTTTGGCGTTACCCAGACTGGCAAGATTGCGAACATCATCAGTGTGGTTCAGTTCCTCATCGCTCTTATCACGTTCATCTTCTTTGCAGTGATGCCTATTGGAGGTCTCTTTGGCAGCTATCTGACGCGCAACTCTCGTCAGTACGTCGCCAGTCAGACCTTCACCGCGAGTTATCCTCGGCTGAAAGGAAATGACATGTGGATGTCTTATGGTCTTTGGGTTCTGGTATTCGCCGCCAAGATGGCCGAGTCCTACTTCTTCCTTACCTTGTCGCTGAAGGACCCCATCCGCATCCTTGCTCCCATGAGGATCGATAATTGTATTGGGGACCAGATTGTCGGCAAAGTCCTCTGCAAGTATCAACCTCAGATCCTCTTGGGGCTGATGTTCTTCACCGACCTTATCCTCTTCTTCCTAGATACATATCTGTGGTACATCATTCTCAACATGTTGTTCTCCGTCGCCCGATCTTTCTACCTCGGTGTTTCGATCTGGACGCCATGGCGAAACATCTTCTCGAGATTGCCCAAGCGTATCTATTCCAAAATTCTCGCTACGACCGACATGGAGATTAAGTATAAACCCAAGGTATTGATCTCCCAAATCTGGAACGCCGTTGTCATCTCCATGTACCGAGAACATCTTCTGGCAATCGATCATGTACAAAAACTGCTGTACCACCAGGTTCCTTCCGAGCAGGAGGGGAAGAGGACTCTCCGTGCTCCAACATTCTTCGTCTCTCAGGAAGATCATTCGTTCAAGACTGAATTCTTCCCTGCTCAGAGCGAAGCCGAGCGGCGTATCTCGTTCTTCGCACAGTCTCTATCCACCCCAATCCCGGAGCCGCTCCCTGTGGACAACATGCCGACTTTCACTGTCATGATTCCTCACTACAGCGAAAAGATCCTTCTATCTCTTCGTGAGATCATTCGTGAGGACGAGCCTTACTCCCGCGTCACCTTGCTGGAATATCTTAAGCAGCTCCATCCTCATGAATGGGACTGCTTCGTGAAGGACACCAAAATTCTTGCGGATGAGACATCGCAATTCAACGGCGACTATGAGAAGAACGAGAAGGATTCCGCCAAGAGCAAGATCGACGATCTTCCGTTCTACTGCATTGGTTTCAAGTCTGCCGCGCCTGAGTACACTCTGCGAACTCGTATTTGGGCTTCTCTTCGCTCCCAGACTCTCTACCGCACCATTTCCGGCTTCATGAACTACAGTCGTGCTATCAAACTGCTCTACCGCGTCGAGAACCCCGAGGTTGTTCAGATGTTTGGAGGCAACTCCGACAAGCTTGAGCGCGAGCTTGAGCGCATGGCTCGCCGAAAGTACAAGATCGTGGTCTCTATGCAACGGTATGCCAAGTTTTCCAAAGAAGAGCGCGAGAACACCGAATTCCTTCTCCGTGCTTATCCTGATCTGCAAATCGCCTATCTTGATGAGGAACCTCCTGTCAACGAGGGTGACGAACCGCGTCTGTACTCCGCTTTGATCGATGGACATTCGGAACTCATGGACAATGGCATGCGACGACCCAAGTTCCGCATCCAACTCTCCGGTAACCCAATTCTTGGTGATGGCAAATCAGACAACCAGAACCACTGCATCATCTTCTACCGCGGAGAGTACATCCAGCTCATCGATGCCAATCAAGACAACTACCTCGAGGAGTGCCTGAAGATCCGAAGCGTCCTTGCCGAGTTTGAGGAAATGACCACCGACAATGTTTCTCCCTACACCCCAGGAATCCCTAATGCAAACTTCAACCCCGTCGCCATTCTTGGTGCTCGCGAGTACATTTTCTCAGAGAACATCGGTATTCTTGGTGATATTGCCGCCGGAAAGGAACAGACATTCGGTACTATGTTCGCACGTACACTGGCTCAAATTGGTGGCAAGCTGCATTACGGTCATCCTGATTTCCTCAACGGCATCTTCATGACTACCCGTGGCGGTGTGTCCAAGGCCCAAAAAGGTCTTCATCTCAACGAGGATATTTACGCTGGTATGAACGCTCTGCTCCGTGGAGGTCGCATAAAGCATTGCGAGTACTACCAGTGTGGTAAGGGTCGTGATCTTGGGTTTGGCTCTATTCTCAACTTCACCACCAAGATCGGTACCGGCATGGGCGAACAGATGCTTTCTCGCGAATACTACTACCTTGGCACCCAGCTTCCTCTAGATCGATTCCTTTCGTTCTTCTACGCACATCCCGGCTTCCACATCAACAACTTGTTCATCATGCTTTCGGTCCAGCTGTTCATGTTCTGTCTTCTCAACTTGGGCGCGCTCAAGCACGAGACCATCATTTGCCACTACAACAAGGATGTGCCCATCACCGACGAGCTATTCCCTACTGGCTGCCGCAATCTCGTGCCCGTCTTCGACTGGGTTGCACGTTGTATCGTGTCTATCTTCATCGTCTTCTTCATCTCCTTCGTGCCTTTGGTGGTGCAGGAGTTGACGGAACGTGGTTTCTGGCGTGCAGCAACTCGTCTTGCTAAGCATTTCTCCTCGCTTTCGCCAATGTTCGAAGTCTTCGTCTGCCAGATCTATGCCAATGCTCTACACACGGATTTGTCCTACGGTGGCGCTCGATACATTGGTACCGGTCGTGGCTTTGCTACTGCTCGCATCCCATTCGGTATCCTCTACTCCCGCTTTGCCGGACCTTCTATCTACATCGGTGCCCGATCTCTGATGATGCTTCTATTTGCGACTCTGACAGTCTGGGGTCCCTGGCTCATCTACTTCTGGGCGTCCCTGCTGGCTCTTTGCATTTGCCCATTCTTGTTCAACCCGCATCAATTTTCGTGGACAGATTTCTTCATCGACTACCGCGAGTATTTGCGCTGGCTCTCTCGAGGAAACACCCGTTCGCACAGTGCCTCTTGGATTGGATACTGCCGTCTCTCGCGAACTCGTATCACTGGTTACAAGCGCAAGGCTCTTGGAGATCCCTCTTCTAAGATGTCGGGTGATGTTCCCCGTGCTCAGTTTGGCAACATCTTCTTCGCTGAGATTGTTGGCCCGCTAGTGCTGGTTGCTATCACCCTGATTCCATACCTGTTCATCAACGCCCAGACTGGTGTAGCGGACGCAGATCGTAAGAAGGACAGCAAGAACGCTCCAACGGAAATCAAAGCTACAAACTCGCTCATCCGTGTTGCCCTTGTGGCTTTCGGACCCATTGCCATCAACGCAGGTGTGCTTGGAGGTCTGTTCGGCATGGCTTGTTGTATGGGTCCACTTCTCAGCATGTGCTGCAAGAAGTTCGGCGCTGTTCTCGCTGCCATTGCTCACGGTGTTGCCGTCTTCATGCTGCTTGCCTTCTTTGAAGTCATGTTTTTCTTGGAAGGCTGGAGCTTCTCTAAGGCTCTTATTGGCATGATTGCCGTTGTTGCCATTCAGCGGTTCTTCTTTAAGCTTATCATCGCTTTGGCATTGACCCGAGAATTCAAAGCAGACAACTCGAACATTGCTTGGTGGACTGGCAAGTGGTACTCTATGGGCTGGCATAGTATCTCTCAGCCCGGCCGCGAGTTCCTGTGCAAGATTACGGAGTTGGGCATGTTCGCTGCCGACTTCATTCTTGGCCACATTATCTTGTTCATCATGCTTCCAGCATTGCTTGTCCCTTACATTGATAAGTTCCACTCGGTCATGCTGTTCTGGCTGCGACCTAGGTACGTACTTCTCTCCCATGGAAATTGTTCCAGCTGCTAACATCTAGCGCAGTCGTCAAATCCGACCTCCCATCTACTCTCTCAAGCAAAGCAAGCTCCGCAAACGACGAGTGATCCGATACTCCATTCTTTATTTCGTCCTCCTCATAATATTTGTTGCTCTGATTGTGGGTCCGATCGTCGCTGGCAAGTTCCTAACATCACTGCCTACCATTCCCATGGACCTCCTCCAGCCCACCGGCCTCAACAACAACGATACTAGCGGGTCGCACACTGGTACCGCCAAGAATGGAAAAGCAGCGGCTGCGACATCGAGCTCGGGCAAATTCCGAGTCTTCTAGACTTGAAAAGCAACGACAGCGGATTTCAATAGCGAGCAGGCGTACTCTTCTCGTCTCTCATTCACGCATTGTACAACAAAGCAGAAGCACGACGCGCTGTCAACCGGTTTGCCTGGGCAACGGTTGCATAATGACTGTAATTTTGGAGCTGTTGACTTCCTGCATTCTCCTTGTGTTCTGGTGTTTTGGCGGGGGTTAGATGCTTGTCCTGGTTCTTTTCTCTCGTTTTGACAGTCTTTCTTCGGCCGCACGTGGCCTGGCATGCACATACTATGAGGGCGGGTCTTGGAACGGTCACATATTAGATAGTGAATTGCATTGCACTCAATATACAGAATTCACCCTACTTCTTCCTGTCTATTGATGTGAGAAAGTTGTTGAATGATTGTGACGAGTGTCTCCTGAGGCATTACGAGTAAATGTACGGAAAGGAAGGGTAGTGCCGTGCCTCACGTAATGCTACTGTCGAGTAGGAGAAAGGGACTAATCACGTGATCTATACCCTTGGAACTAATTTCCGCCTCATGATTGACACCTCCGCGTCCTCCGGAAGGAACAACCGCATTACTTCATCCCACGTCTGCCTCGCCACGCCCCCCCTAGAATTTACTGTCGCCATGGACATCCAAGACTTGCAGAACAGGGCATTGTCCCTCCTGGACGATGCAAACGCACAGTTTCATAGGATGCCCGGCTCGGCCATTCTGATGCGCTACATCAAGTCGAGCTACCAGAACGACCCTGTGCGATCCGCAGTCGAGCTGTTCCTCGTGATCTTCTTCCTCCGATATATCCTGGCTTCGTCGTACTCAACGCAAAAGCAAACGCATGTCCCTTTGTCTGAAGAGGTGCGCTGCAGCTCCCAATTGTATTGTGGATGATGCTAAAGGGGCGCAACAGGAGATTGACGAATTGGTTGACGACTGGACGCCAGAGCCTTTGGTCATGAAGCCGACCGCATTCGAGGACTTGGAAAATGAAAAACGGCCCATTATTGTTGGGTGAGTGCGCTTGTCTCGCAATCCGCTGCCTCCTGCTAATTGCCCAGTCCTACTGGTCCCAAATCCAAACTCTCCAACGGTCGAACCGTTACGAACCTCGCCTCGTACAACTTCTATAACTTCATTGGAAACGAGACCTTGAAAGAGAAGGCTATTCAAACTCTGCGAACATATGGTGTAGGGCCCTGCGGCCCTCCAGGCTTCTATGGCACACAGGACGTCCACATGAAGACTGAGGCGGATGTTGCAGCACACTTGGGAACCGCGGCATGCATTGTATACGCTCAATCATTCTCCACCATTACCAGTGTCATTCCGTCTTTCTCGAAGAGAGGCGACATCATTGTCGCGGATAAGGCTGTCAACTATGCGATTCGGAAGGGTATCCAGATTTCCCGAAGCATGGTCCGCTGGTACGAACACAATGATATGGAAGATCTACAGCGCGTCTTGGAAAAAGTCACGAAGGAACAAGCGAAGAAACCCCTGACCAGACGGTTCATTATCACAGAAGGCTTGTTTGAGAATGTTGGAGACTGCGTGGACTTGCCCAAGATTGTGAGTCTCCCTATCTCGGGCCCTACTTCTAGAACATCACAGTAGCTAACTATCCCAAGGTCGAACTCAAGCTGAAACACAAATTCCGCCTCATTCTCGACGAAACCTGGTCTTACGGCGTGCTCGGTCGCACAGGCCGTGGCGTGACGGAACTGCAAAACGTCGACTCTACAGAGGTCGACATGATCATCGGCTCGCTATCTGGACCGCTATGCGCCGCAGGCGGGTTCTGCGCGAGCACGGCGGAAGTCGTTGAGCACCAGCGTATCTCATCCGCTTCCTACACTTATTCTGCTGCTCTGCCCGCTATGCTAGCTACGACGGCCAGCGAGACCATCTCCCTTCTGCAAGAAACACCCGAAATCATGGTTCAACTCCGAGAGAACATCAAAGCCATGCGGGCACAGCTGGACCCGAGGAGCGATTGGGTCAAGTGTACCAGCGCGGTCGAAAACCCAGTCATGTTGCTAGTGCTCAAGCCCGAAGTCGTGGCTTCTAAGGGATTTAGCTCCCAAGACCAGGAGTCGCTGTTCCAGGACGTCGTTGACGAGGTAATTATCCAGTCTATTACCTCGAGTTAGATGAAGAGCTAACAGATACCAGTGCATCGCCAACGGCGTTCTCATCACAAGACTCAGGAGCATGCCTCCAGCTGTTGGAGCCGGGCCCCGGGACCAGGGCTGGCAACCACAGCCTGCACTCAAAGTATGCGTCACCACTGGTCTCTCTAGAAAGGAGACGGAAAAAGCGGGCATTGTCATTAGACATGCCATTACGAAAATCATCACTCGCAGGAAGTGAGGATATCGCAGTTTATTGTACTATATTTAGGCATGGAAGGCGTTTCAATGCGGTTGTAATAGATTTTGGAGGTCGATTACTACCGGTAATGCATAATGGGGGAGGTAAAGGGGAAAGACGCTGATGCTGGGCATTGGTGTCCATGAAAGCGAAGAGCGAGACCTTTGGGTATTGTCAGCCTGTATGACCATGAGACCGCTAGTATATACTCTGATTCCTGGACATTTTATTGATGTACATGAAGTGTTTTAGGCACTCTAGCTTGACGGATACAAGCAAGTAACTCCTAGGAACCCAGGCTTGTGAAGGTATTGGAGAAACCCCCGACGAGGGAGAGATGCGACTGGGTAAGGTCATCCCCCCGCCCAATCACTTGGTCAAGCTTTATGTTGTAATGGGCGCCGCATGAGAATCTTCAAACACCGCTGCTCGTCCAAGCATTGAGTACAGCTTCGTAATATGTTCAAACGCCCTTTTCCTGTCTTGGCGGCGGCGGCGAAGATGAGGCAGCTCGACTTTCCTTTCATAGACTCCTGTTATAGCGTTGAATTCCCTACAATGCCAGTAGCCTCTGTCTGCTTCGGACCAAACCCAAGAAGGTGGGCCAAGTGAGGGTGGCTGTCCCTTGTCGACACGCACTCCTTCGTCGCCACGCTGTCCCTCGTCCTCCGTCTTCCCCACCTCCTCTAGGTTAGCATCAAGCCACCGCGATAGTGCCTCGGGGAAGGGGCCAAGGAGATGTATCATGCCTAACATATCGTGCAATTCTTTCGAGTATGAGGATGTATCGCTCTTGGTAGCTGGGTCGTTGTAGCAGAACCGAACCATGTCCCTCCCGTCCCTAGTGAAGCCTTTGACGTAGGTGACTGTAAATGTGTAGTCCTCGCCGGGGTTATCTATCAAGTGTTGGAGTGTTTCGGAATAGCCACCACGAATATTCAGAGACATCCACATGCGCCCGAAGTTGAACATGTGAAAGGTTTTGGAGGAGTCGCTGCCCGCGGTATGGGTAGTCCCAGTGAACTCGAGGTACTCCACTGGTTTTAGGGCCTGGTCGCTGGTAAGTACGAATTGTAATTTACGCTCGTTTGTTTGGGCCATGAGCGAGGAGACAAATATTTGGCTTTAGGAAGACCGCTGCTGACGAGGTAACCTCCGAGCTTTTATCAAATTCGGGCTTGCTGTGCAGGTTTTCTGCCCATGTCATCAGGGCAAAGAGCAAAGTAGATTTCCATCACATGGTCGAAGGTTGGCTTTACTAAGTACGCTAGGTTTGAGGCTGATACCATTCCCTACTCTTCAGTCTCTTCAATCATCGCTACCCGTCCCGCACGCGGGCGCTGAAAGTAAGACTCCGTAAGCAAACTCCATCCGTTCTTACCCGCTTCCTCCTTTAAGACCTTTGCATTCAGGTTAGCATTAAGCCATCTCAATAGTGCGTCCAGAATGGAGCCAAGCAAACCTATCCTCCTGCAACCTTCTCTCGGCAGTACAGGTCGATCTAGCAAAGCGTTCACCTCGTCCGGTTGAACAAGGGGTTTGCTAAGTGACCACATGATTAAGACAAATCAACTTGGAGCGAGTTTGAAGAAAGTTTAAGCTCCGGCTTTACGAAAGTGAAAGCTGCCATAGCGCCAAACTTGATCTCACGTGGACGATATAGAGAGTAGACAGGCAAAAGGATGACTTATGAGGGCTGAGGGAGAAGTCAAAGAACAAGAAATACCAGCTCATTAGCAATCCAATTCCCCCAATGGCTGAGACAAACCCAACAAAAACCTGGTCCCTATGCGAAATACTCCCCGCCAACCACCTGAAACCCATCCCATTCGAGCAATTCGCCCAGCCCTTCACTGGCACCCCCGATGCCGCCAATATGGTCTCTCTCCGCCGTATCTGGAAGTCCGAGCCAGAGATCTGCACCGAGAAGCATGAGCTCCTCCCAGCATTCCAGCATGTTATAGACACGCCGGAAAAGGACCACGAGCGCTGGCTGATAGTAGCTTACATCAGACCGTTCACTCTAGACAACCGGGACTTAGTTGAGTTTAGCTGGCGGAACAAAGGAGGCGAGGTCACTCCTACTTTTATGGAGGATCACTCGTCGCCTTGGGCGGTGGAGACGGCGTGGCAAAAGTTTTATCTTCTTGGAGATTTGCCGCCGCAGATTGAAGCATGGGTTAAGAGGAGCGTAAGGTCGCCGGAGATAGACGGCGCGGTCAGGGAGTCTGCGTATTGGGCGCTTGGGAAATTCTACACGGCGCATTTGCGGAAGGGGCAGGTAGCTGCGTTTTGGGCTGAGCCTGTGCTGAATGTAATGCCTAGGTCTAATATTGCCTGAGGTGGCCTGGAGTGTCATCAGCCCTGTCGGATCCGGAGTTTCGCAATTGCTGATAATGTACCAGAGAACCTCAAGCGGTGTTGGGCAAGTTGTACATAGGCCTGGAGTGAGGTCGTATCTAAATTATGTGGGGTTTCAGAATGAAAATACAGAATCGTAGACTGCCTCCCGCGGGAGTTTAGAGCTCCCTTCTCGGAACGTGTCGTCTGGGAACTGTTAGCTATGTTGATGGTATGAAGTGGCAGCAAATGATCATTCACGAACCACATTTATAGAGTATTTAGCTCAAGGAGTGTGCGTGTTGAAAGTAGGTATGAAAGCTATTTCTAGAACTGGACTTACCAGGAGAATCTTGCTAGTTTGATAGACCATGGAAGCTATGATTCAGTACCTAAAAGTTTGAGCCCATTTGACGCGTCAGCTCTCCGAACAAAGCATGGAGACAAGCAGGAAAGATCCTTAACCCCAAATTCGGTCTCGCGGTTGAGGTATAAAAGAGCTCGATCGGCACCTAGAAGCGCGCCCTAGACTCCAAGGACACGCTGTAAGCGTTTCGCATCCGACAATGCAACCAAGCCCGAGCACGCTGCGGCATGTTGCCCTTGAAGACGCATCAAAACCCGCAGCGTATCAGCAATTCAACTCCTCCTCCTTTCGTAGTGCTGAAATAATGCCTGTCGATATGCCCACTGTTCGCCTCCTATTCAAACTCCTCCTAGATAGATTCCATGTTGGATTTCAGGACTTTGTAGACACCGGAGAAAGACGAAGATCGTGAGTTGGTAGTAGCTTTTACTAAGCAGTATACTATGGACGGAAGAGATTTGTTGGAACTCAGAACGTGGGGAAAAGCAGACGACGACGACATGCATAAGTTTTTCATACTTGGACCCTTCCCGCCTGAGTTGGAGCGGTGGGTTGATACGAATTTGAAGCCATGCGAGATGACACAGGAAGAAATAGTCAAATGGTATTGGGAAAGTGGGAAAGCGTATCTAAGCGATTTGTGCGAGGGAAAGGTAGCGGCGTTTCATTGAAGCGTGGGTAGTTAATGTCTTCAAAATAAGTCTTGGTCGCTTTCATGGCCTAACTTCGCTCCTGCATGTCGCCAAAATCTCAGACATGTGTATCTGCCGCCGGGACCAGAACTTGCAGTATAGAGACTTGCTCGCCACCTCCTTTGCTAGGCAGAGAGTCAGGCTCGAGGGTATGGATGAGAATTCATCACTCTCGCGGACCTAAGTGATGGCATACATCCGAAGGATAGTAAGTATAAGAATATAGCACGCGTGTAGTATAAGGCGATTAACTAAGCGGTAGAGCATCTGACGATACCCGGCACCCGCTATGGAGGGTCGGTTGTTAGATGGTTATTGTTTGGAGAGGGCTCTGTTCTCTTCTCTCTTGGGTCGGCCTGCAACCAACATGGTGGTCATTGCAAGTCTTCAGCCAGCCTCTGATGAGATCGTATGTCCGTTCAGATGCCATGACCCCAAATGTGCCAGTTGTGGCCTCCCGAACGAGTCTGCCTACTTGAGATTAGACAACGCCACGGAAAGTGGGACTGTGAGTGACAACGTACCTTTTTCGACACAATGGGATACATTTGCGTGCCCAGACACTCTTCATTTTGACCAAATAACGGAAAAACCAGAGTAGGGCGCCAGTTAGCATATAAGTCTGCTGGTTTGCAAACTTCATCTTCAAGTACTGGGCGCAATTCGAAATTGCCTCTAAATTTCTCCTGATCGGGTATAGAGAAGAATGAGCGAAAGAAATCCTCAACAGGAGCGGACTAATCTTTTTCGGATTGAAGCGATTCTAGATGGGCTCTCAACCCTCTAGATTGAGTGCGGGAACGATCATGCAAATTAGGCGTTCGAAAAGAGAGCAGCCTTCGTTAACGGCACGTAGTTCTGCAGCCTCGGAAATCTTGATGGCAGTTATGAGTCTAGGTGGTGCATACCCCGGGATATGTGCCGCTTCTCCGAACTCTTCGATATTAATAGTGATCTGTTGGCAATGCTCACAGCTATGGACATCCCAGACACGGGGTTATCTGACTCGACTATGGTGGCACCAGAGTCATCCATGGCGAGAACAGAATACTGCAACTAGTATTATACACTGCCTTGCCAAACCTCTGGACAACTCGCTTACCACCCTCTGAGATGCTTCGGCGTTCCTATGGAAATTCCGATAAGATGTAAAGTCACTGAGAGCTTGAATCAGAGAAATGTCAAGCGCAGACAGTCGGCCTACTTGACCGCTGTTTGCGGTGCTTCAGCACAACATTATAAATATGGAGGAGATGGAAAAGACGCCTAACCTAGAATTTGTATTCCAGTACTGTAGTATCGCCCGAGGCAGAATGACCAGTCGTTGTTGATGTTGACGGTGATGTTGAAGGCTGAGGATGGAGCCTAAAGAAGAGGGATATGTAAACTGACCAGGCTAGGCAATTATATAGAGGAGGGAGAGAGTGGACCAATTCGAAGGCGTTTTGAGGGGCTGTTTGATTTGATTTCTGCCGGTAGGAGTTCGCTGACGCTCAGAGTGAGAGTGGTAAGCTCTGTCTATATCCATAGGATATGGAAATATCTTGCCTCAACTCTAAACTCACCACCTCAAAGGTGCATTCAACCGCTCGCATATCTTCCAACAAAGGCCTGACAAAAAAGCGAGTACAGGTTGGTATTTCTACAGACACAAAAGCCTACATCTATCTATCTACAAGAACTCTATCCCCACACCGAACGCTACCCCCTTGCGCCCGGCCTCTCCTCTCCGCTGCACCAACGGCAGCGAGAAACTAACCTCGAACCTAGCCACTGGATGCGCGTACACTAGGCCCAATCCAGCCGCACAGCTCGGTAGGCCATCCTTCAGCGCCCCGAGTGTGCGCTGCATGCTGTTTAGAGTTGATTCATTGCCGTCCTTGCCTTTCCCTTTCAGGGCGAGCAGCCGTCCGCCATTGATGAAGGCCTGTATACGTAGCGGTGTCTCAGCGCCCAGACGGGGTAGGGGGAAGAGTAGACTGGCGCCACCAGCAGCGTAGACATCTCCACCGACAGCGTCAGGGCCATCGCGGGGACCTAGACCACCGATGCGGAAGCCACGGACATCGGTGGGCCCACCGAGTTGGATACGGTCATTGAGGCGAGAGGGGAGCGGAGCGGAGTTTGAGCTGCCGCCGAGCGCGAGAGGATAGAGCAGGCCGCCACGGAGGCCGGCTGTGAAGGTGATGCCGCTGCCTAGGGGAAGGGCAGCTTGAGTTTCGGCTTGAAGCTTGCCGAATGCAACGTCACCTTTCAATGGCCCGAAGCCGGCGAGCTCGGACACGGTTTTCAGGAGGTAGCCACGGCTGGGGAGGAGAGGGTAATCGCGCTCGTCTTTGGTCCAAGTGTGGGAGATGCTGGATTTGAAAGAGTCGCCGGCGTCGTTGCGGACAGTGGGAGAGGCGTTCGAGGCTAGCCCGGTGATCTGGCGCCAAATACCAGAGTACCCGACTTCATGCTGGTGACCGCCTGGTGTCAACCAGCGTAGCTTCGTGTCGCCCCCCTTTACGACCTCTTCGTGGCTGGCCCAGCTCTTTAATGTTGAGCTCGCAATACCGTTTAGCTGGAATCGAAGATCGGGATTGCTGTTAATGGGAGTATCGAAGCCGACAGAGTAGGCAGATCGTGTCCGCGTCCCGAGCGAGGCATGTGCATTCAGAGACTCTGCTCCGCCGAACAGATTCCGTAGTTGAGCGTTGACAAAGGCATTGCCCTCAGAATGACCCACTTCTGTGCCGGTCTTGACGGTATACAGCCCCCTTTCCTGGGCAGAGATGTATATAGCAATGTCGGTAGGGGTCGTGGACGGGTCTGCGGGATCTGGCTTGTCCAGGTAAATGGAGATCGGGTTCTTGAAGATGTCTGTCGTCTCAGTTAGTCCAAGCTAGTAAAATTGATCTTGAAGGTCATATACCAAAACGTTGGAGCTTGTTGGTCGCGTTTGACACATCTGCTAGAGCTTCGGCTAGGGTGTATGGGCCGTCGCGATTGGCACTTAGTAGCGGGTTGAAGATGCGCTCCAGAAAATCTCGCCGGGTGTGTGAAGCATGCAAGACGCGGATCTCTGAGATGGTAGTTGGTCGAGTGGTGTTGTCGTCGATCTACAAAGTAATCAGTAGCCACACTTGTACAGAAGCATACTCCCAAGAAGGAACGTACAATCTCGAACAGCCTCGACTGGGATTTCTGATACTGCGCGTGAAGCCTGTCGTTGAACTCTCGCTCGCGCTTTTGTTCCTCGGCAGGGTCGGGCTTCTGGCACAGCCTTTCGAAGACCTGCAGTTCTGGCCGTCAGTGTATCTCCAATTGCACGGGGAAAGGTACACGCACATCGTCTTCTATGGGGGAAGCCATTGAGGCCGGTGTTGTCGAGCAGTGCAGTAGCACTTCGTCCAACGGGCGTCGGGAACATGGTGCCAAGCGCCCACGGTCTGGGGCTGTGACGGCACGTCCGTCAGATGGATCCACTCTAGGGTCTCTCATCTGTCTATCTTCTATCTCACTTCTCTTCACTTCAAACCCCTTCTTCACTTCGTTCCTGTTCTTCTGCTTGTCTCTATTGCTGCCGACGCAATCTAGAACACCTAATCTTCCTGTCTCAGGTCCCTTGTCCTCTTCCTCCGCCACACTCTATTCGACAACCACATCCCACCCTCGCACCTCCTCCGCCGTTTGTCGCTATGGCTACACCCGTAGCCACCACCCGCCTGGCCAAGGAATACCATGCCATCGCCAAAAACCCGCCCCCCTACATCGTCGCGCACCCCTCGGAGCGCAACATCCTCGAATGGCACTACATCCTGACCGGCCCGCCCGAGACGCCCTACGTCGGCGGCCAGTACTGGGGCACCCTCATCTTCCCGCCCGACTACCCCTTCGCGCCGCCCGCCATCCGCATGCACACGCCCAGCGGCCGCTTCCAGCCCTCGACGCGCCTCTGCCTCAGCATCTCCGACTTCCACCCCAAGTCCTTCAACCCGGCGTGGGAGGTTTCGACCATCCTGACTGGCCTGCTCAGCTTCATGACATCCGAGGAGATGACGACGGGCAGCGTGCGCGCAACCGATCACGAACGCAAGCTCTTCGCGGCCCGCACCAGATGGTGGAACTCAACCGGCGGCGGCACCTCGACGCGCACGATCCCCGGCATTACTACTCCGCAGAGCTCGAACACCCGTGGGAACGGCGCAGTTAAGGCGGGCGACGGTGGTGTCAAGTTTAGGAAGGAGTGGCCGGAGCTGGACGAGGAGAACTGGAAGATTATGAAAGAGAAGCGCATCGATCCGGTATCTGGCCTCACAGTGCCGGCGGAGAACTCACATGGGCCTTGCTCGCCTGAGGCGGCTGCGTTGCGGCGGCGACTGCCGGGGGGCTCTGCCACGGGCGTGGGTGCTGTGGTACAGGGCGGGCAGGTTGCGAGAGATGCGGGACAGAGCTGGATTGGGAGGAACAAGTGGCGCATAGTGTTTGGAGCTTTCTTCAGCTACATTCTGATTGCACGAATGCTGGGAGAGGGCGTCTCCTCTCCTTGAGGCCGGTGAATGAAGCGAGGTCTGTGTACCAAAATAAGAACGGTGTTCTCGGAGTCTTCAGATTTTGGGACGGGTAAGCGACGGATTTGATATCAACGGTTTGGTCTGTGGCCCTCTTTTTCTTCCCTTAGGACGCATACTATTAGAGCACACCGGCGCTCTACAGAACGAAACAAGCTAAAACAATCAATCAACCATTCACTGGCACACTTTCGTATCGATGGGTAGTAATAGCCCCTGTTCCTAAGTGCTCTCCTCACGTGACCATCTACCGCCACAGCTGAACCTAACTCGAAGAAGAAATACACAATATATGACAGGTCATAATCGCAGATCCCATAACAGTTCTCAAGTAGAAATCTAACATCAGGCCTTCCTCCGCAACTACAACCACCTGCACCGTTGCCCTCCCCACCGCCATTAGCAACAAACCTACCCCTCCCTCGGCATTACCCATTGATCTCCTAGCTATGTCCTGCGGACTCTTGTATCTGGAGACGACGCTGCATATTTAAGAGCTAATAGTAAGCGGATTCCCTGGGTGTGGGCTATCCTCTCGCAAAGATCCACTTCTCCCTCCTCCTTCAGTTAGGAAACGACGTTTAGCGTGGATAAGTACCTCGACAGCATGACAGAGTTGCCGTGCTCGGTATGCAGCGAGAAGGTGAGCAATGGGGTCATGGAGAGAATGCCGCAGCTTTCTCTATCAGAGACCAGAAACGTCCGGTCAGGGAAAGGAGACGAGCTGCGCTGAGCCTTTGGTGTATGTGCCGAGCAGAGCTCGTTAAACCGCGTGCGTGGTCATTCACCCTATGATATTTTTGTTTTTTTTTTTGCGCGTCGGGAGAGGAGATATTTGGGGACGCGTGTGGGGGGAGGGGAGGGGCCGCGTAACTGGTAGGTCCCGTCGACTCCTGCACGAGGATAAGTGGCTGTTCCTACTGAAGAGTTATAGCATTGGACCTTCGTGCTTCCACGGCCTGTTGTGTACGAGACTCCGCTTTACAGAGTTATCGGGATTGGGTGCGGGTTTTTTGGGATTGATTTTAGCGTTGTGCTAGAACCGGGGGATTTGTGGTAGGTGGCTAGTCGTAGAGCGCTGAAAGTTGAGTGAGAGCTTGATTTTGAGTGCTTTGGAGCTCGGAATCGGGTGAGTATGCTGTTGTGATGGAAAGAGGTAAGGCTGCAGGTTGGATGAGAGTGTGACAGGATGCGAATTGGGGTTTGCTTTCAAGCGTGAGAATATCTACCTCTAACTTTCGTGCAAGAGCTTTGTCTACTTACTACAGACTAGAAACTAGATTAGTTAAGCCTTTTAGAAACCTCTTGTCAAAGACGCAGCTACCCGTACCTTGCGGCACCACACATCTTTCTGACCTTCTTGTGGACCACCTCGGCTCTCGATTTCGTACACGTACTTGTGTCAGTACCACCGTTTGTGCCAGGATGCCTCGTGCTTGGTCGTCTTATCTTTGACTTGTTCCCCTCAAAGCGATCTCGTTCCTTCAGCATCTGCTGCCTTTCGGGAAAAAATGCCGCATAAGCACCGTACGCCTATATCAGCCCTCTGATATCGGCATCACCGCTGCACTCTCACCTCCAATCCCATCTTCCTGCAAGCATCTTGCCCTCGCATCATCTGCTAGCAATGCGTCTAATAGTCGCGCAAACGCCTGTTCGGTGCCACAGCATCCGTACAAGAGCTTGCTATGCCCTTGTAGTACCGACAAGCCTACCCGTTTTCACCGCGCCATCCCGAACATCCGCTCCCAAAAGATTTCGGCGTCGATCAGCCACGGCGCCATCGCGTCCAGAGCTTGCTCTGGATTCATCCCGGCTGTTGGGCGAGGCTCGAGTAGGCCGATGGCGAGCACGAAGATGTCGCAGGTAGAGATGATGGTGCGGACGACGTTGCTGCTAGTTATGCCGTGGGGCATCTGGGCGGTACTGGGGTGATAAACGCTACTGCAAGCGGTAGGAGTTTAGCTGATAGGTGTTCTAAGAAAAGGTTGTCGAAGCGGGCATCAGATTCGGCTGACAATGCAGGGCTCGGTTTGTCGGAGGTGTGAGTTTGGGGCCTCGTGGCTGCTTGGTGCCTCCTCGTCTCTGAGATGGTTCGCTACCGCGAGACAGTCGCTGTGATACCAAGTGCGCAATAGCGGAATTGTACAAGTGATCCCGAGAGATAGCAAGGTCGTGGTCGTAGTCGCGAGAAATCTGATATCGGAGAGAAGAATTGTCTCAAAATCGGCGATGGGGATCTGGGCATAAGAAGACCTCGGAGTAAGACGGGAGGCAGAGGAAACGTAAGTACGTCTGTATTATGGTGACCTCAGCTGCTGTGAGGGTCAGCAGAGCAGGTGATTCCTTGCATGAGGCTCATACTTTGCGTAAGACCACGCCCAATAGGCTAAAAAGGGCTCCATAGTGTTTGACATGCAGGCTTTTCAGTGCGTAGAGTTTGTTGCTGTACTCCTTTTCGATACTTACGAGGAGGCGTCTAATAAGGTGATGGGCGTTGCGATTGGTGTGGAATCAGCAGGTTGGCCCTGGTCCAAGGTAGATTCCTGCAAGCGGGTTGGCTCGCTTGAGGATGGTGAGCAGCGAATCAGCGGGCAAGGCGCGGGATAGAGACCTTGCATGGTCGAAGGCGGCGAGATTAGTGCTGCTTGGTACTTGGGAGGCAAATGCAGTCAAAAGGGATAGGCTTGCTAGACAACGAACGACTGCGCAGTGTTGAACTGCCTTCTCCACATCGCGTTGAAGCTAGGAAAGCATTGCCACTTGCTGTGTCTTATTGCTTATCCAGTCCGAAGCTCCGCTTTTGCTGTGCTGGATCGCGGCGTGACTTACTGATATCGATTTTGCGGCACATTACTACCTTTGACAACTTCTCTGGTCCACAAGAATGCCTCCGAAGATGCTGCGATCGCAGATTAAGTTTACCCTAGTCGCTAGATTCACGGCTTGTGTTAAATCTGGAATCTGTGAGCATGTCAGTCAGGGCCTGGAGAGTTGTCCGAAAAGTGAAAACCGAATTGCGCGACGGGAGCAGGTCTGAGTTGATGTTCTGCCTAAGCACGATCATACGCTTGGTCCAGGATGGCTCCAGCTGCACATCAACGATGAAATGGTAGACGAGAGTGCCGACAGGACGTAGGCTAGGCACACTCGCGCTCCTTTCGTCCCTAAACCAAAATGCAGAGAATTGGTATAGAGATACTGGCGTCTTGGACCATATGTAGCACTCGAACCTACAGTAATATCTCGATTTAAAGACTCTCACGTTAAAATAAAGATTTTTGGGGTTTTGAAGATATGAGAAAAATTAAGATGTACTTGTTCTGGTAACTTGTTCCTCGATGGTAGTCGGTACTGTCATTCGCAAAACCAGTGCACGTGGTAATAAGCTCATCTACGACCACTTTCTAGTTTGCATTCGCCCCTTGAGAGCAGAATGTGCCCCGCAGCTTGCCAGACAAACTTACCAATAGACCGAAGTTGAGTTTCGAGCACAGGGTCTCGAGCAAGGTTGGAAAGAGAAGAAGAGAAGATGCGCTCGCACTTGCTCTAAAGAGAAACGTACTTGATAGTTAGGATTGCCTGTGTATTAGTGATTGGTACGCTATAACTGTAGGCGTGGATCACCCTCATTCTGGTATCGAGTGAATGAGTGATTCTGAGATGCCTCTCATTGTGCCAAACCGACCTGCCAGTAAATCTAATGAGAGCCCACAGAATAGAATTTTGCCAGAGTTCATCAGGGCTACGGACCCTGCAGATATGCTGGTACGGGAGGCCTCGGACCATTCTTCTCGTTCGATCTTGGAGCTTCGAAGTCTTTTGACACGAACCACGCTCGGCAGGCTCGGCCCTCTTCCCCAGACCTGAATGTGAACTGCTATTCCTTGCAAGAGTGGGAGGCGGGTCATGAGGCATGGGAGAGATGGCACCTCATCCATGCACGTCGAGGAGGGGGGAAGTCAGCATCAGGCAAACTGCGATCAATAGCAAGGCTGACAACTGCAACGACACCTAGAAGCCAAGCAGTCACAAGCTTGCCTGACGTCCTAGCTGCTGGTTTGGTGAGAAATGCCGTTGCGGTGCATTCCTATGGTTGCATGTGGCGCTGTGAGCTTTGCACTCGATCCCTTGGACGATCGAAGCGGCAATTACGGTTGCACTGGACGACATGGCCAGGTGGTCCGTCTGAACTATGTGCTAGGAGCGGGTTTCCGAAGAGGGACAGAGAGCTAGAAGTTGAGGAGAAAGGAAGTGAGAGAATGGTGCTAGAAGACATCGGTGATCGGGTGGGCGCTGGAAGCGAGTTTGACTCGCCGCCCCTGGCCTGCCTGGGACGACAGCCGTCCTTGGGAAACAATCCGTGCCGGTTTAGGCCCATAACAGCCTGATTGCCAGTCCAGCCTCTCGTTTCCTGGCTCGACTGTGTGCTGCAAGAGATTGCTGGATCTGCTGCGCCTAGAAAGCCTCCCAGATGCCCCATTCCCTGAGTCGGCACGGAGGGGGCCTCCGAGTACGTTGCTGCTGCCCGGCCAATTAACTTGTATCAATTGTACCAAAACTCATATCTTCAGGCCATGCTAGTCTTGGATCACTCGCCTGGGTCAATCGGCGTGAAAAACGTCGGGCTCGAGCTTGGGGGGCCTCTGGTAATGGTGAAGGCTGTGTTCCACTGCATCCAGCCCTTGTGCTCTGCCCGAACGATAGTCCAACCTTCTGCTGCAGCCCGTACTCCGAGAAGAGTAGCACTGCTATAATTTGCCAGCGGGTACGCGCAGGTATGGCTGGAAACACCCTGGCAGGGTGTTGCCGCCATTGGAAGCCATGCAGCCTGTAATATCTGACCCTTGTGCTCAACAGCAGGCTAGAATGGGCAGACCCTGGGGGCATCATGCACAGTAATGACGTTCTGGGGTTTCCAGAAGCGTCCTTATTCGTCATTGGCTGGTGCCGGCCAGCGGTGCCGTTGGAGTGGCCACTCTAACGAGGGAGTGAATGTGTCTTGGCAGGCGCACCTTCCTGGTGAGCAGGCGGCCACGCGCAACACCCCCCGTTGAAGCAGGCCCGTCCATAAAAGCCCCCGCATCCTCTCCACAGCTTCGACTTCTTCTCCACCTCCACACCTCCACACCTTCTCACCTTCTCACTCACCACCTCTCTCTCCACAGCTTCCCCCACATCTACAAGAACCCACCCAAGCTTGGCTGGCAATCTTCAACATGTGGACTACATATAACACCTACGCCATTTGCGCCTTCGCCGCCATCGGTATGTCTCCCCGCTGCCCCACCTTCTGCGGCCGTTCACTGACAGCCTCATAGGCGGTGGCCTGTTCGGCTTCGATATCTCGTCCATGAGCGGCGTGCTCGGCACCAATGCCTACAAGAACTACTTCGGCAACCGTAAGACTCCGCCCTCGCGACCTCCCATCCATGCATACACTGACGACCTGCAGCTACCGGCTACCGTCAAGGCGGTATCACGGCTTCCATGCCCGCTGGCTCCCTCGTTGGTGCACTAGCCTCTTCCTTCATTGCAGACAAGCTCTCCCGTAGGACTGCGATCCAGGTCGCGGCCATTATTTGGATCATTGGCGCCATTCTTCAGACTGCCTCGAACGGCGTCGCCCTCCTCTGCGTCGGCCGTGTCGTTGCTGGTCTCTGCGTTGGCATCGCATCTTCCATTGTCCCGGTTTACCAAGCCGAGATTGCCCGCAAGGAGATCCGAGGACGTGTGGTGTCATTGCAACAATGGGCTATCACTTGGTATGTAGCACTCTGCGCCACGAGTTGATGGGTTCTCAGCTAACGAAACAGGGGCATCTTAATCCAGTACTTCATTCAGTACGGCGCTTCCTTTGTCGACGGTGGTCCAACGGCTCCCAACCAGGGAACTGCCGCCTTCCGTATCCCATGGAGTATTCAGATGGTTCCAGCATTCATTCTCTTCATCGGCATGTTCTTTTTGCCTAGGTCCCCCCGCTGGCTAGCGAGCAAGGATCGTTGGGAGGAGGCGTAAGTGGCAACTGATACCACTCTTTGGTGAATTGGCTGACAATGTGTACAGCATCCAAGTTCTCGGCCACCTCCATGGAGGAGGCGATGTGAACCACCCCAAGGTGCTCGCTGAATACCAGGAAATTGAGGAAGCTCTTCGCTTCGAGCGGGAGGAAGCGATCAACAGCTACAAAGCCCTTGTCGAGCCTCGTATGCTCAAGCGCGTCATCCTGGGAATGTCAATCCAGATGTGGTCTCAGCTTTGCGGCATGAACATCATGAGTAAGTTGATTTTCAACTATAGCATGCTCACCTGCTGACGATCTCACAGTGTACTACATCGTCTACATCATGGAGGGTGCTGGCATCGCTAATGAGTTGCTCACCTCCTCCATCCAGTACATCATCAACGTTGCGCTCACATTGCCCGCTATCCTGTACCTTGACAGGTTCGGCCGTCGCCCGGCTCTCCTTTGCGGTTCGTTCGGCATGATGACTTTCCTTTTCATCAACGGCGCGCTTCAAGCCGCCTACGGCAGGCCTAACCCCGACAAGTCCAATAAAGCCATCACCTGGGTCGTTCAGGACCACAAGAGCGTTTCCAAGGCCATAGTCGCCTGCTCGTACCTCTTCGTCGCCACCTTTGCCACGACCTGGGGCCCAACATCCTGGACATATCCCTCGGAGATCTTCCCGTCCAAGATCCGCGCCAAGGCCGTCTCGTTGGCCACCGCCTCTAACTGGATCTGGAACTGCGCCCTTGCCTTCGGTGTTCCCCCGCTTCTCCAGAAGATCGACTGGAAGATGTACATGATCTTCGCCACCTTCAATGGTCTTGCCCTCATTCATATGTTCCTGACTGCTCCCGAGACCAAGGGCAAGACCCTCGAGGAGATGGACGAGGTCTTCGACTCTGGCATCCCGGCCTGGCGCGGCGTCAAGAAGGGCTCTAGGCTCGACGTGCTGCAGACCCAGATCGAGAAGGGCGAGGTCAAGGTTGCCGGCTTCCACGGCCGCGACAGGTCCGGTGCTCCCACCGGAATCGAGCATGTCGAGAACAAGGCGGAATAGGTTGACGAGCGTAGTGGCTTAGATACGGCAAAGCAGAGTTGGGGTTCGTCGTAAAGCGCTACACTATACTGGGGTCAAGATGGGGTGGTTGCGGCAACATGCTTACGGAGATTTTTACGGAGTCTCTAGCTCAGAATCATGGTTGATGGACGATCATCGATTATTGGGCATGCATGTAATATCTTTCTGCGAATACTCAAATAGTAGGCGCTAGTGGTAATACCTATCTAGCAGTCTTCTCCAAGTTGCATCCATGTCAGTGACCTTGATATGCCCTCTTCCATACTCCCTGAAGTGCTTCAGCCCATTCTTACTTACCTGGGCTCAACGTTGATTGCCCCATGTCCTGAATCGTACGGGCAGCGAGGACTTGTATACCACCGCTTGAGAGTAGATTCCCCACCTCATCACAAGAAGTCAACACGGCATGTAAGATGCTCACCTCACGGATCAGTGAGCTTCCACATGCTCGTGCTGCAACGTCCTAAACTAGGCTGCAAAATCACTGACATTACAACATATTGCAGTATAGAAACGGGAGCGAGCCTGCGCGATCTTCGCTCTCTTCTAATACGATAATGCTTGATGCTCTGGATGAGATACTCAGCACGTCACAGATATACCCTCTTCACTAATGCATGAAAGACCCTCGAATACGCATGCCGGTGGTCTAAGGTAGATACTGGGGCTTGAAGTCTCAAATTGGACGCCCTATTCGATGCTGGTGTTATGATATGTCGAGTTTGATGTTGGACCAGGAGGGAGTTATGGGGTGGTAAACGTGGATAAAGGGGAGCTAGTCTGTGCGATTCGAAGATTTGCTTCACATATTTTCGAGGGACACTTATGGAATAACCCATTGCGAGGGATAGATCCACAGGAGCAAGTCTGGCATAAAAGCTGGCAGGTCAATACGATTACGATGGCCTACCTACAGGCTCAATTGGTGATGGCTCTTCATCTCCCCATCCTATCACACAAAGAATCCAGACGTGAAACTTTGCCTCGGAATGATCCATTCTCTACCAATCCGAAAGTATATCGAGTCTAGCCACCGTACCAGGCTTTTAATCGCTCTTCGGACAAGCCAAGACATCAAACTGGCCGCACCCGTCTACGTAGCAGGCGCAGATCTAATCAGAACCCGACCCTGTCATCGAAGTATCGAGGCCTGGTAGGACTCGTATGGCTGCAGAGCTGATACAGCCAGATAGGCGGTTCTGACTAAACAAAAGCCTGCCGCTCCCAGCCCGCAAAGGAGAAACATAGACACCGAAACATGCGTTGACCCAAAGAGACACTAGAGAAAATCATACAGACATTAGCACCCGAGTGCCCGCCGCCCTACCAGCCACCCTCCTCACCGACCTGCTTAATCAAATCACCCAAGCTCTCCGCCGTCTCGACCTTAGAAGGCGGCAGAGTCGGCGGCGGGGATTTAATCGGCTGCATTTCGACCACCGCCTCAAGCAGCTCCCCCTCGGGTTGAATGCCTAACCCAATCGCCGAAATGATGCGCCACGCCCTGCGAAACTCATCCCTGATAGCCACGATGCCGTTGTGGGTGACGGTGCGCGCAACGTTATGGTCCCACTCAAACGGGTCCTCGATGGCGAAGAGATACCGATGCCTGACCTCCCTGCCGTCCATAAGCGTCGACTTCGCGCCCGTCCAGCCCTTCATCTGCTTGGTTTGGATGCCGCCTTGCGTGCGGAGCGAGAGGACCTCGTTCATCCAGTTGAAGCTGCGGACGCCGTAGCCCGGGGTGGCGTAGTATTGGAAGAAGCCGCGGAGGAGGGCGCCGAGGGGTTGGCGGTTTGTGGTGAGCTTGCCTTGGGAGGCTTCGCGCTTGATGGCGGCCTCATCGCGCCAGAAGCGAACTTCGTAGCCGTTGATGAGGGTGTCTGCGAGCGCTTTTGCTGGGTCGGCGTTCTCCTGGGCGGGGTTCCAGGCTAGTTGGAGGTTGGGGCATACGGGTGGGTTGGCGACGTTGACGAGGTAGTGGAGGACCATGAGGACGTAGCCGTAGCTGGAGAGCGTGCCGGAGTAACTGGAGTTGATTTTGCGGCGTTTGGCCCAGGCTTTGACGAAGAGGACCATTGGGCGGATTCGGGGATCGCAGTGGCAGTAGCAGCGCAGAAGTGTGGTGTTGTGGAGCGCTAGAGGGTTTTCGAAATTGATGTCGGATTGGATGCCTACTCCTGACTTTGGGAAGTCTAAAGGTCCCAGAGCCTTTTCTCGAAGCCAAGGTGTGTCGAAACGTCGCTGTGAATACGCATTTGAATCATTCCTTTTCCCGTCGGCCGAATCTAAAGCAGTCTTGCCCTCTAAGGATGTGCCTACGCTATGAGCGGGTCTGCCAAGTTGCGAAGTCTTATTCGGGTTCCTGTTCTCGTCGTTGGGCTTTTGACCTGTGGGTTTGTTACCTCCTTTGGGATTTGTACCCTGCTTGTTGCCAGATTTGTCGTCCAATTTGCCCTGTGTGGAGTGCGACTGGCTCACTGGAATTCCAGGAGTTGGTGGCGGCGGATACTTTTCCTCTTCTGATAGCTCATCCCAATTCTTTCTCTCTTCACATAACGCTGCGTACAGTTCCGGTATTGGTAATTCGCATACTTTCAAGATAGGCACACGTGTTCGAGTGAGTAAGCGAGCGCCGTAACCGCTGTCGAGGAGCTTCTTCTCCAAAAGGCGTGGAATGGCTCGATCTATCACTCGCAGGCCACTCGTAGTTTTGGAAGACGAATTCCAGGACGGAACGATGGCTAGGTCTACATCTGAGCCTTTTGTTGCAAATCCAGAACTCAGACTGCCAAAGCAACGGAGCTCAATGCTTGACATGTCCCCAGAATAGCCTTCTTGGAGAGCTGATTGACAGAGAGACTCTACTTTGGCCCTGAAAGCTTCTTTGAGTGAACCTTCTTCAGGAGCCATCTCTACTTGGTGGATTTCTGCAGTAGCTACTCGATCCAGATACTGACATTGTGCCTGGTAATTGTTACCATTGGTGTAGTTCATATTTGGGTGGTAATTCTGTCTGGGGGCTTGGAATCCAGGACCAGGCGTATGTAATGGGTCCTGTATGCTCCGAGGCCTCTGTAGGATCTGGGGACCACTAAATGCAGAAGGCCCATGTGCTACTGAAGGACCCTGTTGCTGCCCGCCCCGATTGGTCCTGGGTGTCAAGGGACTCTGCGGAGACTGCGGAGTGAAGGCTGAAGGGGGAGGGCCAGAAAACTTCCAGGGTCCATCAACAGAGCCACCACGAGCATGCGGTTGGCCACGAGCGTGCGGTTGGCCACGAGCGGCCGGTTGACCACGACTTTGTGACTGGGGTGATCCAACGGGGTTAGTCTGCTGGGCATTTTGGCGATGCCTGGGAGTGTGTGTGTTATCACCTCGACGCTGTCCTCGACCTCGGGATGCTGTGTTTGAAGAACGCTGGTTGAGAGTGGAGACGTCATTTGATACTGTGACGTTGCTCAATATCATGGTGCGTAACTGGTCTTCCAGACCGCGTGGAGTCTGAGCTGATGGGTTGTTCATGATTGCGATGCTAAGGAGAAAGGTATCCAGTTGCGCATTCCACTGCTAAGGGTCGCGTCGTCCTAGTAAACGCAGAAGCGGCGTCTGGATGATGCTCACAGGAAGCACCTGACACTCATGAGGCTAGTAACAAAGATAGCAGGAAGGCGACAGGGTGAGGAAGAACGTAATCCATACACATGGGTGAATGCTGACTTGATAAAGGGTGGGGTATAAAAGACAGAGCAGCTGGAATGAGTGTTTGCTGGTCGACCTGTCGGTCGGAAGCGACTAATTCTTCAACCGGCTTAGCGGCATCGAAGTGGTCCTGGACGAAAAGAAGCCCAGAAACAAGCGTCGACGTGAGAGCTGAGGTTTCTAAGATAAAGTAATTGTGATTGTATGTCTGCAGGTCTAGCATTGGAAGCACCAAGAAGCATCTCGGCGTGGAATCGGAGGAGCTCGCAAACATAGACAAGTCGAGCTGCGTGTGGCCCGTGTGGCATGCTTGGCAAAAGGTGACGAACGAAGCGCGGCGCCTTCACTCACTTTTAACAAAGGCAGGCATCCGACTACATCTATACGCTCACTCGCCTCGCCCTTTCTCCCACCAACACCCACGACAGCCCACGACAGGCTGCATCCTCCACGCTCCCAGCCTCACCAGCATCACCGTCCTCCGCTACCCAGCTCACGATGAGCAGCGGCCAACCACCGAACGCGGCCACCGCAACCGCCAATGGCGCCCCGAAACCTCTCATCCGCCGCCGTCGCAAGCCAAATGCCGACCCTCTTCGAGTCCCCCCGCGACCTCTCAAGCAGATATCTCACCAGATTACCTCGATGGCCAGCGGTCCCAAGTCCCAGACCCTGAGCACCGCCAGACCCCCAGCTACGCCAGCGCAGCTCGAGGCCGACGGCTTCAAGGTCTTCTCTCTTGTGACCACAAAGCGCGCCATGATGGAGGGCCTGCGTCATCATGTCATGAGGCTCCAGCAGTCCAAGGAGAGAGCCCCGGTCAAGATTGTCAACGAGTCCGAGTTTACACGCCCCATCAGATTGCACCGCCGCGATCCCCGCGCCCCACCCGCCGGCGCAGGCGCGACTGTGATTGACGAGGATCCCGAAGCTACTCTGGAGGAAGACAAAGAGCGGGAGAGGGCCGAGATCCAAAAGGAGGAGCGTAGACGCCAACGCGAGGAGAATCAAGCCAAGATTGCCCCGTCTACCACAAAGAAGATGCCTGCTTTCCAGAAGAAGACTGAGCAGATCTATCGTCCAGATGATACCCCAGAAGCACAGAAGCGGTCTAAGCTCCGATACGAAGAGGCTCTTCCATGGCACCTCGAAGACTTCGACAACAAGCAGACATGGGTCGGATCGTACGAGGCAGAGCTGTCTGATAAACACATCATGATTGTTCCAGACCACAAGACTGATGGTACTCCTCAATACCGCATGGTGCCGCTGGAGCGCTGGTACAAGTTCATCTCCAAGAGCAAGGGAAAGCAGTTCACTGCCGACGAAGCCGACAAAAAGTGGAATACTGTTGGTTCGGTGCCCTCCTTCATCAAGAATACCGAAGAGCGCATCATCAAGCGTGAGCGTGAGGAGTATCAGAAGAATAGGGGCCCTGGAAAGATGAAGACTCGGATCGCTGGCCGTGGTGATGATGACGCCCCACCCCGAATCGGAGAAGACGGCATGATGATCAAGGTCGAAGAGGATGCAGATGACATCGACTTCAACTATGAGGATGACTTTGCCGACGATGAAGAAGGCTTGAACGGGTTGTTCGAAGGAGATGCGGAGGAGACCAAGGCCGCCGAAGAAAAGATTCGTCGCGATCGTTTGGCTGCTCGCATCTTCGACCTCCGAGACGAGAGCAAAGTCGACGTGCAGGAGGAGCTCGACAAGGAGGAAGCTGCTAAGCAGAAGGGATTACAGAAGCAGCTTCGGAAAGCTCTCATGAAGCGAGAGAAGAACTACGACTACGAACAGTCCGATTCTGACCGCTACGGATCCTCAAGCGAGTCGGAGGATGACTCCGATGTGGAGAGGCAGAAGGAGAAGGAACGACGGGAGGAGGAGGAGCGGAAGGCTGCCGAGCGGCCTGGTGTTGCTAAGGAGGGTGACAAGCCCGCGTCCGGCGCGTCTACCAAGGGAACGAACACGCCTTCAGGCCAGCACAAACCTGTTGATGTGTCCAAGCCAAACTCGAAGAAGCGTCCTGGCTCACCTAACCTCTCGGAAGCAAGTGGAAATGAGTCTGCTCGGAAGAAGCACAAGAAGAAGCATCGAGACGGGTCAGGGAAGGGATCACTCGTAAGCGTAAGACTATCGGACGCCCAAGGGGCACAAAACTCCTCACTCCGTGCTGCCGGAAGTCCTAGCGACTCGGAAATCACAGACGGTGGTCGTCGGAAACAATCGCTAAAATTGAGGTTAGGTACAGGCAGATCTCCTAATGGCACCCCAGGCGGCAGCCGGGCAGGTAGCCCAGACACAGGTGCAGAACGCAGCAGAGCCACGAGCCCTCTCTCCGCCGCCGGTTCCACGCAAACGATGCCGGGTCAGCGTTTCCCGTTACCGTTCACTAACAAGTCTTTGAGGATTAGCGCTAACAAAGTCAAGGCTCGACAATACCTGTCCCCACCATCGAACAAATCAAAGCCTTGCTCCGTCCAGAAGGCGTGAAGATCAACGAGATCAGCTCCATATTCAAAGGCCGGCTTGCACCAAAAGACAACCACGCCTTTATCCAACGTGTGAAGGCGCTCTCCGTCTTCGACAAGGACAAAGGATTGCTCTTCCCTCGGCCTCCTGATTCAGACAAGCCAGACAAGGGGGCTAAAGCAGGTACACCAAAAGAGGCGTCGCCCTCATGATATTTGGTGGCCGGATAGCACATGCGAGGTGCTCTTTGAATCATTTCTGCTGCTTTGTACTTAGACACAATTCATACAATACTATACCCCAGGTCTGGGCACACAGATACCATTGCTTGAATGCCTCTTTTGGAAACTAAAAACCACTGATAGGAGCAGTCACGTTGTCAGAAGGCCGTTCAGGCAAAAGGTAACCTGCTTCCTACTGTATCGACTTTTGCATCCTCTTTAGAGTTTCGAAAGCCAATAGAGACACCCCAAGCAGTGGCATACTGGCGTCACCTAATGAATGGACTAGTACTGCATGCAGATACTTTGAATGCTTATGAATAGGCCCTATGATCATTACTCCTTGCTACGTGGTCGTAGCGATGTCGATACCCTAATTATAAGAGATCCAAGCCCGTCCAACCCATGCCAATACCTATATTCCAAATAAAATGTCGTAGCGACTGGATATCATGCCCCCCACCCCCCAAGATAAGAACCCCCTTCATCCATATTTACAAGAGAAACGAAAACCCCGTCTCCATCGACATTTACAGCTTACTCGCATTCCGCGTAAGCATCACCACCAGGCCCGCAATGATCTTAAACACCAACCCAACCACCCACACAAACGCCTTAAACGCAAACGTCAGCACGCCAATCAGCGTCCGCGCAACAAACGGCAGGGTGCTCTCCTTCTTCTCCGCCTTGCTCTTCTTCCCCTTCGTCTTCGTCTTGGCCTGCGCCTCGTCCTGCTGCCCATACCACTGCCCCAGCTCGATATCCTTATCCAGACTCTGCGACTTGCTCGTCGTCGCCGAGCTGCGCAGGCTGCGACTCCACTTCTTGCCCTTGCTGATGCTCTTCGCCCCGCCCCAGCTCTCAAACCCCTCGACGAAGCTCTCCTTGAAGCTCGCCGCGCTGCTCTTCGGCTTCGGGCCCAGCGCCGTCGACGGCGGCGGCGCTTCAAACATCGTAGGCACCTCCTGCGCCGACGACGTCCTGCTCTTCGGGTTCCGCGCCGCCTCCGCAACTGCCACGGATAAGAGAGCCGTAGCGGCCACGTCAACGAGATACGGATTCCCAAAGCGTGTGAGTGCCGCGACGTTCAGCAGCAAGCTGTCCGTCCCGAAATCCAGCCGCGCAAGCACCGCGTCGTCGGCCGCGGCATCGTTTGCGGTGGCGAGGTGCGCAGCGTCCACGTCCGAGAACATCGAGCCCGGCCTCGCGGTGCCGGCAGCGCTGACACTGCGCAACGGGGTCGAGGGCGGTGGGGGGTTGAACGCGCGCGGGCTGGTCGGAGAGAGCACGTACGGGTTCAGTAGCGTGATGCTGCCCGCTCGTGAGCGGGCCTGCGCCTGTGCGAAGGAGGGGTGGCCGTAGACGGCCGTCTGGGGCCGGGTGGAGGGGGAGTTGATGCCCGCGCAGTCGCCCTCGAGCTGGATGGGGAAGAGGCCGAGAGTCGGGTGGTGCAGCTGGTACGAGCCGGTGGGGTTCAGGGCGTGGGCCCAGGGATTTGTCTGCTGGGTGGGAGCCTCGCGGGTCCAGGTGAGGGCGGAGCACTCGCGCTCGGCGGCGCCGCGGAGGACGTCCTCGGCGAGGCGCTGAGCAGCGTGAGAGGTGGCGCCGGGGTCGGCAAAGGCTATGTGGGAGGCTGCAGGTGAGTTTGCGGCAGCGTCGAGAGCGGCAAGGGCGGCGAGCTTGGGGTAGATGGTTGCGAGAAGGGTGGAGGGGGAGTCGTCGAAGGAGTTGGCGGTTGCGGAAGAGGGGGGAACGACGAGGTCGAGGTGGTTTACTGGGAGGGCGCGCGGTTGGGTGGGATGGTGGCGCTGAATGAGGACTTCGTGGGTCATTGTTGCGAGTTCTAGGGGGTCTTTGCCCTCGAGATCGGATTGGGTGAGGCTGTAGAAGGGGAGGGATGCAGTTGGACCGAAGGTTACTTGTGGTGTGGCTGCAGTTGCTCGGTGCATCTTGAGAGTGTATATCTGAACCGCCGGCTCTTCCTGACCATTCGTGGCAACCCATAGGTTTTCTAGGAGAGCTGATGGGGTGAAGTAGGGCGCACAAGTAAAGGTGGGAGCATCGCTGCTTTCTTGATCTCCATTATTCACGTTTCCATGGGGTATGTACAGTTCTGGCGAGTATGGAGACCGATGTATTCTGTTCACGGGAATATGCGTAGGTGAAGTCTGCGTGGGAGCGTATGCTTGACGGCCTAAAGGGACGGTGGGGTCATATACAGGAAACATCGACCGCATGGGTACGGGACTCGAAGGGCTGATTGGCGATCGGTTCGTTGCAGCACTGTTTGGTCGGACAAGCGTAGGACTGCCCGAGCGGGCGGATCGTATGTCTGAGAATGCTGGTGATGGTGCTCTGTTGGGGTCCGGACTGCCAGAAGGGAATGGCATAGCGTGTCGTTGTGCAGACTGTATTGAAAGTGCAGGTGACGTCGCTCTGTTGTACGCAGCAGGAGAACCTCCTCGACCAATCTCTGGTGAAGCAGAGGGATTCCGCTGGCTTGGAGGGGGTTGGAAGGTCGGTATGCTTAGTTGTGGTGGAGTTCTCGTCATTTGAAATTGAGGTTGATGTGCTCTCTCGGGTATAGCGACTGATGGCGACACTGGGACCGAATTGACCTGAATGACAAGCTCGTGGAAATCGACAGGTGTCTTGGTACTCTTCGCACTATCCATTCTTTGTGCGGTAGGATCTGGTGTTGGAGGCTTGACATGTAACATGCGATTCGGACTCGCCTGCCGTGGCCTTTGAGGAGGAGGAAAGAGTTGTAATGTGCCGCCTTGAGGAGACATGGTGTCGGATTGAAGCAGATCAAGAATGAAGTCTAATAATCACTTTTGACGCAGTCAACAAAAAGGATAGGCAAGGTAACACGAGGAAGAGATTCCTCTGAACAGACTCAAAGAAACGTGAGCATGGAACCAGCCTTGGACTACTACGGGTGCTCGGGGTAACTGGGGATATAACAAAAGGGCCACGAGAGTCTTCCCCACGAGGGTCGCGCAAGCGGCCACCTCAAAAGCAATAGCGGCTGCCATCGTTCTCTGCCATGCATGTTTTTGCGTCTTCCGGTGCTCTGGCTTGCACAATCGTCCAATTACCAGTGGCATTCTAATGGGCGCTTCGAGGATGAGAGGGTCTCTGGAGGTCGCGGCGGCTACGGTTGAGGATTTTGGTGTTGTCCCGTAAGCGCCCAGGTCCAAGTGCACACGACAAATCATCTTCGAGATCGCAACCGCTCGCACGGTCGTGAGGGAATTAGCTTCTGCGATGATTCGCCCAGTCGCGAATGCTTGGTATGCCACCATGGCCCTAATGTATGTGATAGTGATTCGGGCCGTAGCGAGTTGTGAATGCTATTTTCAGCGCATATGTTTCTGCTCATAAACGAATCGTGAAGATCGAGGCCGCCTGAGAAAGCAAACATGCTGGTCAAGAAGACAGCACGTGGACTGATAAAACCCTCATGGCGTCTTACTGGAGTTGCCAGAGCGTCCTGAACACTGAAGGAGGCTAAAAGAGGCTGGGATGCCATGAGGCTCAAGTCTCGAATTTTGTAGAGCTCATGGATCCTGGCATAACATCGGTTAGGAGGTGGAGATATGGGATGCCATCCTGGATGTTATTGAAACAACTTGAAGAAAGTATGCTGGCGGTTGGAGAGATTAGGGGATTGGGGAAGTATCACGTGACAGAATGTAATTAGCGTCTTGGCACATCCGGTCACGTGTGCCCTTCTCTGCCTATGAAACTTAGCGCCGTCTTTATCGATAACAATTTTCTCAAAGTTGCGAATAGCGTCATCGCTCTAGACATCAAAAAAGCAACCATGCCTTCAGAATTAGAAGATGTATGAATCTATGGTTTCCACAGTCAAATCCTCACTACTGACTAACATTCGCAAGCTCGTCGAGTTTCTCCATCATGGAAACACCCAAATCCGTCAAGTCGGTAAGGTCCTTCACTGGATGCGCCACCTCTTATGACTCTGTCGCTAACGGACATAACTTTCCAGCGGTTGAGCATTTGGTCGGCTACTCTGCAACACATACAACACTGTTCAAGAAAGACAAGCTTCTCCCTGTGAGAGACCTAAAACTCCTGGTCAAAGACTATGCAGTATGAAGTTTTATTTACGCCCCTCGTAAAAACATATCTGATTAGATTTCTGCTAGCCTATATCCAAAAATGTCATGACCATTCTCATCAACATATCTCATGACCAGGAGGTCTTGGAATGCCTTGCCAAAGACAACGCTTTCCTAGAACTACTATTAGGACGGATAACCGTATGTTAGTTCTCCGGTCATACTGAGCAAGCCCCGGACGTATTTTGGACTTATTGCTAACTGGATCAGAGCACCAAAGAACCAAATGCAAACGAGATAGCTATGCTTCTCGCCAACATGGCCAAGTCAGACGATATGCAACGGGTACTAGAACTACAAAGGGACATCCCAAAAGAGCTATCAAACTCCAAGTGGGCAATGGACCAGCTACTCGACTGCTTCGTAAAAGGCGCCGAAGGACGCTACAACAAGTACGCCGACTACGACTACCTCTCCTACTTCTTCGCCGACCTCGCAAAAGTACGCCCATCATACCCCCCAACGACATCCAAACCCCCCAAAGCTAACCTCCCACACCACAGTTCCCCAAAGGCCGCGCCTACCTCACCACCCCCCAGCCCCACGACGCCAACATAATCCCCCTGGCCAAACTCATCGTCTTCACCGAGCACGCCTCGTCCGTCCGCCGCCGCGGCGTTGCCTCCGCCATTAAAAACTGCGCCTTCGACATCCACGTCCACGACCGGCTCCTCTCTGACGCGCCCATCACCGGCGTGAACCTGCTCCCCTACATCCTTTTGCCAATCATGGGCGGCGAGGAGTACAGCGACGAAGACACCGAGGGGATGCTCGACGACCTACAGCTGCTGCCCCCGGATAAGGAGCGCGAGAAGGAGGCGGATATCATTAAGACGCATATCGAGACACTGACGCTGCTGACGACGACGAGGGGAGGAAGAGAGGTGCTGAGGCGGATCAAGGTGTATCCGATTGTGCGGGAGACGCATTTGCATGTTGATGATGAGGAGGTGAGGGAGGCGTGTGATCGGTTGGTGCAGGTGATCATGCGGGATGAGGAGGGAGAGGGGAAGAAGACGGGGGACAAGGGGAAGATGATTGCGTTGGAGGCGGAGGAGGAGGATGAGGATGAGCAGATTGTCGATATCTTATAACGCCGCTAGGTGGTGTAGGAATGCGATGGAGCTATGTCCTAGAAGACGTAGTTGAATGCATAAGTGATTTGGACTGACAGTGCTGGTGTGAGATTTAATTGATTAGACGCAAGTTGCACTCTACGTCTCCGCCTTATATATCCCTCTTAGGGAGCGCTTTGGTGAGAAGTGTTGCAAGTACTTACGAATCTAACCGTGTGAAATCTTTTTTGTTAGACGCGGCGTGAGTGCGTTGTCCACGATTAGTAGCCCTTCTATTCTTGCTTGTCGGTGAGAAGTTCTGCAAGTACTTACCAATCTAACCGCGTAGATCCATACTTGTTAGACACAGTGTGATCATGGAATGGACGCTGCTTGGACATGTTGGGGGGGCCCTTGGGTAAGAAGTATTGCAAATACTTACGAATCTAACCGCGTGAGTTCATTACTGGTAGACGCGGCGTGCACACATAGTAGACGCTGCGCATACGTATCTTGAAAACGCTAAATTCGCGTAAGCACCCTCCATATGTGCTTTTAAATACACATATAATACAGTTCTTGAACAGTCTAGTATATACAAGAAAACTCCCCTAGGGCCAAAGAGGTATTGTTATCGAACATCGATATTCCCATGACCACTAGACAACTCTTTCACCATAGAAATCGCGCCATCAATGTCACCCTTGTTATACAGGAACAGGCCCTGCAGTGCCGCAGTACTGATCGAGCTGGTCAAACCCACCTCTTTTACCTCCGCCATGAACCTCTTCCTCCCCTCGCCATTGGTGTCAATGTCCGCGAAGAAGCGATCCCACATCTGCTCAATCTGCCACTCGGTAGCCTCGCCCAGGCGAACTGTCATGTCGATTCTCCCGGGCCGGACGAGCGCTTCGTCTAGTCGCTCGATGTGATTTGTAGTTAGGAAAATGATACGCTCCTCACCACTCGCAACGCCGTCTAACGCATTGAGAAGGCCGGAAAAGGTAACCGTAGCACCAGCGTACCCGTCTTCTCCAGGCGTGCGGCGATTTATGAAAGCGGCGTCGGCATCTTCGAGTAACACAATCGTTCTTTGCGGAACCTTGGTGAGGAGATGGTTCAGCCGGTCATCCGTAAGCCCGCGCTCGCTGACATTCAGAATCGCGATATTGAAATTGAGATGCCCCGCCAATGCTTGTATGAAAGAGCTTTTGCCTGTTCCTGGGGGGCCGTAAAGTAGATAGCCCCTCCGATATGGGATTCCTCGATCTAGGTACCAGGTCCGGGCTTCTAGGAACGCCTGAAGATCCTCGACTATTTTCTCTTTTACGCCACGCTCCAGGACCACGGACTCAAGTGGGCGTTTCCGCTTGGGTTCCCCGAATTGCGACCAGTCTGGCCCCATCGAGTTGTATATTATGGTCTTTCCCTCTGTCCTTTGTTGTGCGAGCTGGTGCGCTTCGGCGAATATTTGCTCGAATATATTGCGGTGGGCGTATAGGGTGGTGAGGGTAATGGTTTCGAAGGGTGTGCCGGAGGCCAGGTCGAACGACTTCTCGCGCTGGCGATTGACCATGATGAAGGAACGCCCATAGCGTAATATATAGCGCCCGTATCCTGGTACTAGGGAGAAGTGTGCGTTGGAGGTCCCGCCGGGGAGAGGGACCTGCGAGGTCTGTATTTGGAGGTGGTGGAGTCGGGGATTTAGACGTTGGACTAAGGAAGATAGAAAGCCTTGCTTTGAAGCCTGGCTATGATCCGTAAGCTATTAGTGTCGCACTTCATGGGCTAAAGTAGATGCATACCCTTCAACCGCTTGACTGCCCGCGAGCTGTGCCCTCTGGTATGCCGTCATCCATTGCAGAAGCCATTGGTATGCATGGTCGTGCCGCGTTATTTCCAAATCCACGATCATGCGCCGTCGAATTAAATCTGCCCCTTGCCTCAATCCCTTCTGTCCAATGCGTGCGCCGACGCCGAGTGCTGCGAGCCCAAATCCCTAAGTATGGAAGTTAGCCTTCGAGCTTCGGAGCTAAAACAGTACGACTTACAGCAGTGAAAAACGGATTGCTAGTTAGCTGGGAATATATTGAGCTAATGCCATCGCCGCTGCCGATGTTGACCTGTTGGGCCAACTGGCGCGATGCATCCTGCGGTCCTAGAGGGTTGTTCTGGTCCATCAACCTGTGAAGTCTTGACGCGAATCGTGAGTAGTTTGGAGATAACTGCGCTATGCCACATTCATCACTTTTATGGAAGCATGTGATTGCGCGACAAACGAAAGGACAATATGTGTGTCGTATGGCTCTTTTGTTGAAGCAAACATTTACGATGTATATATATGTACTTCACTGCCATTTTCAAACATGCTTCAGCCTTGTTGCAGAAATTGAATGGGGTGGAAGTTCAGCATCCGGAATAGTTGGTAAAATACTAGACCACCTCATATGGCAGTAGAGAGGTGTGCATGGTAAGAATGATCGCATCTCTTTTAGGGTATCTAACATGTTTTAATCTACGAACAATTCTCTTGGTCCAGTCGAAGGCCTAAGATTTAGCAGCGCTGTACGCTAAAACACTCCTCCGTACCCTACGAAGGTATAAATGCTACAAGTCTCATGACAAGAACCTAGTATTGACGCACACATCCTCGCCTCTTGACCATCGGCTCATTTGACCTTCGGCCTCCTAATCACGATCTTCTCGCTTTCAGCAAGCTCCCATCCAACCCCATCCTTTACCAGATCCACCCATTTCCTATCCGTACAACGCTCCACATACGCCCTGTCTGCAGTCATGTAGCTTCTCCCCAGGCACTTCAACGCATGCAACCTCATTCCCGTATCCGCGAACTCCATAATCCGCCTCTGATACCCATCCACCGCCCTCCGCATCTTCCAGAACAGCACCCAGTTATCATGCGCCAATGCCTTGAGCACCAGCCCCACTCTCCGGTCCTCGTGTTTGAACTGTGTCTTGACGGTATAGGCGGCCATTATGTCCGATTGCCGACACGCAAGGTCTAGTATCCAGAATCCGACGAACTCGTGGAGTTCTGGTGCGGGCAATGGCGACTGGGAGTGGATCTTTGTAAGGAGGGATATGAGTGCGGGGGCGTACGATTCCCACTCCTTGCAGAGAATCGCGGCATGGATGTTGAAGATGTAGACGCGTTGTGCGAATACATCCCGGCGGGCTGTGGCGACTATTGCTTCGCGAAGCTTTCGGAGAGCAGTCAAGATGGTCGCCAGCTCGACGGAGTGGGAGGGGGGGGCGTTCGAGGCATTACTTCCCGACCTCGAGGCTCGAGAGGGCGGAGGGGCCGGAGGGCTCGGTGTTGCTAAGGGGGAGGTCGAGCTGAGGGATAGAGAGGCGAATTGCTTGTCGAGTTCGTCGCCGCTGCTGGAGGAGGCGCAGAATTTCATGTAGCGCTCTACGATCTTATTGTAAAGGGATTCTTGGGCTTTAGGGTCGTTGAGCCTGTTAGAGTCAGCAACAACTATGCCTTTCTTCTGCTAATTACTCACTTGGTCTCGCCCTTCGAGGGATATCCATACACCTCGAGGGAATCGATATTTGGAGTCTTCAGCCTGCTCCATCCTCCGGAAGGACCCCGCTTGTTGCTAGGACGCTGCTCTCCTGAGCGCCGCTGGTTCGACAGCAAGCTGTATGGTGTTTGGCTGGAGCCACTCATCACTCCGTTCGGGTTATCTCAATGGATCATGCAGGTCCCAGAGGCAGTGGTGGTATCATGATACTTCCAAGGTTTCAATAAGAATGCTACTTAGAAGTGGAAGGAGTGAACGTCGTCCTCGGTAGAGTGCAAGACCGATCCGTGACGCCATCACCAGGACTGCTTCATTCACTTATGTGAAGACATTACACTTCGAATGCTGAAGGCTGTTTCCGTGAATGGTATGTGGTCGATGTAGAGCGTGTATAGAATACCGGGAATAGCTCAACCATGACGCAGTGCCGGACCTCTCTCCGATCTCTGCGCTGCACATGTCATGCTGCGACTACCAGGTTGACGTCTCAACAATTCTCCGTTCCATCCTGCCTAGGTACATACCAACAGGCCATATTCCAAGATGTATAAGCAGCTAAGAAAAATCTCGTTATAAAGTAACTGAAGGTCCAAGTATTCCTTCGAAATAGTCCATCTTCTCCTCTTCTAGAAAAATAAAGTCATCGCCACTGCTCCTCATCAACTCCAACATGGACGCCGCCAAAAGCGCCACAGACTCCGTAGCGAAAGTAGAAAAAAAAGTAGAGCATGGCCTAACCCTCCTTTACGAGAAGCTCCCTCTATGGATGCAAGAAAACCATTTCATAATTCGCGGCTATCGTCCACAATCAAACTCCTACACCACCTCTGCGCGCAGCCTCGGCTACCTACATAACGAAACCGTAAACATCTACTCGCACCTCCTCGGCTCCATAGGCTCCATCATCTCAGGGATTGTCGTGTACACCGGCGTTCTTCCTCGGTACTCTTCAGCTACTCCGGAAGATGTTTTTGTGTTTAGCTGTTTCTTTGCTGGCGCAGCAGCGTGCATGGGGATGAGTGCGGCGTTTCACACCATCTCGAATCATTCGCATGCCGTGGCGAGCTTTGGGAACAAGCTTGATTATCTGGGGATTGTGTTTTTGATCTGGGGGAGCTTTGTCCCGTCGATTTACTATGGGTTTCAGACGCAGCCGGATTTGATTAGGAGGTACTGGGCTATGGTATGTTGGAACATCTACTACCCCTTTTCCAATTCATCATCAGTCCATCTTACCGTGATGACCCTCTGTGCTTGCTACCTATGCTTCATTGAATCAGAAGACTGACATACCCAGATCACCACTCTAGGTGCCGGCACAGCGGTCGTAGCCACCCACCCCAAATTCCGCACCCCGGCCCTCCGCCCCTTCCGCGCCGCCATGTTCATCGCCCTCGGCCTCTCCGCCGTCTTCCCCGTCCTCCACGGCGTGAAAATCTACGGCGTAACCATGATGCGGGACATGATCGGCCTAGACTACGTCGTCGCCCAAGGCTTCTTCTACATCCTCGGTGCCGTGATCTACGCAGTACGCACTTGCTCCCCCTTTGTCTACATGTTTCTATTGGTGGTGGTGCTCGCTAACGCTTTTTCCCCAGTGCCGCGTCCCCGAACGCCTCTCCCCCGGCACCTTCGACATCTGGGGCTCCTCGCACCAAATCTTCCACTTCTTCGTCGTGCTCGCCGCCGCGACGCACCTCGTGGGCTTGCTGAAAGCGTTTGATTACGAGCACGAGCGGCGAGATTCTGGGTACACGTATGGGCCGGGCCACGGCGGGAGGTGGAGTGCTTGTGCCTTTGATGGCAATGATAGTAGGGTGTGTCGCGGGGCTAAGCTCTCGGATCTGTGGGGGTGGGAGCCGGCGAGTCTGAGATGAGGAGGGGGTGGGAGAGTTGGGTTTTGGCAGTGAGTGGAGTCTTGAGGCTTGAGGCTTGAGGGGTTAAGAGGGTTTTAGAGAGAGGGGGTAGAGCTGGGCTGGTCCAGCGTGGTTCTGAGGTACGTAATGTTTATTCTGGATTATCTTTTTTTTTAAGCATGTTTTGTACATATAGACTCTCGCAACCCCAGAATCGCAATACCTAGAGAAACCCATTTTGTAGGGTCACGTGCTCTCCATATTCCGTCCACGTAAGATTTCCGTCAACAATTTCGTCTGCAGTTCGTTCTGTAGGGGTTGGAGCGTATGCGGGCACAGGACGTGTGGCGAAGTAGATGGGATATTGTGATGAGAGGGCAAGGGTTATGCTGGGTTAGTCGGAGAGCATCAGTAGCACCAAAAGAGACACAAGAGACCGCATCGACAGTACAAGGCAGCGATGCCGCTCAATTCCAAGATTTTTATTAGGACTTTTCGGTAACCTCTGTTTCATGTCGACACCCTAAAAAGCCCTCCCTCGACATTTCAATCAATTCAGGCCTAGGTGTATCATGTCCAAATATCCCGCCCCCACTCGTAAAATCCACACAACCCCGTAGTGTTCAAGGTAGGCAAGAAAAGTGGGCCAAGGCACTTTTCCAGACATCTGAACGCCCGCATGCAAGATATCAAGATTGGGATGCCAAAAGAAGAATGTACAATTGAAAGTGTAGGGGGTAAGCGGTTACCGGCCGGACTGCCTCATCATATCGGCTCTTCGCTTCTTCTCGGCGGCTGTGGGGGACGTTAGTTTATTGTTTTGGAGAGAAAGAAATGGGATCGGATAGCCGTACCTTCGTCATACACCAAGAACTCGTGCAGACCACAGCCACCTGGCACCATGGGTAGGACGGGCACCTTCTGGTCTGTCACGACTTCTAGCAGCGCCGGGCCATCCGTGGCCAGCAGCCACTGCAGTTTCTCCTTCAGTTCTGAAGGCTTCGACACGCGCTGTGCCTGAACGCCCATCGCATCACCCAGCTTGACGAAGTCGGCGTTCCTTTGATGGGTGTGGGCGAACCGGTTTTGGTAGAACAGGGACTGCCATTGCGTGACCATTCCTTGCTCCTCGTTGTTGAGGAGGATGACCTTAACGCCGATGTTGAACTCTGCGGCGGTCGAGAGCTCGGTTAGAGTCATGCTGAAAGACGCATCGCCATCAATATCGATGACGAGGGCGTCAGGTCGGGCAACTTTGGCACCGATAGCGGCTGGTAGACCGAAGCCCATCGTTCCAAGACCACCTGAGGTGATCATGGTACGGGGATATCGCCAGCGGAAGTGCTGAGCAGCCCACATTTGATGTTGGCCAACTCCGGTAGTAATGACGACGTTCTCCTTGACGGGATCGGTGAGATCTGAAAGAGTAGCCATCACAGTCTGTGGCTTGATCATTCCGTTTGTGCCCTCCTTCTCGTATGCCCATGGGAATCTCTGCTTCCAGTCATTGATCTGACCAAACCATTCGGGTCGCTCTTCGACAGCATTGACGAATGGCAAGAGGGTTGCAAGATTCGTGATAACGTCGCCCTCGACAGCTTCGGTTGCTTGGACGACCTTGTTGATGTTCTTGGGCATTATCTCGAAGTGGATGATACCTCCTCGGCTTTCTTGTGCGGCGAGCTTGGCTGCTGGCGCGAATTTCGCCACGCTGCCGGTGATGCGGTCGTCAAAGCGCGCACCCAGCGCAATAATCAGATCGGCTTCCTGCATGGCCATGTTGGCAAATGCGGAACCGTGCATGCCGAGCATGTGCAGAGACTTGTCGTCCAACTCGTCGTATGCGCCCAGCCCCTGGAGGGTGGTTGTCACAGGAATCTTAGCCTTCTCCACAAGCTCTTTCAGCAGCCTGGGACCGTCTGGAGTGCTGACCATACCTTGGCCAGCATAGATGACGGGCTTCTTAGCCCTGTTGATGAGGTCTGCGGACCGTTTTATGGAGCCTTCAAGCTGCTTCTTGCTCATCTCCTTTGCGGCAACGGTTGCAGCGCTAGGGTGTGTGGGCAGAGAGCTGGCCATTGGGATAGGTCTGGTGAGAACTCCACCAGTGATATCCTTTGGTAGATCGACGAGAACGGGGCCAGGCCGACCAGACGTGGCGATCTCAAAAGCTTCGTTGATCCGCCTCGGTAGCTCTGCAATGTTCTTCACCATGACATTCCACTTTGTGCACGCTCTTGTTATACCGATGGTATCAGCCTCCTGGAAAGCATCAGAGCCAATCAGGCCGGTAGTGACCTGTCCGCTGAAAACGACCATCGGAGTGCCGTCCATAAGGGCGTCCTGCATGGGCGTGACGACATTGGTGGCGCCAGGACCGGAGGTAACGAGGACGACACCAGGCTTGCCAGAAGCGCGGGCGTAGCCCTCGGCCATGTGCCCCGCGCCCTGCTCATGTCGTGGCAAGATGAAGTCGAAGTGCTCTGAGTTGTATATGGCATCGAAAACGGGCAGGATGGCCCCTCCAGGGTATCCGACTGAGTCATGGTGTTAGCAGAGGCAAATTTGCATTGTCGGACAACTAGCATACAAACATGCTTCACGCCCTGCCGGAGCATCATCTCGTGGAAGATGTCCCCTCCCGTCATGCCCACGAACGAGTGGTCCAGCTCGGCCTGCCGGAAGGGGCGCAGAGGGGACGGTTCGTTCCAGTCATTGTCGCGATTGAAGGCGGGACTGGGGCGGGCTCGCGGTTCCGGCGCGGTCGCGGTGGCGGCGGTGCTCTGCGGCCGCTTGGGGATCTCTTTGAGGGTTTTCGAGGCAGCTGCGGCGGTCGCTTTCCTGTAGGGCGAGACGGCGAGTCTCGGCGTGGAGGTGGAGAGCGCGCGTGTATGCTTGAGGGACTGTAACGCCCGCTGGGTCTCGCGTGCCTTGAACATGATGAAGCGGCCCTCTGCCTGCGGATGAAGGCCCAATTGGACTCGACGTGGGGTGTGTCGGGGTGAAAAGCAAGTAGCAAGCGGCAGTGGGAGGAGTGGAGGAGTTCAGCGTGGATATGAACAACTGGTCTGAGTCAAAGTTCCCTCACACCAGCGACAATCCAAGGGCCCGTGTGGCCGGGGGGGCAAAATTCACAGGACGCACGGCAGAAACGGTAAAACGGCGATCCTTCTCCGCAGTCTGGCCGGCCGGTGGCCAATGAGCCACTTGTCCGCGCTGTCCAGGCTCGCTGCCCTTGGATCGGACCGAGATCGGAGTCGAGCTCTCACCGCTGGCCTGGCCTGCGAATGCACGCCTCCGACTCGATGCTTCAATGAATCTCCCAACTATCAACGCCCCGAACCGAACCCGCAGCCATGGCCGGGCTGCGTCTGGGGACGAGCGCCGCCGAGGTATGCGCCTGGGTGTGAATGCGCTGCTATCAATCTAACAAACGCCAGTTGCCGTGCCTCGCCGCTCCACCAAAGGCCCGCTGGACAGCGATGTAGACGAGTATGCGCCCTCCCGCATACATGTGCAGTCAATCGCACGGCTGACCGCGTAGCCCGCTTGCTGGGAGCACCTCACAGTCTGCCGCATCTTCGCCGCCTCGTCGAGTGCTCTCGCCCGCCCCCCTCAATACGGCCGCGACTTCCCCGCTATCACCAGACAGCGGCACGTCGCCCATCCCAGACCTCCCGTCCAAAGACTTCAGCTACCTCCTCGAACCCTCCGCCTACCATGCCCTCCCGTCGACCAACATCCCCCAGCCGTTTCTCAACTCGCCAGCTCTCCCCTCCCTAGCTGGTCCTTTGCCAGACCTGCTGAAAACGGGTCACTATCGCCTCGCTGCTATATCTGCTGCCCGGGGCCTCTCGACAAGCGTGTCTCCAAGTGACGCCCCTGCAATTTTCGAACTGTTGCACATCCGGCTCGCATGTCTGTGCTTGCTGAATGAGCATGCAATGGCTGCACAGGAAGCCAAACTGCTTGGCGATCTGAGTAGTGCCTTCTACCGGCACCCCCTCACAGGGGCCCACCTAGTACCCTGGGAGCTTCGAGTTCTATCCGTACGTCTGGCTGCCTTAGGATACGGCGAGTGGCGGAAAGGGATCATGGGATACTACGAGCTGGCGCGAGAAGCACGCGAAAACGTTGTGAAGACCGAGACGCATGCGGAGAAGAAGCTTTGGAAAAGTCGGCTGCGGGAATGCGGAATTCGAGTTGCGAATGTGCTGGTGGAGATGGGTGAGCTCGAAGGCGCTGGACGTCATCTAGGCACTCTATCATCCGCAGAGGGAGACAGCCAAGACTCGCGGGAGGTGCTTGTCATGGAAGCTCTTGTCTGGCTGAGAGTGGGTGACTTACGAGCTTCTCGACGTTGCGTCCTGGCCGCTGCAGCTCTGCCCTCGTCTGAAAATGAATCGACATCGACGCTGGATAGCAAAGTCGAGGGTACTTTGAATGCCCTGCTGAGAATTGCAGAGGGCGACTACAATGCGGCCGTGGAGGCTTGGACGGAACTCCATTCGATGCACCAAGATGACGCTATGATTACGCAGAATCTCGCTGTTTCGTTACTCTACACTGGCAAGATCTCCGAGGCCCGGAGCCTACTGACCGACCTGGCTGGGACGACAGCCCCATTCCACGCCTTGACGTTCAATCTCTGTACCGTGTATGAGCTGTGCACTGAAAGGTCGCGAGACAGGAAGATAGCTCTAGCAGAGCGTATTGCTGCTCGCGAGCCAAGCGAAGTAGGCTGGGAGATGGCAGCGGCGGACTTCAAGCTTTGAAGTGCTTGAAGAGACTTCGTGTTACAATCAAAGTAGGTAGTAGTAAGGAAATCACCCCGACCTCTTGCGTTCTTTATCTTCCGAGTTCCACGTGCGAGATACCCCGATAAATGTGGTGTTTAGGTCGGGATACGACTGTCCAATTATGAGCATAAGCCAAGATAGTAAGAGGGCTTTTCCAAAACCAGCAGTGCAGGATGCGAGGAGTCATTGATGTTGTTTTTACGAACTTGGGAATGGAATGAGCGTAAGTTTTCAAGCCTCGAGACCTCGACTTCGAGCATTGCTTGCAGTGCAGTGTCAAGTCAAGCTGGATCCAGAGCATATGCAAATTTTGATATCTCTACTTCACCCTCGCCACATTATATAGTGCACACGAGTGCTCAGAAGGACTGCAAGCTCAAAAGGCTTTGTCAAGTACAAGGGCCGAGGATAATGATCTTCAGGTACAGGGGGGTTTTTCTGGCAGGCTTCCTAAAAACACCCCTTCTACCCATTGGGCGCTTTCCACCCTTCCACCTCGTATGTCAGCTAGCCTGAGATCGGGCATGGCAGTTTGAATTGCCAGCCGATCCTCCAGTAATCGAATGTAGATTTCTTGCATTTCTGATATTCCCCCACCGAGCACGCCCTGATTGGCCGTGCGGCATCGGCTTGGCACTTTTATCCACCCAGGTCACCGTGCTCTAATCCCAGCTCCTACACCTCTTCTCCCCACATTCTCAATACACTGAACGCCTTGAAGACCAGTGCTCTCTACTCGCCAGCCTCCTACACAGCTTCCTCACGCGCGAGACCTCGCCTCGCTGCTCACCGCGGCGCCGCGGGCAATCTTGACGTTTCTCCGCTTCGTCGCCGGCTGCCTCGACCGGTCTGCGTGGTGTCCCGCCAGAGAATATTCCAGCGTCGTAGAGTATCCACCGCCGTGCATCTGCCGCACTGCAAAGACATCCAGCAGCTCACCTAGTCCACCAGTCGAGCGAATACAGACGTAGTGAAGCCGTCCGCCACACTGTGCAGCTCGGTCTCGACCTCTAGCCACCCCTCACTATGCCCTGCTTCCATGGCCTGGCGGTGAGCATCCACACTCCCGATGGACCGCTCCCGGAGTACTCTATCCAAAAGCAGACCAAGTTCCATCGTATAACCTCGTACATCCCCGTCCCACCGGCCAAGATTCCATCCGGCTCCACCACCAACAAGCCCGAGCAATCTACCTTTGCCATATCTATCACGCTCTTGACGCCCGGTCTCCATGTACCGTACTCCACCCCCAAGCCGACGCCCGACGATGCTAGCCCGCGACCTAAGGTTGTAGGCAACCTGCCTGGATTTGCGAGCAGCGAGCGAGGAAAGAATGGCGCCGTGATTGGACCCTACATACCTCTCACCTCGTCCACCAACGAGACCATCGCCGCCTACATATACTTCGATGGTCGTGCAAAGGAAGAGGTCGCTACGCTGCTCCGGAGAGGAGAGGAGACATGGGTTAATTCGCGATGGGTTAGTGTACCTCAAGCAGAGGGCGGAGGCCTTGCAGAGCGAGAGTTCCTCTTCCGCGAAGTAGGTCTCGAGCGATGGCTAAACGGCCTTGACTTGGAGGGCAAAGATGTTGCCGCGCGGATAGAGCGGAGAAAGCAACGCCTAGAAAAAAAGCGTAGGAAGAAGCGGGAACAACTGGGCAGCGATGACGAGGATGAAGACGGTATGAAGACTTCGCGCTCTCTCAAGAACGGTGTTCTCCGCTACGGCGATGACAAGAATGCGCCGGTCGAGACTCTATCGGGAGATGAAGGACTGTTCACATCGGACTCTGACTCCGAAGATGAACCTCCTACGCCCGAAGCCGCTGGCCAGATCAAAGTCGCCCTATTCCGGGTGCTCGCGTCCGGCGAGATCAAGCGAGGAGAGTATTCGCCTCAATACGATGCACACGACGACGATGAGAACACGACACAAAATGGTAGCTCTGGAGACGGCGATGGCGATATCGACCACACCACAAGCTTCGCGAAACCCAAGACTTTGGACCCCAAGTCGATCAGCACCCAGACGGTAACAGGCATTGATCCCCCAGACAAGCCATATGCTGTCTTTACGTTCTTGTATAGAGGCGAGCGTAAGGCAGCACCCCTCCTTTTCTTATTTCCCGCTTGCTGACCGTAATCAGGCCAACTGAGGAAGATGGGCATACTGTCCACCCCTCCATTAGAACAAAAGACGCCAGCTAGCGCGAAGCGGAAATCCCAAGGTTTAGACTTTGCCAGCTTGAAGCCGCTGGCACCAACAGGCACAAAAGGGTTCCAGAACTATCGCGATTCTGCCGAGACTATATCGACGCCTTTCAAGCCTGCAACTAACAAGAAGAAAGATACGGACACCATGGATAGTGATTCCGAAGACGAAGAGGAGGAAACGAAAATCAAGGAAGAAGAGCTTGATGATGCTGACGACGTGAAGCCCGGCAGCAAGGCCCTGCTGTCGCCTGAGGATGCGTTGTCAGAAGCACAAATTGAAGAGGGTTTGCGCAAGGTCAAGGTGAGTTGCTCTGGCCATGAAAGCAAAGTGTTCTTGAATAGCAGCACTTATTGATGTATTCTACAGCTTAAACGCCAACATTCCGCTGAGCCCCTGAACTCACCGTCTCCAACTCGCAAGTCACCCGCCTCGAACAGCCCGCTGGGCGGTACTCCAGCCCCCAGCAGTCTTTCTACGACCGCTACTGCCTCTATTCCTTCATTGAAGCCATCCACGTCCGCGTCGGCAGCTCAATCATCTCTGGCATCTGGCATATCGCCCGAATCTATCATCGGAAGCCCGTTCAAGAAACACCGGGCCAGCCTACAAGGGTTCGAAGACAGCTCCCGAAAGAGTATCGGGCTCGATCTGCTGGCTTCCAGCTCCTCGTCCAAGGATACCAAGGCCACCGGTTTCAACAGCATCAAGGGGGAAATGGACGAGGACGAGGAGTTGTGACTATGGCAGATTGGCCTGCAACGAGCACTTGGATAAGTCCTGCATGAGCGTTAGACATGATCGAACACATTTGGATTTTGTTCACTGGGCGTTTCGATTCCATGGGGCTAGCTGAGCTGGAGGCTATGGGGCTATGGGTCTACTCCATTGGAGCAGTACAAAATATTCGGAATGGAGCTGGGAACTGAGACAGAGACTGTAGGGGCGTGTGGCACAAGTGGGGCTAGGGTGGTTGGCTGGATGGCTGGTGATATAAATACCTTTGCTACTGACGTACAGCTACACCACACCGAGATACCCTATCATACGACCGAACTTTCATGATTCTTCTCTTGGCGGCAATCTTTTCTCGACTCTACTTTCGGGCTGACACGACATTGCTGGTTGCGGTATTCTGGCGAGCGGCGGCTGTTCAGCAGTTTTGATCTCGGCGCCGCGGAGATAAGTTACACTTTGCCTTCTCTTCTCTTCTTGTGTCATGGGGCGATGGAGTATGGAGGGTGGAGGGGGGAATGGTGGGATGGGCTTCCGTGCATATCTTGTTTCTATTCGAAAGACTTGACATTGATGGACTGAGTTGATTGGGCGGCAGGGCTGCTTTGGTGGTCTGGCAGGCATGTTGTTCATGTGTGTTTGCATAAATCGTCTGCGGACACGTAGAAGAACCGCTGAGGTTTTCAAAAAAATATTCTTCGATGTGATGGAGTGCGTTACTGCTCTAAGGAACTGTGAGAACTGGATGGATATGATTATCTGGTCCTGGAAATGATGGTTTCAAGAAGCTTCCGTGAAATCTAGATCCGGCATGAGAAGAACACTGTGTATCAAAAATGAATCTCAAGATCTCCCCTTCCCATCCTCCAGCAACAGCCTACAAGCATCACCCTTGAATCAGGATGCCGCCCGAAAACGTGACAGCGCGCTTTCGCGTCGATCCCTCGGCCATCACCCTTCATCCATCTAACTTTTCCCCCATCTTGCCTTATCCGATTCCATCAACTCTTCCAGCCCTGTCACAATCCAGTCATTCCCCCTATCCCATCAGTCCACCCTTGCCCTTCACTCCCATCTAATTAAAGTCTTTTCCTATCGTCAATGCCACCCAAGAAAAACCTCTTCCTCGCGTTCGACGCCTTCGGCACGCTCTTCACGCCGCGCGCGCCTGTTGCCGTGCAGTATGCGGAGGTGGCGCGGCGGCATGGGATTGAGGTGAGGGATGAGCAGCTAGAGCCGAGTTTTAGAAGAGGTGAGTTTTTGATACTCGGGGCTCTGAGACAGCTTGCTAATCTTGTGCGTGGACAGCCTTTAAAGAAGAGGCGAAAGAGCGGCCGAATTATGGGAAGGCGGTGGGAATGGGGGCTAGGGCGTGGTGGGGTGGGGTGAGTGTGATTTTTGGTCTTCTTAGGTTCTTTCGTGTCTTTTCCTGTGATTCGAATGCTCTAATGTTTGATCGAGGTTCATGCAGTATATTTCCTTGATTGGTCTTTCAAAACTCTCAAAGTCAGCTTCAAGGACTCTCACGCATCTACAATATAATCGGGAAACATTTATTTGCTCATTCGTTTCTTCCCTGTCTCATTCATTCATCAATTCATCAATCCATCTCCCCTAACACCCCATCCCCAGGTCATAACCAAAACCCTCACCCCCTTCCTCGCCAAAGACCAGCCCCTCCCTGACGCCCTCGTCTCCGACCTGCTCACCCGCTTCTCCACCGAAAAAGGCTATACCCTCTACCCAGACGTCCTTCCCTTCTTCCGGAAACTCCGGGACCTAAAGGCCCGGCGCTCGGGTTTCAAACCCACGAACGACCCGTGGCGCTGGGACCGCACCGTCGTCGGCGTCATCACCAACTCTGACGACCGAGTGCCTGGGATCCTCGCGTCTTTGGGGCTGAGAGTTGCACCGAAAAGGTTCGGCGTGCCGAGTAACGTGCAAAGATTCGAGTTCGAGAAGAAGGTGGGTGATGATGTTAGCTTTGTGGTGATGAGCTATGATGTTGGGTTTGAGAAGCCGGATCGGAGGATATTTGATGCTGCGAAAGAGTTGCTAAAGGAGACGTTGGCAGAGAGCGATGCGGATGTGACAGAGGAAGATGTGGAGGATTTCCAGATGCTGTATGTTGGCGATGATGTGCGGAAGGACTATTTTGGTGCTGGAAGTGCGGGGTGGTCTGCTGTGGTTCTTGATCGGGAAGAGCGGTTTGCGAAGGAGCTAGAGGGGAAGGCTGTGGCGATGGTGGAGACGAGGATTGAGGGGGATAAGGAGGAAGATCCGTTGAGGAAGGTGGCGGTGATAAAGGATCTGCGGAGTTTGTATGGTACAGTGGATAACTGAGGAGTGCTTCAGTGATACGTCGTGTATTGAGTAGAAGTCAGACGGTCTTCCGCAAGGCAAGGATATCTGAGAGCTTGACGTCCCCCTTTCCACCCCAGCCAGCAACCCCATTTTCGACTTCTGGTCGTACGCGGACATACCACGACCAGGCGCGTCTGTTGAGCTCGTCGGTCTCAAGCGTAGACCACGATTGATAAAGCAAGTCTAGTGCTCGCAGTAGAAGCCCAAGATTCCGCTCCTTCTCCGCCGACTTCGAAGAATTCGAACGCTTCTTCCCCTCAGAAGCCTCCTCCACCTTAACCTCTTTAGCCGCCAGCTCAAAAGACTTCAGCAAATACGCCCTCGCCCCCTGCGCCGTATAAATCGGCAACTGCCCCGCCCCCGCCCCATGTGTTAGCGGCCCATTATGCTTCTTCAGCTTCTCCAAATCCAAGCCCCACAGCGCCGGCTTCACATCTTCTGGCACACTACTCTGCTCATTCACAGTCTCCTGTGTCGCGCCCGCCTCGTCTTTAACATCCCACTCATACCCCCACCGCTTCATGACCCTGATTTCTCGCCCCATGATCTTCACGACAGGCTGCCCCTCGCCCCACCCCTCCTCTTCAGCACTCTTCCCACTCTCGAGACCAAGACTCACGGCTTTCGTCCTGCTATTCGCACTCACGACTGCTTGCGCGAGGCTGAGCCTGCTGGAGACGGGTTGCTCCGGCATCGTGTACTTGACCAGCGCAACCGCGAACGCTAGGACCAGCGGCGCGCGGTTCGTGAAGAGGACTACATCCCCTAACTCCTCTTCACTGGCGTCTGATTCCGGCAGCGCAAGCGAGTCTTCAAGCGCAGCGGGGGTGAGCGGCTCGCCGTACGACGGCTTCGCTTTCTTGACCAGCGCTGGGGGGGTGGGTCCGTCGGTGGGACCGCGCTTTTTGGATACTCGTTTTGCTGCGCTGAGGATTTGTTTGGCGAGTTTTTCGTCGGTGAAGATGGTTTTTAGGGCGGAGATGTTTGATTTTGAGATTTCGGTGGGGCTGGGAGGGGATTATTTAGGGAATGGGGGGTAGTTGAGGCAGGTGACTTACGTGCCAAGACCTGCGGTTTGGAGCGACTTGATCTTGCTCATTGCGAGCGCGAGCGGGAGTTTGGCGTCTTGGGAGAGGAAGCGGAGGAGGGATTGGATGGATGCTGCGTTTGCCATTTTGGATTGGTGTTGAGGGGTGATGGTGGGAGGGGAAGGGAATTGGGTTGAAATTGATTGAGGTGATGATGATGGAAGGCATTCACTGGTCTGAGCGTCGCGCTTGCATAGTTTGGGGATAGCGTGGTGGCTGTTGCCTATATAACCGCAGGCTTCAGTTTCAAATGCCTCAGGACGTCGATATCCGCGCTACAACTCCATCGCCTAATCATCACTAAGCAAGTTACTACAACGCGTGCCCTCTCCGTGCACGCCGCGCCTTACCAACAACCGTCTTACGCGGTTCGTTCTGTGAGAACTTGTAACAAATCGACCCAATTTCTGCGTAGAGGTGCTTCAGCTGTTTTTCTTTACATATTCATTCTTCTATCATCCGCCTGATCTACAGCCCGTTACTTCCGTTACAAGAAGTAACTACAACACGTGCCCTCTTCGTGCACGTGGCGCCTTACAAAAACCGTCTTGCGCGGTTGATTCCGGGAGAATTTGTAACAAATCGACCCAATTCCTCCACAGGGGTGCTTCAGCAGTTCTTCCTTGGATATTCATCCTTCTTCCATCCACCTAATCTACAGCCCGATACTTACGTAATAAGAAAGAACTAGTTACAACGTACCACTCCGTGTGCATGCAGTGGCTAGTAAAAACTAAAAACTAAATCTTACACGGTCAATCACGTCGAAACTTGTAACTAAACCCAGCATTTAGTTTGACGGAGCTACCCCAGCACCTTATCAAGATTCTTATTCCTCGGACCTAATTTAGACCTTCCTACATCTGGGCCAAGAAGTGACTACATAACGCAGCTTCTGCGTTACCTATTCGTTTTGTGGAAGTACCTCAACAGCGCGGCGCTTCTCCACTTTTCAACCCTTTTGCACCGAACCTGATTTAAGACGTCCTGCCTTGGTAACAATAACTTGCCATGCCGCGTGCTCTCGGCGCGTAGGAGGTAAGAGTTCAGGATCTATTGCAAATGAGGCTATTTGCCAGGTACCCCACCAATGATGTTGTACCAGCATGCCACCATCCTCATTAAGTAACGCGTCGTCAGTTGTTAGGATTTCCCCTCCTCCAACCACGGAGCGTCCTCGGACCCCACGTGTAAAGATATTCAACCAGCGTTCGTTCCACCTCCCATCCATGACACAGTAGTTTCGGCGAGCCCAGTCATATGGCGTGCTGTTCCTGACGTCTGTCCCTGTGCAATACCACGTGCCCGCTAGCATGTCACTCTTGCAGACCGCGGTTTGGGCGACGAGCTATAAAACGGCTCACAGGTAACGGAAAAAAGGTTGCGCGTAGCTTTGCATCTTCGATTGAGTAACCTTCGAGATGCTGTCACTCGCTGTCACAATCCTCGCCGCCGTCAGCTTGCTGCAGCCTTCCTTTGCGAATCCAATTGCAGAGCGCGCCGATGCGCCTGTAGTCGCCCAAACTACTTGTAATGGCAAGAAGTATACCTACAAGGAGCTTGCTGGGTACGGCTTCCTGCCGTCGGACTCCCGGGACAAGACTGGGGACACGATTGGTGGGATTGGGAGTTCTATTGCGCTTGACCTGAGTTCGTGGAAGAAGATCAACGGGAGCCATGGGAAGGGCGATACGTACGAGGGGATCTTGTACGCCCTACCAGATCGCGGATGGAATACCGTTGGGACACAGAATACCCAGTCGAGGATCCAAAAGCTCGCCATCGTCCTCAATCTCATGGATGAGGCGACCGTTGGCAATCCGTCTGCCCCGAATTTCCACATCAAGTATCTCGATACGATACTGCTTTCTGGTCCTGACGGCACACTGTGTACTGGCCTTGATGCGGATGCGACGGGCCATTTGTCCTTTCCTGGATTCCCGGATCTGCCAGTGGCTACGTACTCGGGAGATGGCTTCGGCGGGCCTGGAAAGGGAGGGAAGCGAATAGCCGTCGACGCTGAAGGGCTCGTTCTGGCTAGCGATGGCTCGTTCTGGGTCAGCGATGAGTATGGGCCGTACGTGTATCATTTCGACAAGAAGGGAAAGATGGTGGCTGCCATTAGGCCGCCCGACGCCTTCATTCCGTTCCGCAATGGCACGGAGAGGTAAAAAATCTCCAATCAGTAGCTCGAATGCCCTCATACTTACAATCATACAGTTTCAGCGCCGACTCCCCACCGCTCTACGACCTGACCCTTACAATTACCCCCTCAGATCCCGTCAGCGGCCGCCAGAACAATCAAGGCTTCGAGGGTCTGACAGCCAGTCCGGATGGCAGATCCCTCTACGTACTGATTCAATCTGCACTTGAGCAAGAAGGCGGCACGAAGAAGTCCCATCGTCGTAACGCCCGTCTACTCCAGTACGACGTCTCCAAGCACAGCAACGCGAAATACGTCGCCGAGTACGTCGTGCAGCTACCCGTCTTTGGCGATAACCAAGTCGCCGCCCAGTCCGAGATTCACTATGTCTCGCCCACCCAGTTCCTTATTCTGGCCCGCGACTCCGGCGCCGGCCATGGTCAGTCCGACTCTGAGTCTGTTTACCGTCACGCGGACGTGTTCGACATCTCCAAGGCTACGAACGTGAAGAGCACCACGCATGATGCGGTTGGCGGTGCCATTGCAAGCACCAAGGGCGAGCTGAACGCGGATATTGTGCCTGCGACGTACTGCTCGTGGCTCGACTACAACGTCAACGCGCAGCTGAACCGTTTCGGTGTCCACAATGGTGGTGCGCAGGATGCGGGCCTGTTGAACGAGAAGTGGGAGTCTCTAGCTCTGGCTCCGATCAGTAAGGACGACAAGAAGAGGAAGACGGATGATTGGGATGAGTATTTCTTGATCTCGTTCTCTGACAACGACTTCATTACCCAGAATGGTACGTCTTTTCTCGTATGATCTCTTGACGCGTGCGGTGTTTGGCTAATGAGGACGCAGGATTCATCAACTTTGGGAAGGATCCGTACAAGGATGCGTCTGGATTCAACCTCGACAACCAGGCGCTCGTGTTCAGGGTGAAGCTGCCCAAGGGATCGAAGCTGGCATGAGTGATGAAATGGCTCGTATCATTGAAACTGGGGGTTCCTCGCCATGATGAGAGACTTGATTAGAGTGAGGAAGGGGTTTGGTCTGAAGAAAAGTAATGTGCATAACACTGTTGCACTCGCATCAAGTACCTCTATAAAAGTCTCGTAACTACACTACCCAACGTCTTGTACTTAAAGTGATGAGCATAGCATCTCCCTGAAAGACAAAGCTGTCTCACTAAACAGCACTCGCACACCGATCACAGTATCGAGGGCGCCGCAACACCCCCAACTCCCAGCAGCAATGCTCCCGGGCATGCGGAGACCCACGGCTCCGACGCATGGCACCCATTTCGTCGCTGCTATCACGCCCTCTCATGCACACGAATAATATCCCCGTGCGCACTAGCTTCGTCTGACTCGCACTTCAGATGCCTCAATCTTAAGCGGCGGAGACACATCAAAAGTGGATGGTTTATGGGGATGCTCGGGAGGGGCCCGATCCGCGTGCTAAATTATCCCCAGCTTTTTTTTTCTGCGCGGGGGCCCTAATTGCTTAGAGCATATCGGACCGCGGAGTGGAGCGTGACACACAGAGGTATCGTACGGGAGAAGTCTGGTAGATGGATGGATGCAGCATACGCGAAGCAACGCATAAACAGCATTCCTCGGAAAACTACAAAAGATCGCATCTAGACATCGACGATGATTCACCACCGAAAAGCTACCGAAAATGGTCTTTCGACATATGCACTATTGCTACAACCGTACTATACGTCTGGGCTGGACGATCAATCCAGCCCCGCGTCTACAGCGGAAGATCCCCGGGGCGGACAACGTGGCCGGTCAGATCTCTGAAGCTTCAATTGGCAATGAGGGGTCTGTTGGGAGGACGATCACAGTGGTGCGGTGCTATACAGGCCGATGAACACATGGGGTCATGCGCGGAAGTCCAGACCAATCCGAGCTGTGCAAAAGTTCACGAATCTACACCGACTGCTGCTCATCCATCTGGTTGTCTTGCCTTCTTGACATCCATAACGGACGCAGCACTCGGAACGCAGCACGCAACCTCAGAGTCTCAGAAGACGATTGCATCGTGGGTGATCCACGAACGCAGCAAGGGTCTTTCCAACGTGGCATGACCCTTTCAGAGGGTCGTCTCGAAGCGGTTTACGGCCATGATGAGACTGGGAGCAGGCATCGCACGGCCTCCCTTGCCGCTAGAACAGATCTGCTGCGCATCCTCCGACTCCATGTCAACGGCGACACCGGTGTCTGCGTCGATTGTTCTCTCCAGATGGTGGTGAGGGGGAGCTGACCCGTTCGAGATGTCGACGACACCGCACATGACGGAAAGCTGCGAGGCCCATGAGGACATCTGGGGGTCAGCGACCTCCGGGCCAGGACCGCCGAGCAACTGGCCGGCGGATGGCTGCAGGTCCAGCGCTTTTTGGCTGGTCGCGCAGTTGTATGCGCCGCACCGAGAGCTGAATCGCCAGAATTCCTTCTGCTGTGCCGCACGCACGACTCACGTTCATCGCCAACAAAGACGACCTGACTCAAAGAGACATCTCCCAATCACGGCCTCGGCGGCATCCGCGTTCCTCATCCCCGTCTCCAGGCTCCCTAGCAGTTCATCGGATGGACCCTTCGCGCTGTTTGGCCCCTCTCCCCGCATCTTCCCCATTTCTTTCCCAGTGATCTGGAAGCGACCCAGCCCGCCCGAGCTGGCCATCCAGAGCACGCGTTGGGACAGGCCTCTGGACCTTTGAGTTGACGCTTGCGACTCAGCGCCCGGCAGACCTGCTCCGTAGCACGACACACCTCAAACGCTATCTTGTGGAAACGCGGCATATAAAACTGGACCTTCCCCGGATCCCTGGGGTTGTTGGCACCTCGATCCTCTGCTTCGACCTCCATCTCTCCCTCCGGAAGGATACCAGCGGCCCTCTACTTGGTCTCGCCTCCTTTTAATTGTGCTGTCTTTTCAGACGCCAATTCTTGTCGTGTTCATATATGTCAATTGCCTATTTCTACCATTGAGCATCCATGGCTTTGAACGAGAAGACCGGACCCGTCATCGTGTCCGAACATGACGAGAAGGGCTCCGAAACGCGACCGGTGGACAAGGTTGAGGAGGTGCATGCCGTGAAGAAGATCCACGCCGATGGCACTGTTGACTTGGTCGATACGCATGCCATTGGTGGTGCGATGGAAGAAATGCCAAAGGGGTACTACTACAGTCCTCAATTCCTCGGCACAGTGCTCGCGATATGCCTTGGTTCAATCTGCGCGTATCTGGGATGGGTGCTACCAGCGAATACACTGTATGTAACATCAGGATCTCGTGTCGTAGCGGAACCTAACAGAGCCTCAGCTCGCTCATCAACGAAGACATCGGACCCTCGCCCAACCTCAACTGGGTAGCCACCGTCTGGACATTGGGCACTGCCGTTGGTTTCCTCCTCGTCGGACGACTCTCTGATATCTTTGGTCGCAAATGGATGGTTATGAGCTCCAACGTACTCGGACTCATTGGCTGCATCATCGGCGCCAATGCGCACAACATCAACACTTTGATTGGAGCAAACCTTTGCAATGGGCTGGCAGCTGCTGGTCAGCTTTCCTTCGGCATTGTACTAGGAGAGCTCGTGCCGAACAAGCACAGAGGGCCATGGGTTACGCTTGTGTTCCTGTCGTCGCTGCCTTTTGCTGGTAAGTTCCACTTATTGATGCAACCTTTTACATCTGTACTGACTCCCAATCCAAGTTTTCGGCCCCATCATTGCGAGAACCTTCATCGAGCAGACTGCCGCCAAGTGGCGATGGAGCTACTATCTTGGAATCATCATGTCTGGCCTGACTGTCATCCTCTATCAGATCTTCTACCACCCCCCTTCATTCAGCCAGCTGCACGTGCACGGCAAGTCCAAGTGGCAGATGTTCAAGGAGCTTGACTTCATCGGCATCTTCCTCTACATCGCCGGTCTCGTCATCTTCCTGATTGGACTGTCCTGGGGAGGCGGAGTTTACCCTTGGAAGAGTGCTGCGGTCATTTGCTCGATCGTCCTTGGAGCCCTCACTCTGGTCGCATTTGGCCTCTATGGTATGTCCATTCTTGTAGTCCCTGCGCCGGTTCTTCCGATTCTAACAACCTCACAGAGGCCTTCGTCTTCAAGGGCCAAGCCCTGATGCCCCTCCGCCTCTTCAAGAACATCCAATACTTCGCCATCGTCATGGTCGCCGCCATCGCCGCCATGGTGTACTACTCCCTCACCGTCCTCTGGCCCACCATCATCGGCACCGTCTACACCACTGACTCCAAGAAAATCGGCTGGCAATCCTCCGTCGTCGGTGGCGGCGTCCTCCTCGGCCAAGCCGTCGGTGGCTTCGCCATCACTTACATTCCCAAGGTCAAAATCCAAGTCATCGTGCTCGCCTGCTTGGCCACCGCTTTCTTAGGCGCGCAGGCATCATTGAGCGTCGACGGACACACCCGCTTCATCACTCTCGGCGTGCTTGGCACCTTTGTCATCGGCTGGATCGACAACATCGCCTTCCCCGGCGTGACCATGATCTACGAAGCGCAGGACATCGGCCTCGCATCCGGCATCCTCGGCTCCATCCGCGCCGTCGGCGGCGCCGTAGCGCAGGCCCTCTACGTCTCCATACTCAACACCAAAGTCACCCAGTACCTCCCCGAGTACGTCGTGCCCGCGGCCGTCGGCGCCGGGCTGCCCGCCTCCTCCATCCCCGCGCTCTTCGCCGGCATCACCGCCGGCAACTTCTCCGCTGTGCCGGACATCACACCAAAGATCATCGCGGCGACGGGTGCCGCCGTCACGCATGCTTATCTGTCGAGCTTCCATATCGTGTTCTACGCCGTCATTCCGTTTGGCTGCTTGCTCATCTTCTTTGCGGCGCTGACGCCGAACTTCGAGAAGTACTTGACGCATAATGTGAGTCGGCGGCTGCAGCACATGGGGAAGTTGGCGGCCGAGGGCAGGGATATTGAGGGCGAGGCGGCTGTTTGATGAGGAGTGCGATTGTTTCTATATATGAATGCGGGTGTAATTAATGAGGAGATGTTTGTTACGATATGATAGCGATTAGATTGGAATGGGTGGAAAATATACCCGTGTTTTGCTGTTGATGTTTATTCTCAGGCTTGTGTGTGTGATGACTACTGTTAGTGAAAGAGGGCTGTTGTGATGATGGAGGGGCTTCTTTGCTGCCTCGCGTGTTGTAAGTTCGTACACACATCTTATCCGAGTTTTTACAATGCGCCGAAGGCTCAGTTGGGTGTCCGGAGTGGACATTTCCTGAAACAAAAGCGCGTCGAATACATTCAATCGTATAGCAGCTTATTTCAGACGCCACGTGCTCTTTGTCGTGGGCACTGGTTTTCACCAGAGCAACGGTTCCTAGATCAGGTCTGGGGAAAGAGACGTGTGCGACGAGGAATACTGGGGCGCCTCACTTCTCGATCGTGGAGCTCAGTTACGCCCTCCTACACATCCGACCGAATCGACAAAACTTTGATAGACGCTGTGATGCTGGGGGGTGCGTGGCGTAGTCCCTACTTGTCACCAAAGCAAGAGATTCTTAATAGTTACAGTGGCTGTTAGACCTGTGGATGTGCGCAGTCTTGGCAAGCGGGCCGACCTCAGCCCTGCAGCTTTGCGATCCAACTTAACTTTAGCCATGCCTCTGGTTAACTAACTCAACACCTACAGAATTCGCCACCTCACAAGGGTGAAGTCGGAGCGGGTCGGCCGTCCTCCCTGCCAGCGTGATCGCAGTATTCATGCGGTCTCTCGAGACCGGAAGGGGACGAATTTTAAGCTTAATGGTAAATTTAGTTCTAACAGCATCCATCCTGCTACTTATATAAAGGATTCTAGAAGCTTCGGTCTGCTAAGTGTTACAGTTTATACCTGGGCCTTGCACGTGCGCAGGCACGGAGGACTTAGGTTGGAATAGTGGTTAACTGCGTCTTCATTTAGGAAGCCCGAAGGCCAGTTTATATACACAGCGAGCTGAGGCAACAGGAAGGTAGTGTAGGCAACAGGAAGACAGTGTAGGCAACAGGAAGACAGTGTAGGCAACAGGTAGTGTAGGTACCCCAGTCCCTCTCCATAGAAGTTGTTACCTGATACGTACGTAGGCAGCGCAATATGACACTAACTCTCTACAGATAATGTTTTCAAGCGATCCAGCCACGGCGTTGAGGCTGGAACAACCTGAGTGGAGGCCACAAGCTAGCAAGCGAGCGCCTTGGCGCGAGTATTTCAGCTGTTCGCCCCTAAGTTCCTTTGTAGCTCCTTGAGCCAGATACGTCTTGTCAATCTGTTACGGTTCTACCGTCCAAAGGCTCGATTCGAGATCGAGCCCGTCCTCGTATCCAATCGTTACGAATCCGACTGTCTACTTGCACTCCTGCCTGCCGGCCAGCACCTAGATCCCGCCCGCCGCCCGAGAACCGTGACACCGAGTGGCTAATCACCAACTGCGGATTTACGCTTACCTCTAGAGTTCTCTGAGAAGAAAATATAAAGAAAAGGAAAAATAGTTAATTACAAGAAGACAATCAATTTGTGTTATAATCATAATGCTAAAAAGATTGTAGCCACTAAATCTCACAACTGTTTCCTAAACTATAAGAAGCCTTAAATATGTATTCCCGAAAGGTCGAGCCTTATTTTGTGGCGCCCGCTTCGCGAAGATATTCTACAACCGTTTTGTATCCTCTTTCTGTCGCTGCCTGTAGTGCTGTCCTTCCACTACTTCCTGCTGCTGCTGCATTAACATCGGCCTTCTCTTGAAGCAGACGCTTAACTACTGCAAGATGTCCTCCTTCTGCCGCTGCCTGTAGTGCTGT